AATATTGAATAATTAAACTGTCCGTGTAAATAAGATAAGTTGGAAAACCATTTTGCAGTCATTACAAAATCAAAATTGCAATTTAGTTCAAGAGGGTTTTCTGAATGTGGATATTTCGAGTGCCTGACCTCTGATCAGCTTGGCGCTGGTGTCCTCATTGACTTTGGCCACGTTGATGATAGTGCGGGCCTGCTGGGCGTAGCGCAGAGTGCTCAGGCTTTCCTCCACATTGCTGCCGGCTGGGCTCAGCGTGGCGATCATGGCGGTCTTGGAGTTCCCACCGAGGCTCTCTTTCAACAGCCTGCAGAAGAGGAGAATCTAACTTGGTCAGGATCATCCTTCTAGTGTGTAAATGAGATCTGCTTAACTGTTGGTGGAGAAAGAAATGTTTAAAAATATATATTGATTCTTTTTCACTTCCTCTATTTGTACCCTATTTATGGACCTAATTTTCCATTTCATAAGTACTGTGAAAGTCTGCATAATACATATTTGTTGTTGTTGATAGTCTAGTCTGTCCTAGATGCAAAACTGAAAGCAAGACGCACTGTGCTCGCCCTCTGATTGCTCACCATGTCAGGACAGACTCTCTGTACGGTATGAAGACCTTCTTCCTCGTCAGTGCTTGTTCCGACAGGGCAGAGATGACCTTTCCGAGGGTAAGCAACGACTTGTTGATGCTAGCACCCTCCTAGAATGACACAGTAAAAGTGTCATTTGCTGTTTTTGAGGCACCTGCTGTTATATGAAACTCCAAGAGCAATCTTCAGCAATAAGCAAGACGAGGTGTGTGTGTGTGTGTGTGTTTGTGTGTGTACCCTGAGTCGGTCTCCACTCGTCCCGGCTGAATTACAGCGCTCGCTGCCGGCCAGGTCCACCAGGTTGATCCTGCTAGTGATGCTGTGGTCATGTTCTTCGCCCTCCACAAACTCAGTCTGCACACACAAACACATCACACTGCGATGAATTGTTCGACAAAAGAACACATGACGGCCCACGTTGATTAGTGCATGACTGTAGAATTGTATGAGGCGACATACATGGCGAGAAACACGAAGTAGAGGCAAGACGTGATACCTGAGTCTGCGTCATAATCAGGGTGAAGACGGAGTGAGATCTGGAGCTCTTGTCATTCATTCCGGTCGCTGCGGTGGCTCTCTGCTTGTTTCCCAGCGTGAGCCAACCCTAAAGAAAGGCGTCGGGGATTTTAAATGAAATCTCTTGGTGTGAAGTGTGGTGTCCCTGACCTGCACTTACAAAACATTTATTTTTGGTCAAACCTGGCATTTTGTGTTGCATCGGGTCCTCTGCCACAGCAAACAGAATTGACCAGGTACAAACACGTTTGTTCTTATGTACATTTACTAAAAAGGAAAAAAGTCAGAGAAAGAAATTTGAACCCACCTGAATGTCATTGTAGGAGCTCACGATATTCCTGTGAAGAAATAGCAAAATAAGTAACTTAGCAAATAGCAGCGACAAAAAATGTGCTTTTGGCCTTTATGGAAGAGAAATACAGCAACGGAAAGTCATGGTTTCTTACGTGGAGAGGTCAGCCACGTAGGGACCATGGACCGGATGTTCCCTCACCCTCAGCTAGGAATGCAAATCAACAGGGTTTTATCTTCCACGTGTTTCAGGTTATTCAGTCCTACCAATGACCATGCATGATTGGATGATTGAAGCATAATGAAGAAGTTAGAATTAGAACTTTCACCAAAAGGAAAAGCTGCGAAGTACTTACAGGCATCGTCCTCTGGTTTGGCTCATCTCTGGTCACCAGCAGGTCATGGATCTTCTCGTTGTACACCTCAAAATAGCTCATCTCCACGTGACACGTCACCTGAAAGATGACAACCTAATGATCAGTTATGTAACAAAACAAAAACAAATGTATACAAAGACACAATTTGTTCAGAATTGTCAGAAGAAACTGTTGCCGTTTCTAAAGAAAAAAGTATTCATAAACATATATTAAAGATTAAATATTAGTAATTGAACATCTACTAAGGTAAGAAGCATCAATAGTGAATCTTTTTTTTACCTCTTCGTCTAACATGGGTGACAATCTAGTAAAAAGCTCCTGGCAGAATCGTGGTATCACCCCTTCCTCTTCTCCGAAGCCCATCATCCTAAAACAACCATGATTTCAAACAATAAATCGATTAAGATTTACATATACTCACTAGGACTAGTGATCCCAAATCACGAGCATAGAAATGCCCCGAACTGAAACACTCACGTGTACGACTTCCCGGAGCCCGTTTGGCCGTAAGCAAACAGGCAGGTGTTGAATCCTTCGAGGGCCCTCAACAACAGGGGCTTGGCTAGGGTCTCGTACACCGTCTGCTGGCTGGCGAAGGCGGGGTCGCACTCGTCCACCGAGCAGAAGGAGAAGTCGTAGTTGAAAGTGTAGCTCTGTTTGGAATCCGGATGCTTGACAGCCGTCTCCTGGCCGTTCATGAAGATGACCTGCAACGCCTTCTCCGCCTTCTCCCTGTTATTTATAAAACAGAACTTCAGATTTTTGTTTGGTCTATATAATGTGACAAAACAGCAAAAGGGGCCACTGCACCTTTCTAAAGCCAAAGTTGCAGGTGTCAGATTGCTTGTTTTATATTTGCAAAGATGCGGCAGATGCTTCAACTGAAGAAGATTGGACTTTTCTGCTTAACAAATTACTTTTCAACTAATGTTAAAAACTAATGCACAGACTACAGACGGTAGTGGAATAATAAACTGATGCAATGTTAGAAACACATTGTATGCATTCATTGCATGCCCGGCCTTTGTCACTTCCACGAAGTGTGTTAGATCAATTATATATATTAAATGATCTCATGTCCTCGCGTGACCAACATACACTTTATTGACCCGCTTCAAGCCAAATAAAAATAAAAAAAGATACTTGTGTCTCCCAGGCTCTGATAATCTAACAGCACATTGGTACATCATTCCTGGCGGTAACTTTTTTTGGGAGAAGCAAACCAGAAGTCATCGTCTCCTCCTCCTGCAGCGCTCACTCTGCAGTCGGGGTCAAACACCGGGTCACGCACCTGGCGTTGAAAGGACGCACGCGGACCGCCACCGTCACTGCGCTGTTTTCCATCTTGAATGAATCCTGCGGCTCCGGCGCCTCGCCGGGACCGGACAGGAGCTGCTCGGTGGCCGCCGGGGGAGCGGCAGCATGTTGGACGGAGGTCCGAAATCCTGCTGCTGGGGTCGCGTCTCTCCTGTGTCCCGGGGTGGAGGTCTTCCTGGGCTGCACGGCGGCGTGGGGCTTAGCCGAGGACGCCTTGCCGGCCCGAGGGGCGGGGACCGGTTTGGGGTCTTCCGCGTGCTGGTTCTGGGGTTTGGGCCTCGCGACACTCGCGGATTTGGGCGCCCCTGGTTTGGCAGCGTCTCTGCCCGCCAGTCTCTCGAACACGTCTCTCTTGGAGGCGATTTTCTCAAACGGTGTCTTTTTAGTCGGGGTTTCGAACGTCTGGGCCTGACTGACCTCCGGCCGCCTACTCGTTGAAGACGCCGAGGAGGAAGAGAGCGCGTGGCTGGGCGCTAGTTTCCCCGGAGTCGCCGACGCGCCAGCGGCTTCCCTTCCTCTGCTTTTGCACGCCGTTTCCCTCAAACTCGCGGACCGGAACACGCTCGCCGTCCTGCCGTTCGGTTCGCTCAGGACTTTCGGCGTCGTGGTGCCGCTCACCCCGCGCGCGATTTTATCCACCGAGGGCGCCCTGGTTCTGCGCTGCAGACTCGGTCTCTTCTCCGGAGCAGGCGTGCTGTCCAAGTCGCTTCCCACCATGGTTTTGTCCGCTCTGCCGGAGCCGCTCTTCCTCCTCGACCTCCTCTGCAGTGTGAGTCGGCTGCGGTAAGACGCCGGAGTCCCGCTGCCGCTTTTGGACAGCGCGGAGAGGACATACGTCCTGTTTAGCTGTCGGCTCTTGTCAGAGGACCGACCACCGGCTTCGCTCGCAGAGTCCTCGGACGTTGCCTCCGTTTTGCTTCCCGTTGCGTCCGTCGCTTTACGCTCTCGGCCGGGCGTCCTGGAAGCGGACGTTGCCATCAGATGGTCATAATAAGCGGTGTGCTTCCTCGCCTGAACACTAAATAACGACATGGCAGCCGGTTGTTAAAAAAATAAAGACTTAAAAGTGGGCTCAGAAGTTAACGTTACGGAGAGGCTAACGTGAGCTAACGGCTATTTAGCTCCGTTTGCTACCTAACAACAGCAATACACACTGTGACATAATATAGGACATGAACGAGGACAGTCCAGCATGTTGGTTAAAATAAAAGTCCAATTGAATAAAAAAAAAGTGATGTGAGTCAACAGAGCTTCCTCTGTTTGTTATTGTTCCAGCATCTCTTCCGCCTTCGCCCGCCTCAATTTCAAACCGTCTCCGCCGGTGACCGCTGACTGGCTGAATTCTAGAAAGTAGTGACGTCACGTCTAGGTGACGACATGTAACTGACGCTGGGTGTCCCCATAACCAAGGTTACCGTGCAATGTTGTGCATCAACAGTGAACTGTAGATGGATGTAATGTTGTTTCAGTGGATAAATTGTGCTATTCGCGCATTTTTTTAAATTTGAGCGTTTTACCGTTTGAAAAGAAATATAGCCAGAATTTATGTAGCTTTTTCTGGAATTAATTGTAAACTCAATTACAAGCGTTGGTTGGACACAATAGAGCTTAATCAGGCGGATTGTACTATCATGTGGAGACTATTCTCCACATGTCCATACATATCCTAAAAAAATACTTTGTATGCAATCCTAGTTATATAATATAAATGCTTAATATTTCCTACCCTTTGTGTAATAATGTGCATCCAACCACAAATTATATTTTAGGCTTTTTGCTACTAACTATATAATGTACCTGTTGGATTTTCTACTGATGTCTCTTGTTGCACTATCCACAATGCTGCTGTAATCCTGCACTTCTCTGCTGTGGGAATAATAAAGGATTGTCTTATCGATGACACCTTTACAACAAGGAGTTTAATGTTTTCATTTTATACTGCATCGCAGTTTTCAATAGAGACAAAAGTGCACCACTACGGTGGCATGAAAAGCCCGTTCATCAGAACTTTGGTGAAGTCTTTTACATTACACCATTTATTAAAATTGTCAACCCCCCCAAAAAACAAAACAAAAAAAACATTCAGCATTTGCAAGATGAAGAGGAAACACCAACGATCGGAAGTACAGCCTATTTATTCCGACGGTCGTGTTTCCTTATGATGTCTATGAGGTTGTTCTTGGTGACCAGCGCGTCATCAGGCCCTTGCTTGGCCTTTTGTTTTTCCCTCCTCTGCTGCTCGTGGAGGTGGGGTGAGTTAAGGAGCTGAGGTGGCAGGATTGATCCTGTGGGTTTGACCCGCTTTACCACCTCTATGAATAGACGTTTGTTGCTGTTGTTGAGAAAAGTAATGGCTGTCCCTCTGTGTCCCAGTCGACCTGCCCGGCCAACCTGGATGGGAGGAGATGAAGGATGTTGTCTTACAAAATGCGTTTTTTTGCGTACAATATAAAATTGTTGAACCTCATTATTGTGAAACTCTACTACAGGTATTATTACCAACCTGATGGACGTACTCATCCATTGTGTTTGGCATGTCGAAGTTTACCACCAACCGCACGTTCACCAGGTCCAACCCTCTACCCAGCACACCTGTACTGATTACCACTTCAAAGTCTCCTTCCAGAAGACCCTGAGGATGACACAGAGCAAATACATGGCACGTATTGTGAAAACCCCAATTACATGGACTGCAAATAATAGTATTTACACCAACCAAAGAGACACACACTAGCCTGGTTAAGAATTAAATAATGGAGAAAGTAGTATACAAAAATGACATTAAGTTGAATATAAGTTGAGATCCTCCATCTAAAACTTGAACTTAGTTATTCTTTTTCTGTTTTTAGCAGATGTAGAATTCCATCCAAATGAACTAACGATCATTTTGGGCCTTGCACAACACTAGCCGAGGCTCTAGTTTTTCTTTCCACATTTAATATTTGAAGATAAAAACTGCTTGGTGTGTCTGGCCTCGGCATGTCTGTTGCCTCCAGCTGAAGGTTATTGAGGAGCAACACTCCTGCACACTAAACATGGGATACCTAATATATCTACTCAACAGTGCATGTTCCAGCTGCCATTGGACTCACCCTGAGGATGCGGTTGCGTTCCCGCTGAGTCTTGTCGGAGTGGATTGCCACAGTTTTAAGGCCCGTCACCTTGACGACCGCCTCGCACAGTAGATCAGCGCCAAGTTTACAGTCTACAAAAACCACCACTGGAGGCTGGTACAGCTTACTGTCCTGCAAAGCAGCCGGGGGAAACAAAAGAGCAATGTTAGATTTGATTTTATACACGGTTCTATATATTCATATTCAGTTACTCTATATTCAAATTGAGCTCCTTGGGTTTATGGACTCTTTTTGTTTTTCATTTATCATTTTCTTATCTGGCTTCGAGGAATGTTTAAAAACAATACCTTACATTTAGTGTATTCCCTTCCCACTGGCCATACTATTTAGTATGCAAGAAAAACATTTAGTTTAGAATACTACATTTCACATGCCATAAATACTACAATATTCAGCAACACCAGGTCGTATTTTGCTGTATGCAAACTTCCAAAGTCTATTCTGAACAAAAGTCTTTTGCACAGCAGATATGATGATGTGACCTTTCCCACTTGGAAGCATATCGAACAGTACGTACTTGGCAGATACTGTTTGTTTTTTTTTAATCAAAAAGAAAACACTATGCAACTTCTTTTGTTAGCTATAGGTCCACTGGTGTAGCTCAGGGACAGTAGCCTCACAATGCTTACCCTCTACCTAAATGACAGCACTCATAAATAACAATAAAGAAACGGCCATCCCAACTACCGCCGCTACACAGGAGAGGTAGTTCCTGTGGCTCAGACAATGTTCTAACAGCACTTCTTCATTGACTTAACTACAGCAGACCCTTCCTGTCCCGCCCTTTATAAATGGTCCAAACCACTGCTGGGATTTCTGGAGTGCAGCCATCGCTCAGGCCCACCCATTTCCTCCAGATAAGGGCCGGGGCTGCAGAAATGCCTGTCTAAACATGGTGAAGTGGGCAGACTGGCCCTTGGAGCTGGAGGAATTACAATCTTTACAAACAGTTAAAATACCAATCTGGTGCCAGTGCGTATCGAGACTAACTATAAGCTGAAATTTAGATAATGACACAGTTCCTTTTTTTCCCCACCAAAGCACTTTCCGGTTTGAAAAGTATAATTAACCTTTGTTCTAAATAAAAACAAAGAAAGCCTTTGTTGGCAGTTAAAGTGATACTCCACCCAAAATGTTATAAGTAGAACCAGACTGGCTGACAAAAAGGAGACTGCTAACACAACTCTTCAATTCATTGTTAAAAATCAAAACCTCGAGGCTGTAACCTACATTGAGAATCTCAAACAGCTTCTTCTTCTTGGAGGGTTCCTCCAACCACAGCAAGATCTGCCTCACGTTGGCACAGGGCTGGTTCTTCTCTCCAATGGTGATACGGACGGGGTCGCAAACCAATCGGGCAGCTAGCTCCTCCGTCCCTTTTGGGATGGTGGCCGACGCCAGCAGAGTTTGGTGTTCTTCTGGGACTTGCTCCAAAACCTCCAGGACCTGCTGCTGGAAGCCCATCTTCAACATGGTGTCAACCTGCAGGGTACATCACAGATGCATGTGGCTTCGGGACTTCTGCACACCTAAAAAGCATTTGAATGAACACTTGTAAAATCATTATTATGAAGTTGATGAAACCCTCAATTTTACAGCTTAGATTTTGAAGGGATCCAAGACCCGGAAAAGCCTCTACAGAACGATTTTTTGAAGCACTTTGGTGAAAATATGATTTTTGCCTGCTATAATTTGTGGGGGAGGGAATTGATAGGATATCTTTTTTTTTTTTTTCTTTGACTAAACATCTCTAAAGTCGGTTAAAAGTTGGAAACCTGAGTAATGGACCGGCAGTAAAGCTGACATGTACAGAGTTTGTCAAGTTGTACCTCATCAACCACCACAACCTTCACTTTGTCCAGCTGCACTGCCTTCTGCTTCAGGATGTCAAGGAGTCGCCCAGGGGTGGCTATGATGATCTGAAAAGGGATTCATTGAAAAACGTGGTGATGATGTGGAAAGATACTTTGATTGTGGGAGTAGAAGATTAGTGTTAAAAAAAAAGCAGGCTGTACTTTGATGTTGCTTTTAAGGCGGTGGAGTTGTTGGGGAAGAGGCATGCCGCCCACCAGCAGCGCGGTTCTCATGTTCGGGAGGCCAATCACCAGCTCCTTGGCCTGTCTCTCTATCTGGATGGCCAGCTCCCTGGTGGGGGTCAGGACGAGAGCCACGGGGCTGCTTACACCACGGGCTGCTTTCTAAAAAATGAAAACGCAAAGCATCTTATCACACAAAATTCAAAGTGCCCTAAGCTATGTTACAAACTGGATGTTAGTTACTGTACCTCCATCGCCCTCACTACCACTGGCAGCAGGAAGGCCACGGTCTTCCCTGAGCCGGTGTCGGCGCTGACGATCACATCCCTCCCACTGAGACCCACTGGGACCATCTGCATCTGGACCGGAGTTGGCGCCTGATAGCCGGCCTTTTTCAAGTTGCCACCGAGTGTGGCAGGGAAGCCACAATGTTCAAACTCAATGATGGGTCTCCGCACATCTTCCCCTTGGGTTTCAATGCCCAGCTCCCGTTTAATCCTCTGGACCTGCTCATCCGTTAGGCCGGATATGAACTGATCGTCCTTGTAGGAATAGCCCGGCTCCCTTTCACCCTCTCCACCGGCGTCAACTGCCTGCTGTTGAAGCGGAGTCCTCTCATCTCCGATTACGTCCTTACGGATAAACGCATCCGCCCCCGTCCCCATCCCCATTTGGACCAAATGTTTGGCTTTGCACTCCAGACTGCAAACGTCATTGTCGGTGCTGTCACAAATGTACTCCCCATAGCGACCACACATTACGCAGACAGGCTCCCCTGGCTCTGGCCATCTCTGGCTCTTTTTGAATGATTTCACGGGTTCCTCCTCTTCTTCCTCCGCATCATTTGAGTCGGAGTCGTGTCCATCACCTTGCACTGGAGTCGCCGTCAAACACGCAGAGCTTACGACTGTTGGCTTTGCCTCATCCTGTGGTTTGGTGTCTTCACGTGCGTCCTCCTTCTGAACAGGTGTTGCCGAATCACTTTGGTCTTCGCTCTCCTCCTCGCCTAGCTTGCTTTTCTTATTCAAAATGTGACCTGGTGCCTGGGAAGGTCTCTTTACCTTTAGGGCTCTCGGCATAAACATTTTGATGGACAAACCTGTTAACATCAGATGAGAATCAGATGTAAACATGAAGTTCGTGTCAAAGATTTCAAACTCATAGTTTTGATAGAAACAGCTCAACTGCTCAAAATGGTGGGATTTGTGCTGGTACTGTATAACGAATTTATATAAATGATTTGGATAAATATTATACGGTTACATACCTTCTGTCAGCAGCTTCCAAGGCGCTACCTTCCAACCGTTCAAAACAAACTCCGACGCAGACTTATGACGTATCGTTATATTGCATGTTGGGAAATGGCGTTCCTATAACAGCAGCATGCTTTACGTTGTGGGTGTGGCTTTATAAATGATCGGGGATGTCTACAAGGTTTACTTACATCAATGAAACTGCTGAAGTAAGCAGGCCGGAGAGATGCATAACTTTAAAACCCGGTCAGGTTGAAAATAATGTTAAAAATCTATAGTATTTTTTGTTTTCTGTATAAATGTACGTAGGCATGTTGTCATCTTCGCATGACACATTCAAATGCGCGTCGGAAACTCACCATTATAGTCAAGCTATGCAAGCATGTGGTATAAGGATAACAAAATACTAGATTTTAATGACCGTGCCGCAATGAGGTAAACATATCACAGAAATATTGTACATTCTTTAAGAATTTAACAATTTAAACTAATTTACGGAATACACTATACACTACAGGGCCCAAACAGCATTCACCAGAACGAAACTGTAAATATTCCTGACCGCTTTGAAGGTATCTTGCGCGCATGCGCATTGCACAACAAAGGTACGAGGCTTGTAGAGCCACAGTGCGGCAGGAAAACCGCACCGCGGCACCAAGGCACAGAAAGCCAAACGCATAGGTTTTCAATTCAAGAATAAATGGACGCGAGAAGGAAAATCTACCTGCTTCCAAAGAACTCAGACAATGGAAATATTCCAGTTTCCATTCCGGATGAAGAGCAGCTTTTCATCTGAAATCCAAGGAAACCTTCCCAGTCTGGTCTGACGAAGCCCACTTCAACTGCTAGACAACAGTATGGATGAAAGACGCCAATAGTCCGAATAAGAAGACCCGCAGCCGATCTCGCATGTTGTGACTGAACGAACTTGCGAATTATCCCCGCGTCTGCATCTCATAATTTACAGCGCGTACTCGTTTTCTAAAGAAAGGGGTTTGAGGGGAGGAGGAGGAGGAGGAGGGATGCGTTGTGTTGCTTCGTAGCGTTAAACAATACAATCAAGGGAGAAAGATGAGCGAAGTTCAAGACGTCAGGGATGTTAAGAAGATCTTCGTTGCTCCAACAATAAAGTCTTTTGAGCACTATGACTTCTCCCGAGCCAAAATCTGTTGCAGCCTCACATGGCTGGTGGCCAAAGCGTACGGGACAGGTAGGTGCTGGACCTCACGTGCAACTACCTGCACGCTGCATGACGTCGCATGTCCCTTTACCCCCGGTCTAACGCATGTGCATCAGCATGTTTGATGAACATTCCCCAATGCAATGCATGTGTAATGTTCCAGTGGTTACTTTTGAAAGGCGAAGAGACCAAAACAAGCAAATCAGAATACAAATAACAACAGCGTTACACTGCCGAGCCTTGATAATAGACTAGAGATATTCACTCATTATCCATCGCCCAAGGCAGTATTCTCTACCAGTCTCCCCTTTTCCATCACAGTTAAAGCTGTTTGCTCCACAAACAATATAATCCAATGACCATCTTAAATGAATTGCATATTGGAAAGACAATAAACGTTATCCCAAGGGGAACGGAAACTAATCTCCTGCGCCGTTATCCCGGTGATCAATACTTGCGTCATGGAAAGGCAGTTTGACCTGTCCAGGGTAGAGACGTGGAGGTATGACGGTGTCCCAAATGATGTCACCTTCCGGGAACAGCTTCCAAATTTAGAAAGACATGCATCTCATGAGATATGTAGCGTGCATTGTCAACAGTAGACGACGTGCCAGTTGACAGTAATTTCGGAATAAATAAAAACGTTTGTTGGATTGTCACAGGATAAAAACATTTAAAGCAGTTTTGCAATAAAAAGGTTGCCATGAGGGGATTTTTTGTTAGTAGCAGTAATGCAAATGAGCTAACCAGGGGAACAGAATTGTAATTTAAATGGATTATAAACTTAATTGGGAAATGTAGGGAATTTAATCACAACCTACAATGTGAACAGTGGAGCCAAAAACAAAATGGCATTTCAGTAGAGTAGGTGGCTGTTATGGCTACATAGACAGGAAGCCTGTTACACGGGGGCTCACCTCACACATCCTCATCCTAAGGTTCAAAATAGGATTCAAAGAAGCCGATTTGGTGTTGCGGTTGTCAACCTGAGAGGGAATACTCCTCTTGTCTTCCAATCAGTTGGTTTTGTTAGACAAAGCACCAATGCTGAGAAATCAGTCCAAACAAGCGACGCTGTATAAGGTTATTGCAAAATTACAATGGAATGCACATTCACCGGCATATTTATTAAATATTGAACAAGTCGGAATGCGTTTGATGGTACAACCACTAATCGATGGATGGATGTAGCGTTTTATAAACTCAAATTACCAAAGGTGTTTTAGTGTACATACAGCTGTTATCACCCTCTGTTGTCACCCCGGGGAATTACACCTCAAGGGTTCACAGTAAAAGAAACTCCCCATTACGCCTGTAACACAATCCCCTCCCAGTTACTGTGACGTCGGACCGGTGGCGTCTTACACACACAACAGTGAGCCAGAATGACAAGTCTTAGAAAAAGAGCGTCTTAGTGTTAAATAAGGCCTCCATCCACTTGATGACACTGAAGTGGAAACAATTCTGGTCAGAAACTGAGCGCTGAGGGCAGATTTCTTAGTGAGAGGCCTCAGACATGCAGTCAGTGGTGCAAAGTGTTCTGGGGTTATTTGTGTCCTTATAACCAAATTCAGTTGGTTGGATGGGGCTGATTCCAAAAATACAGCTCTCCAGAGAGAGGGTTAGGGAGAGTGCTGGAGAGAGAGCAGGCTCATGCACGGATCCCTGCCGGTCTGCCTCCTCGCATCCAACGCAGGGCCGGCATCCAGCATATATACTCCTGTGGCGAGGAGCGAGGTGGAGCCCGTGCAGCAGCTGTTTGAGTATGTGCCATAAAGGTGGAATAATACCACCAAGCACAAACCCGAACCGGAGTCTAATGTGCGAGACAAGTGCGGTCCACAAACAGAGCTCAAGAGTATGTGACCAGAGTAATGGGGTCAAGTGTTCGAGGCGGTTGTGAGTATGTTTAATTCTCTCCACATTTCCTTCACCAGTGCTCGGCAGATGCCCCGAGTTCTAAGAAGTCGAAGGTTTGTCAAACAATGGCGACTGGAACGCTGCGTACGTGCACGCGCAAAATGACTCCAAATAGAAATAGATATTGGACGACCAATAACAACTGGGGAACTGATTGCTGTGGATCTGATGATGTCACAGCACATTGAATGGAGAAGACGCGCTTCGGAAAAGTCCGCGTGTTGCATTCAAATGCCTTTTGTAAATCCAAATGAAACTGAGCAATCAGCCAGCTTCAGTCACGTCGCCCCATAGCTCGGGCTGACCTTTGACCTCCCTTTGGAGCATGAAGGGGGAGTTCCCGGAGGAAAAGATACATTTCTTCTTTTCTGTCAATAACAGGAATGAGGTACAGGAAGGGAAAAGCATTTAACCCAGACAGTTGCTTCTGTTAATGTGTGCCTTTCTGTTCCGTGACATCACACAGTCCATCTGCAGATGACCTTGTTGACAAGGACCAGACTAAGCAGGTGATTCATGGACTGCTCTGTGTGCGTGCGTGCGTGTTGGAGGATGGGCAGCCGTTCAGGGGAATGTAACGCTGTCACCACTTGCAACACATCGCTCTGCGTCTTGGCCTCTTATCAGAATCTCTGCATCCCGCTGCCGGCGCAGTGATGGGCTCTGCATCTCCAGTGGGCGCTCAACGTGTTTTTTTTTTTAACGTTTTCACACAGAAGCAGCCTCTTTTGTTTGAAGCATTATTAGTTCTTCACTCTTTCTGTTGTTGAAAAGGAAGGAATTACGTTTGTTTCTCTGTGATATTTTCTGTGCAATAGACTTTTTCAAGCGATGGTTGATGAAAGCAGTAACAGCAGCGAACACTCTGAAGAAAGGTGCAAGACAAAAGCACAAAAAAAAGGCGATGTTTTTGACTTATTTGTGGACTATCCCATTGCAGTGGACTTGCTTGAGGGGAGATGCACACACACTCACACACTCGCACACAGACACACACACACACATACTTGCGGGCTCTCTCTTTGATGAGGCCGGCAGTGTGAGGGGGGTTCCCAGTGAGCTGGAAGCTGCAAAGACACAGAATAGATGAATCGATCGGGCTCCACTCCTGCTGCAGTTGCTATAGCAACGCTGAGGTCTATCCGTTAATATCGACGCCAAAACACTCTAAAAGCGTGGCAATGGAAAGTGAAGCAGACTCGCCAAAACAAAAGCCAAACTCCGATGAGATTTGTAATAAACCAGATCCTTAATTGAGATTTGCTAAAGACAAAAATCGGGGGGAAAGTTTTAAGTTATTACATGAAATGTTCATCCTCAGTTTATAGCTCTGTGTGCCGCATACAAAGTTAGCTCAGTCCCTTGTCTCCCTTCCACCATGCAGACAGCATCCCGGCGGACCTGAAGGAGCCATTCTACACGGACCAGTATGAGCAGGAGCACCTGAAGCCTCCCGTGACCAGCCTCCTGCTGTCCGCCGACCTCTACTGCAGGGCCGCCAGCCTCGTCCTGAAGAGCGACGCTCAGGAGCCCCTGCTGGGCCCCGATGCCGTCATTCAGGCGCTGGCCCAGCGCGGACTCTACGTCACCGACCAAGAGAGGCTGGTGACTGAGAGGGACCTCCGGAAAAGGCCTCTGCAAATGGTGAGAGAGATTTGGAGAGGCGTGTCTTCTCATCTTGTAGCTTTGTGGTACTTTAATGTTATTTTATTTTGAAAGGTCAGCACAGTAGCTGAATTATGGGCCGGTAATGTCACGTCCCACATACACAAAACCCGTCACAATCTTATTCCCAGGAAGATAACCAACCATACGAGGATTCTGTGGAATAAAACACGTCAGAAGTTTGTTGACAGTAACTGCACATATTAAGTACCAATTTACTTCAAAATATCATACAAAAATCAATACACAGTCACAATGGTTAGGCAGTAAAAATGCACAAGACAGAAGGGGCGTAATTTATTTCCTTTTTACAGATTGTTCAAGCCTTTTGGGGGATAAAACCAACATTCTCACAGTGCAAGCTGACTAAAGACCTCACGGCATCCTCTCTCATCTCCCACTGTCCTCGTCGCTGCTCACTGTGTGTTTGTGCTCGGGGTTCAGATGACTATGCGGGCATCGTGCTGAGCGGGAATGAGGGATCCTCATGATTCGGGGGCAAAGTCTCAATAGGAGGCTGCTCTGCTCCAGTGAATTGCAATTGAGGAACGATTAGCACACAGTGTGCCTGTAGTCTGTTTAGAGAGTCTCGCTAGTTTTAATGTCACTTCTATGCAAATTTGAAAGGTATTTAAGTTCTGTTGGGGTTTACATTCCACGCTGTTTTCTTTAGTGAAGACAAGTCTTTTAGCACAAGTTCATCTCACAGGTTGTTGATTAATGTCAAGTTAATCCCTAACATTTCCCAAACACTTTTCCTTCCGTTCTTTATTGTCACAACCTTGCTCTCATTCTTTCCTCTCAGCATTCGTCCATTCCTGTATTATCTATCGTTCACCGCAAACTGTCTTTAAATGACATCATTAACGTAAGCTCTACAGCCACACGTTCCGATAAACGATGATGGTTTAATCCCACTGATTCAATTGATGATAGATGGATTCATTAATCCTTTTTAAAATTAGTTTTAATGAGGTTTGAAACTAAAAGATGCCGCAACCCTGTGCAATACAGTTTTCTGCACATTTGAGACAGTTCATGTGGATTACCTGCTGCAAATGGAAATGACAGCTGTGCTAGGGGATCATCTATTATTTAGAAACCGCTTCAACATGGTGACCAGGAGCTGTCCAGGCTGAGCTCTGTGGGGGAGTGGAGTTATCCGAGGGGGAAGGAGACAATAAGTATTCTGTTCTATGTGGTGGGAGGGAAACCTCACCGTGAAAGAGCGAGAGACTGAGCTCCTACCTGCAGCTCTAAGCCGCTCAGGAACAGAGCACAGCGATTCTTAAGCGGAGCACATTTCTTTACCTTAGCAGTTTGCATAACGCACAAGAACTTACAGAATAATCAACCTCGGGGATGTTTGAGGGAGCTTTACTAGGTCAGTCAGCGGCAGAGTTTGATGCTGATGAAGTCTTGTCTGACACGTGTCACAACCGAGAACGGTCACTGCCTTTTTTTCACGAGGTTGTCGACTGACTTTGCATTTTAATCGTATTACTTCTGTCCCCTTCTGTCGCTTATTCTGCCCGCTCATCCTTCTGTGTTGAGCCACGTGACAAAAGTGAAGCTGACGGCAGTGACGGCCCCCTCAGTCGCCTACGCGCTGCTCTGCACTGCCGACGCTCTCCTCCACCTGTAGCGCTCCACAGAGAACCAGGGAGAGATGTGGAGGAGGGCTGAGGATCTGACAATAGTATTCCAGTATTACGCATTGCAGCCCACGTAAAGCATTTGGAAAAGCGTGATGATGATCGCAGGCTTGGATTGATAATAATAGTTCCTGTTTTTGTTCTTTTCACAGCTTTATTCGGGCTCATGAAAAATTGAACTTTACTCTTCAAAAACATACTTCAGAGGGCCTTGTGTCCATCCTTTATTCTTTAAGTACAAGAAATGTAACTATATATGTACAAAGACTATTACATTGATATTTAACATTTCATGTTGAGAAAAAAGTCATTCATTATTTTTTACTGTGTGACGGATTCATTTGTCAATTCCTGTCTGGCATATGGATGAGTGGAGGGGAATATGCTTCTTCCTCCTGCTAATTTCCTCTCCTCTGTTTCTTCCATCCCAACCCCTATTGGCCAGGCACTCCGTTTCCATGGTTACACTCCAGTAGGCAGGGTGTTGTGTGCATGTGCGTGTGTGGGTGGGTGGGTGGGTGCAAGAGTGGGGGTGCTTCTGCTTGCATGTGTCGTATGCGCAGCCTGTGCTTGTATGTGCAGCCATGTACTGTGAGAACACGACTCTGAATACTGAAACGCTGGATCCATAGCAGCGGGCAGATGGTACTTCTATGATGCTGCATCACACGCGCACACACACACACGCGCACCCACAAACGCACAGCGAACCACAGAAAGCGAACCCGAGTGCCAGAAAAACATACATCCCATCATCAAACCATTCTCTTCCTCTTCGCCTGATCTTAAGAACAAAGGTGAAGTGAAGCGGCGCGGCGGAAGGGAAGCCCGTCAGAGCACCGTCGGCCCCTTCTGCCTCCAAGAAGTCGCAGCCAGTTAACGCTCATTGCCAGCACAGGACGGATGGACGGGCAGCGATCATTTTATGTCCCGAGCATCTTTCTGCGCCGGCCACAGTTAGACTGGGTTTCATGCTGAGACGTTCTGGTCTGTGTTTAAAATCAAATATCTATTTCATAGGGTTGAGGCATAAAAACCGTTGAACAATGCATAGAGAGCAAAAAAAGCTAAAGCACATAAAACACAGGTCAGTAGCCAACGATTCTTTTTCGTTTTCTTTTCGTCAATCTAGCATGCAGAAATATTTCAAAATGCATTAAGTCAAAACAAATATGTAAATTGTACAGCTCCGTGTAGAGCTACCTAAGGCACGCTGATCCCAGGTGAGGAGCCGATGAAGGAATAAGTGGAAGACATCGACTGCAGATCGCCGTCGTTGGTCCCCTTTGGGACGGTCACGTAGGAGAGAGCCTGCTAGCTCAGCCTGAAGACATAACTGGCACAGAGATAGATTTCTGTTCACTCTCAGCATATTCACAAAGAACATCTGGGATAAAGGAACACCGAGGATGTATTTTTCAGACGTAACAAGTTCTCAGTTCAGTGATGTTGCACACACAGATCTCCTCACATGTCTGAGAAAGGGGATTCGTTATTATTATTTCCATACATCTGTACTGCAGTTATACATGAAAAAGGAGAAGGTAAAATTCTATGATGAATGTGCAAATTTCAAATTTCCTTTTGTTTCTATGTATCCTGATCAGGTTTAATGGCAGCTTATTGCACTAAAAGAGAAAACCTGTGTCATTTACTCTTTGGAATTGAGTGCAGAGGATTTAAAAACAAATCATTCTCTCTCCACGTATCTTACATTTTTCACCTGGTTCTCCTTTTTACTGACATGACAAGCTATAATGGTTAAGCTATAATAGCACTTAATCCTCAACGAATTTATCCTGCTACAGATTTGGCCCTTCTAATAAGAAATTAAACAAGCATTATGGTTTTACATTGAATTAAACATCGCACTTGTTTTTGAAATGTCCCAAAAGGGTAAAATAACAACAGCAGTGCAGACAGAAAGACAACCGGGATCCTGAACCGGTAAAATCAGGCAACGCTCTGCAGATAATCCGCAGCACTGTGTTCTGCTTTGTTGGAGACCCAGTTTTACAGCGCTCACAATGAGATCCCACATGCTGCTAAATTGAGACTATCCCATAGAAGAGAAATGCAGTGTTTTGGACAGCAGCAGTGTATGAGATATAGCTAAAAGCAAATTTCCTACTGTGGTCTTATATACCCTCTCACAGGGATTTATAATGCAGGCAGATGATGTTTATTTTAAATAAGTGGTCTTTTTTCCTTTAAAATCGCAGTCTTTTATCAGCGTCCAGGCATGAAACAGTTTCAAACCCAGAGGGCCTTTTTCAAACCTGATGGAAGGATTTGGAGTGCGGGCGTTTCTCCAGGCTGAGTCAACGCTGGCTGGTAGCCGGGATAGCGTCCCCAGATCGTGTAGTCTGAGGTTAGCTTTGAGGTTTCCACATAATTGCTGGGTTGGGTTTGGAGCATTTGGAGCGGGAAGGTACTCTGCTTAAAAGCTCCACTCCCACAAGTGATGCCAGACCTCACGGATGGAGAAGAACATTTATTTTATTTCTGCTCCCGATCGGACAAGTTGTTTGAGAAAGGAGAAATGCCTTCTCTTTTTTTAAATGAAGAAAGAAAGAGAGAGGACTAGAAGAGGAAAGCTTTATTTTACCCCCAAAAATGTCGATAATTGTGGGAAAATGAGTCCAAATACAAAATTGTTCTATTTCATTCAAACAATTCATTCAAAACGGATTCACTTAATTAAATGGTTTAAATCAATTCTGTGTGACTAACAGATTTCGGGTTTTTCCTTGTCACCTCAATTTAGTTTAAAAATCGAAGGATTTTCTGCTCTAGCTGGCAAACACACGACAAACAACACAAGCAAGTGCATAGAATACTAAGTCTTATTGAGATAACATTAAAGAAATTAGGTAGAATGTTCTTCATTTAAGTCATAGAGCTGTGCGCTGTATAAGCATCAGCTCTTGATCTTTATTGTACGCTATCATCACTTTCTTTTTCACTAATGCACAGAATTCATAAATACCGTAATTTAATTGGCGGCCTCTCTTCATTTAACTTCACTTTAAGCATTAGTGGTGACCTTCAATAAAGACCACAGAGAGAGAGAGGGAGAGCGAGAGGGAGAGAGAGAGGGAGAGAGAGAGGGAGAGAGAGAGAGGGAGAGCGAGAGAGAGAGCGAGAGAGAGAGAGAGGGAGAGAGAGAGAGAGAGAGAGAGAGGGAGAGAGAGAGAGAGAGAGAGAGAGAGAGAGAGAGAGAGGGAGAGAGGTACAGCTGAGAGCTTTTCTGTGTCCATCCGAGGAAAAGTTACCTGAAGCTTGACAGTTTAATTTTTAGACATGTGCCCCAGAATGGAGCCTGCGTGGCCTGGACAGGACAGCTGTAATACTAAAAGCAGACTCTATTAGCCACGGCCCACTGCAGCCCCTTAAAGTCTTTACTGTAAGTTGTGGTAAAGACATTCATGTAGTCATCAACTCAATTCAGATCATGGTGCAGTGGAAAGTCATTATAATGATTTCAGGTTGAGGTTGAGGTCTTCTGCTACTTTGTTCCATAACAAGCAGCTCAACGAAGGAGATTTAGTTTATTTACAACAAACACAGGACGCGGAGGGGGAACGCCTGACGCGCTGTCCTTTTGTAGTGTCTTTTTTGTTAAAGCCGGCATCTACCGTGGATTTTCATCTCTCCTCTTTCACCGAGAAGCCGTATTAAAGATGAACAGTGTTTGCTTATCTCCCCGGAAGGAAATTCTGAGATTCAATAAAGTAGCAGGAACAATAATAACAGGATATTGACCGTGAAGGAGCATCTTCTTCTCTTATGACAAATCAAAGTAAGGTTTCTCGACCTTAATCAGCTTGGATGAGAAAGAAAAAATAATTGTGTGTCTTGGTCAGAAAACGGCTTGCGGTGTCATATGGCATCACAGTCGCCATGTGATGAATGCGGTGTCATATTTAAGGAGAGACTTAAAGCAGTCTTGTTATTTTAGATTTTTGAATGCTGGGAAGAAATTTAAAGAATAAATTTAAAGGGAGTGAATTTAAAACATTCACAAGCCACCATCGCCTGCATCCATGTGGTCACTGATCCTTCTAGCTTTCATCTGACAATCAAACATGGTCAGCCGATCCTTCACTGACCATTCGTTTGTGTTGCAGTGTGTCGAGAAACTCAGAACTAACTCAGTTACAGAAACTCTATCTGCTCTATCAGCTTTGTAACCAGTGAATCCTTTCAATTTGATCACCAAGGCTGTATCCTGCCATGAAAGGAGAGCGTGAAATGTTTCATGATTTCCAGTTTTTTTTAACTTTGGGGAATTAAAAGAAGTCGTCCTTTCCATCAGAAATTAGACTCATGTTCTTTGCACAGTTATCACTTCGAAGGACAAGCAAAGAACACTTCTCCTTGGTCAAACTCATTACACCCTTTAGTAACTGAGCTGGATTACAACACCCACACGCACACATAAACAGAATGTGACTTCATTGTCTGCTCGGGAAACCATCCTGCCGTAAACGCAAATATTCGCCTCAGCAATGCTTTGCCTTTTGCATTGAACACCCTTAAGTACTGATAGAAGCTTCTTTGTCTCTTGGAAAGTTGTGCGTGATCCCGGCGTCAAAAACACCCGGATCTGGAAGGAAGTGGTCCTAAACTAGGTTCCTCCTCCACACGCAGTGTCCAGGTATCATTCAATATGATAAGAGGCTGCTTGTCTATGGTCTACTAAACTAGATTAGTTCACCCTGTTTTTGTCCCATGTAAATCAGAGCCAAATCAATATCATCGGATCACTGAGCAGAAGGGAGGAAACAGGAGTCAAAAGAGGCCTTGGAGGAATGACGCTGGTCCCTTGGCCCTTTTAAAAATTGATCTCACCTGGAGTTGAAATGCAGAGCAGATTTGTGACTGCAGTACAAACTGATAACAGGATGTTTGTGCTTTTGGTCGTTTGTCTCTGCGACGATGTACTACAATGTTTGGACGGGCCTAATCAAGGGCCATAGGAAACATCTTGGCAGTATGTTATTAAATGGGATTGGTTTTCCGCCTGGTTACCAGATCAGCAATGGAGGACATTAACCAATAAGCCACAATCCCACAGTAAAATCCACATACAGAATATAATGCTACACATTTACATATTTTTTAAGAGAATCTCTTATTTTTCCTTATTTTGCCATAACGCAAATTATACACCCCATCAACATTAGTGATTGATATCTACAAAAAAAAAATCAAACCCTGCCTTATTATTAACCCAAAATGACAAGTTGTTCTTTAGCGACAGAGTGAGCAAACATCAAGCCTCTCCAGCGTCACTCTCACCTTAACAGTCTGGAGTGATTTGTTGAGACATTGTTCTTCTGTGACTCTTCGAGGAGTCGCTTCAAATGTACGGCTCATTACTCGGGTTAGCTCATGGAAAACCAGCCGCTCAAGCAGAAATATTTGGCGTTTTGTTTCCTGGATGTCTGTGGTGGTTACACAAGACCGTAAAGACAATTACATTACATTACATTGCATGTCACTTAGCTGATGCTTTTATCCAAAGCGACTTACAATAATTTGCATTCAACCGTAGGGATACAAACTCAGAAGAGCAAGAAACAAGAAAGTGCAATTTCACTATAAATAATAGCCATTAGAAGTATGATTAAGTTCTTTGTTTAGTGTTTTTAGTCAGGGAATCATCTGAAAAGGTGTGTCTTTAGCTTGCGGTGGAAGATGTGAAGGCTCTCTGCGGTCCTGGTGTCTTCAGAGAGCTCGTTCCACCATTTCGGAGCAAGGACAGCGAAGAGTCGTGATCTAGTCGAGTGTTTTGCTCTCAGTGAGGGAGGAACGAGTAGTTTTGCAGATGCAGAGCGGAGAGTGCGGGTCGGGATGTCGGGTTTCACCATGTCCTGGATGTAAGCTGGACCCGATCCATTCACAGCATGGTACGTGAGCACCAATGTCTTGTTGTGGATGCGGGCGGCCACCGGTAGCCAGTGAAGAGAGCGGAGGAGCGGAGTAGTGTGGGAGAACTTCGGAAGGTTGAAGACCAGTCGAGCTGCTGCATTGTGGATGAGCTGCAGAGGACGAATGGCGGTAGCGGGGAGACCTGCCAATTAGAAGACAATAAAGGAACATGGGAATCTAAATGAAGTTACATGTAACTTGTCCACATATAGCTTACTCAAATTGATAATTAAAGTGATAACAAAAACAAAAGGATTCATGTTTATTAGCAGTTAAAAAACTCCAGCCAGTGATAAAGATGAGTAGTATAATTGTTATAAATACTATTAATTGGACTTATTCAGGCCTCAAACGGCGGCGGTCCTTCTCGGCAAACTGGATATTGTAACCAGGGATTAAGGCATTCGTTTCCAGGGCAACGGCCACGAGGAAATGTTTGACTGAATACCGCTGTAAAGTGGAGGATTTGGTGTCCCGGTCCAATCCTTTGAGTCAGTGCCCTTCTGATGCCTTTTCTACCCACTCGGTGCTATCTCCACCGTGCAGACCGGAGGGGCCATTTTCAAACCTCACAGCGGGTTTTATGATTACGCGGCCAATCCAAAGCGCTCCGAAGTATTTCTTGCCCTCTAGCACGTGCATTTCTTAATGGCTCGCTTGGTAGAAAAGGACACGACAACATGCAGGAAAACGCTGGTTTTCTCATCTTGATTCTGTTGAAGTACCAGAGTTCTTTCAGTCCGGAAACCACCTGGAAACGTAGATCAACCACCTGTCATGGCTCGGTTCATTTCAGAGGGAGGATATCTATCTCTTTAGATCCAATGTTAATGAAACAAAAGTCTTCATGTCATTATCTTAACACACAAACTTGAACAAGGAGTTGGTCTTTTCTGTTGGGTTTGACCATTGGCTCAAAACAACTTAAATATACTTTCTCCAGTAGACGAAGCACAGCAGAAATCCACTTGAATCAACTGCTACTTTAAAGCGTCTGGTTTTCACCATCTTACTTTTTTCACTTCCAGAGCGCCCACCTGGCGCTGATCGACGCCCTGATGATGGCGCACACGGTGGAGACGGTGAGCGTTGAGAAGGTGGTGGCCTGCATTCGTCAGTATTCGTCCCGAGACCCTGAGGTGGAAACACCTTATGATACAGAGGACGCCGTCAACACCTGGATCAACAAGGTGGGGACACGGTGTCTCTTTTTTTTTTTAATCATAGATTTAAAAAATGACACATTTGACCCTCCTTTTCCCCTACTCGTGATCTCAACCTGTTTCTGGCACCAGACCATGTAAAGTCCAGACTTTTTGCACTTTCGCACACAGAAAAACAGCTACACCAAATGTCGCCTCATGCTAAGACATTCCTCGAGACAACAAGCACATGGCAGTTTCTCTGGACGTACTGCTTTTAAATAGAAGGTCATTTGATGTCATGTGGTTGCTGTTGATTGGGTGCTCAAGTAATATTTCACATAATCTTTCTTGTAAAAAACGTATGGAAAGCCAATGCATAGTCTTTAAAAGCGTTCCATAAAATGCATTGCTACAGTACCTATTAGACATCACAAAATGTAACCGAACACCCTTTGAACCTCCACCAACAGACCAATTGTAAGTAGTGGGGGCGAGTTCCAAGGTCTGGAACCAGGCTGCTTACATGCGCCGTGTTTGTCAGCGTTTTTACGTTTTGAAGGGTTTTGGGAACATGGTCTGCACGGGCAGATGGACTCCTCCATACCGTCCAACAGGCTCCAGTCTGTTTACATTCTTCTAGTAGGAACAGTGCGCTGCTGCCAACTATGAGCTCCACACACACACACACACACACACACAATAGCTAACAGGTGTGGTCATGGAGTCTCACCGATTGGACATACTTTAATTCTCAAAGATCCCAACATCTACTGGCTATACTTCTGATTCCTGCTTTAAGTGAATCCATATGAATTTGAGGAGACACAAATTGTAAAAACACAAAAAAAGTCATAATAACAAAATTAACCAAAATGGTCAAAGAGCAATTGTTTATTCACAATCTCCCGTTATTATTGTTATAGCGGTGAAAAATGACATTGTTGTCAACTTAATCGTCACTGTTCTTAGAAAACAAGTAACGTTCTGCATATTGTCTTTTAGTCATCATCTGTGATGATACTGAAATGTCCTTTGTCTCTCAGGTAAACGAGTACCTGAAAGACGTCGTAGCTCAGGATCAAAGGAAGCGGGAGACGGAGGGCGCCGAGCCTGCTGGGAGTCCTCGGGTGGGTGCTTCTCTTTTTCCTTCAACCAGTACACAAATACATACAGATGTCACCAGTTTGATGGACACTTAAAAGCAAGCTTAAGTGAAATCTTTGGCTACACTTAATTGATTTTGCACAACATTCTCCTTTTGTGTTACCAGAGTGATGTGACACTTTAATATCTGAGACTAGTTTCCTAGAGAAGATCTAAAGCCCCTAGAAACCCAGAAAACATCAAAGAAAATCTCTGAGCTTTAGCTGGAGATCAGTCTGCCTTTTTTTTGAATTGGAAAGAGAGAGAATGCCGGCCTGCATCTCCACCATTATAATGAGTTTATTCACCCTGATGAGGGCACAAGCTTCCCTCACTTTATTTGCTTTAACCAGCAGATCTGTGCTTGAGTGTTTAGCCATGTTCAGGATGCTCTCTGCAGTCCAAACATCTTATACAAATCATTCTAGAGTCAGCAGTGATTTATAGTGCATGTGCATTTTAGCAACTAGAGTAATCTGTGTTTGGATTCTGTAGTTTAGACCACATTTGCATTAAACCGTTCGCTGATCCACTGAGTAATGCTCAGATTCACTTGTTATATGGAAATCTCACAAATGACCACGTTAAAGCTTTTCGCCACACATAGATTCCACCGTATTCAGTTTTTTTGTGTCAGCGCTACACTTAATATGTTGTGGTCAGAATTGGCATTGGGGGGAGGAGCAAGCGATGTCACACACAAATGAACGATTCAATGTTTTTTGAAAGTTGTATTCAGTGAGGCCTAAAAGTAATAGACTCACTGCACGCACGTTAGACAAGCACACTATAAAGATACTCTTTCAGCAGCAGCACTCACTCTACTCCCTCTTCTGCCCTTCATTTTATTCTGTCTACCTGTGCAAAGTCAACCTGCCCTCGTTCTCTAGTCTCTCCTCTTCTCCACCTCAGACCTTTCCTCACCTCTCCTCCTGGGCCATGCGTCCTTTGCCAGCTTCCCCTCTCTCTCGGTTTATGTCAGGCAACACACGCTCAGTGATGCCGCTTTGAGGAAACGTTCAGTGAGTTAGAAAGTCTACCTCAGGGGAAATATTGAAACCCCGTCTCTTGTGTTTTAGCCCTGAGAAAGTTGAAATTGAGCAATGCAGTGTGTGTGGTTCCCTTCCCTGGGAGTTTGATGCTGATCTGACGAGTCAGTGTGCACACGCAGCAGCGCACACCCCAGTTATCCCACATGAACACACACATTTTTTGACTTTTGATATGTGACCATTCATTTTATCTTTAGATCTTTTTTTCGAATGCTGGTTGAAGAAAGACAGAGGAAATATGCTCTCTGCAGGCTGGAGCTAGTGTGTCTGCTTAGAGTTTAAATAATAATCAGAAGTACCCAAGTACCCAATAACTATCAACAAGAAGACGAGTGCAGGACTTCAATTTGTGCCATATGAAGACTCGATGAAATAACGAGCCGTTATAGAACTTCTCTTCGCGTTGATTACGGGACAGTTTTTGAACTTGAATTTGTGTCTGACTTCAGTCAGGGGACGTTGCATAATAACTGCAGCTGCGTTGGCAGAGGAAGGCAGGCACAGTCAGCTTCTTGAATATATGAATGTAATAATAACTTTGGCTCCATCCCACGGTTTTTTTAATCTTTTGCCTTTCGGTATTGAAGTTTGTATTTGTTTCTTTGTCCTTTTCTAGCAGTCAGGCCAAAACACACACACACACACACACACACACATATATATATATATACATATATATATATATATATATATATATTTATATGAGTTTTATATTTATATGAGTTGATTGGCCCATCAGAACAGTGTAAGGACGTCTTTACATGGAGAAAAAAACAATAATTCAATCAAAAATAGTGCACTACCACTTTTCAGGGAGGATGTTTTTTTTCTTCTTTTGCTGATGTCTGGCAGCTCTTTCTATCCTCCCTCTATCGCTCCCTCTCAAGACCTCCCCCCTTCTGTCTTTGCCGTGTGACTGCAGTGTGAGTCACGCATGCAACCTCTCCCTCAGTCAGATCGAGACGCTACGACAACACCGTCGAGATCACCAGGTCCTCGGGTTGAGCCCGCGGTCCCGTGGCCAGTGGCGAGGGTGGGCGCCGGGCGGGAGGGGCCGTGGTCAGTAACTGGAGGGGCAACAACAGGACGGACGAGCGAGGACTAATCTGAGCTGAGCCGGGCTTCAGAGGATGAACTTTGATGGGAAGAGGGGAAAGTTACAGGATGATTGCAGTGCAGATGGATGGGGGGCATGCGCGTGCACGTACACACAAGCGTGGTAGGCGTGTGTGTGTGTGTGTGTGTGTGTGTTCTATAAGGAGATGATGAATGAGGGGCCCTCACCTCTCCCCAGGGGTTTGATTGGTTATAACAGATTTTAAACGCTGCTTGAACCTGCTTAACCCGCAGTCTGAGATCATCTCTTGAGATGAACGGTCTTCTTCTTTCAACTAACTGGGGCAGCAAAACCATGAACTCAATGCTAGTGTCTCTGGCTATTCAATAAAAGTTTTGTCATTAGCAAAAAAAACTGTTAGAAAATCAGCCAGCCTGAGTTTCACCCTCAAAATAAACCCTGCAGTATTTTTTCACTCTTACTTTTCAAATGTTGTACTGAGAGGACTAGAAACATACAAAGTATGTGGTGCTGTGCATAATGGACCGTTTCTGCAATTCACTATTATCCGACTTGGAAATATTTATTTCAAGCAAGTACTTTTACTACAACACAGCAAGAGTCACATTCATGCTGCACGTATCAGTTTCAAAGGCGGTCCATTCACCGGCAAATATATAAAACAGATTAACTAATCAAATGATTAGATTACATCACGTGTGTTCCTCTGATGGCATCAGACTCCTGCTATTGACTGTAAATTCCATTCAGAGAGCTGTCACGTTAAACCCAAGAAAGCCTCCTTTTGCTGTCTTTATTCTTCATTTTGGGGGTTTCTGTGCAAACGGCTGTATTTTCCTCGCGAGCCACGGCTCTCTGTTTGAAGTTGAGCGCGTGGCAGATCGTGTTACTGTTACATGTCACATTTGGTTCTTTGATGCTTGTAGGTAGTCTGGGAATTAGCTATTAACCGAGCCTCTCTGGAATCAGCTGACATTGTCGGGCGGACAGATGACAGCTTGTTTTCATTTATACGGTGGGGTTGTTATTTAGTTATTTGGGCTAACTTAACACCCTCCCCTTTAGGGACAGATTTTGTTGGGGTCATACGGGTGCTTCTTGATGCCAAGCTTCATCTCAGCAGTTTGAACTCCCACAATTGACAGCTTTAAAAACACCGGCAATGAACATTTTTGAGATTTAGTCTGAACACCAACAGTCAGGGAGTGTATCTAAAAGTGTAACTAAAACGGTATAAGGACCTATTAATTTACAAAATCCTACATGTAGCTTCCTAATGATCCACATTCCTGTCACACATTTGCTTCATATGGGCTTTGTTGTTTCACCTGTCAGCTGTAGTGGCATTTTATTTGAGGGAAACCTGTATATTATCTGGTCACTAAACTCTTATTCTGTGAATACATGAGCAGTAAAAGCCAAAACACACACATCGTCATTACACTACACAATATCCGGGTTATTTGTGAGCTGCTATTTGTAAGTTCTCTTTGGATTTCTGCTTCGTGTTTTACTAATCACATAACTAACTAATCTCACTAACAGGTCTTTATGTCTTTGTTGTTGTCTTTTCATTCGCTGTGCTGCTGCAGTCTCCAACCAAGTGGTACATGAAGCTTGTGCCCGTAAGTCAACTAATCTGTGCTACCCTCTTCCATCTACGTATCCATGGTGACCGTCTCTGCTCCCTTCTGCATGTCTTGTCTCGGTTGCCATAAATGTTTCACATGTGTGCACATGAACCTGTGAACCCGACAATTACACGATAACAGCTTTTCTCGTTCTCCCAGTTTTAATTAACAAGTGTTCCCTTAATTCCGCATCCACAAATACTACTTTACAGTAAAAATGTAAAATCCCTGGCATACAGACATTTGGAATAAGTGTATTTAAGACTACGTCCTTGTATTTTTTAATGTGAAGGTCCTTATTAGTGGAACTGGACACCCATGAGGAATTGCTAAAGAGGTCCCAAGGGATTAGCCCCAAAAATGTAATAAATGCTTAATTTTATTAGAATTTAAATTCATATTGTGGACGCCTGGGAGCATTTGGCATGGAACGTTCCAGAGTCCCTGCACCAGCTCTCATTGTGGGCTTTCTTGTAACATTATCTCTCTTTGACTCATACATTTAGTAGGTTTTAGTGGAAGGCCGAATGTAAATATGTTTGCCATTGTGCTGCACTTATAGTTAACATAACAAAAGAAAACTGGCACATCAATGTATGTTTGTAAGACAATATTAAAGTTGAATTGAAAAGCGGGTGGGAACAACTCTCCCTGCAAAGCAAAAATGACCTACTTTCTTTCAAGAGTGCTTCTAATGAAGCCTGGAAACGTGTTCTAAATTGGTCAAAGATCCAATAAAGGCACAACTGCTGTGACGGTCAAACTGCCAGACATCACTAATTTAACAGGAAAGACAAACAACAGTCTGGCCCAACAGGTACTCTAGATTGTCTGCACAGTGCAGATTGATTTCTAAGTGTTTAATGTGACGCAGGCGCGCTACAGGAAGGAGCAGTCGTCCACCCAGCTGGTTCCCTGGATCCCCCCAGTGGACAACCTGCTGAAAGACAGCGCGGACGGCTCGGCGCTGGGCGCTCTGCTGCACTTCTACTGCCCTCAGCTGCTGCCGTTGGAGGGTAAGGAGCTAACGGTTGGTTTGGAACAGGACGCCCGGCAACACGGCACAAGGTTCAATCTATCTGCAGGGACTCTAAAAGACCAAAACAAATAAAAAGGGAAATGCAAAATACACACATTTAGAAACACAGTGTCTGGCCCTTTATACTGTTTCTGCACTTTGAAATCAAAGCTGTTAAGCTGTGTACATATTTCAACTTTACGCTACAAAAAAGATAGCTGAGCTTTAGCATGGATAAGTTAAATGGGGAATACTTTTAAGATCACATTTATAAAAAAATGGTGAGAATGCGGTGGAGGTGTGATTTGTGCCATTTTGAGCACCGGCTCGAATGGCTACTCAAAGATCAGTCATGAACAAAAGATGCAACGTAATCTAATCACTTTGCTAATGAAGTGTGTTGACTGCAGGCCCACAACACACAAACACACACGTAGGATAAACAAAACAAATTTACACACAAACGTTCGTCCGGGCACCAAAGATCACTCACGTGACGCTGTATCAACACACAGCTCCGCCTACGGATTGAAGACGTGCTAACGTGTGATTGTCATGATTGGTCAGTGTCAGGGGGTCATTGTGCTTTAACGGCTCAACACTTCCTTACTAAAGCTCCTTCAACATCGAACTCAACAACGCTGCACCGGCCTCTGATCCCAAAGGGCACCTGTGTTTTCTAAAGAGAACCCCTCTAACGTCCCCTCTAAAGTCGTACTGACGTCACACTGACACCCGATGGCTCCCTTTGCCTTCATCTTCCCAGACGTTTGCCTGAAGGAGAACATGACGCTGGCCGATCGGCTGTACAACCTGCAGCTCATCCAGGACTTCTGCAAAGACCACCTGAGCAGCTGCTGCCACTTCAGCCTGGAGGACATGCTGTACGCCTCCTCCAGCATCAAGGTACGCGCTGCACTCCACACGGAGCTTTCACACTGAAATGATTCCTCTTACTTCCATATCAAACCGATGCTTGGGACCTGTTTGGTTGTGTCAGTAAGCTACTGCAGGTCTTCAACAAAATGAAAAACCTGCACCGGCTGTATTTAGTCTTTTTTTTGTTGTCATTTTAGCATTTCAGTTAGTGTGTAGTCGTCCAAACGGTCTTGGAGATCTAAAATGTGTGCGTGTCCACAGGATGTAGAAAGGCCAATTGTAGTATAAAATATGACCTCACATTTTTCAACCCTTTTACGAAATAACAGATGAAGTGTTTTGTGGTTGTTTCCATGAGCCCATACAAGTCATGGATGTATTCATTCATTCATGAGTTCTTCATCAAATGTGATGTGAAAACCATGTGGAACGGCATCCAGTGAGAAACGCTAAACCAAACAGGAGGAAGGAGTTTTGTGGGCCAGTGTAGTGAGTCATGCTGTGGAAAACACATCCAAACCCAAACCACGATTGTGTTGATCTACGCTGCTCTCACAACATGGTGTTTTTTCATCCTCTTTTTAATTTCCTGTCTCTTTCTCTTTTCCTTTTTCTTTCCTTTTCTTCCTTTGCTAATTTGCCTTTCAACACTTCACTGGCTTGTCTTACTTTCTCTCTTTCCGTCTCTTTTCACTCAGACTTTCTGGGATTTTCTGCAGTCATACTTTGTCTCGCTCCGTGTCCTCGCCCTTTCATAATCCGTCATTTTCTTATTCCACGTGTCTCTCGCTGACTCAGAAATGAGAGACAAACACAAACTCTTGTTGTCCTTCTGTCTTGTCCTCATCCATCTTGCACAGAAGCCGGGTTCATGGCAAACAAGGTCTCACGTTGGAGAAGCACGTGCTAAATTTAACAAATGTGTGTGTGTGTGTGTGTGTGCATGACTAATAGGACATTCATGTAAAAGAACAGCGTTCGCTCTATAAAATATCACCCTTGTTGTGTCGTCGGCTGAAAACCTTTTGAACCGAATGGCCACGACGTGTCAAAACAGAGACTCGGCCTCAGGATTGTTTCCGGAGGTTCGTTCGTAACTTTGCATCCTCGCTGCGGGCTCGCGTTTGTCCCCGATGTGTCCCCAACGTGTCCAGCTCAGTGAGCAGCTGCAGAATCAGTAAAAAGAGCTGATGTGCGTGGATGCCTTTGACCGTGCCTCAGCATGTCTTCTGACAGAGAAAGCTGTTGTCCTCAGCACAGGACACAGGTCATTGAAAAGACAAACATCCCGATGTCTCGTCTCAGCAGACTTCAGACTTCAGCCTTCACAGTCAATGTTAAAACATGCTGTTAACTTGATGAAAGCAAAGCGAGATGATTGGCTGGCTGGAACCCCCACCGGCTCAAAGCTCGCACGCGACAAAAAAGCAGAGCATGAAAAAACAAAAATAATTGAGTTGCTCGAGCCGGCCGGCAGCAGTATTTTGCTGACACGGATTTCATGAAGGGTAAAGAAAAATCCCAGCAGGGCAGATCTATTTCCTGAAAGCAGGAGTGCAGAACCAGTTCGACTCTGTAACCTTGACCCAGTTTCCAGGCAGTCACACCCTCAGCGGCACGTCACCCTGATAGAGACCTTATTATAGAGATTGAGCTGAGACACTAGTGTGCGGGGGGGGGGGGGGATGTGTATTAAGGGGGGGGGGGTGTTGTTGTGGAAAAAAATGGAAACAGGAGAGAAGAGTTATCATTATTGATTCATTTGATCAAATGTAATCAAAGGTGTTTGACTACGATGACATACTCAGATATCTCATTTTTGTCCAACCAAAAGTCTAAGACCCAAATATTCATTTATAACAAGGAGAAGCAAGACATTGCTGAGGATTTCTCATCTGAGAAAGAGGTTGCACAATCGACCGCTAATCTAAACACATTGATAGAAATATGAAAACATGACGTTTTTTAAGGAGATCTCTTAATTGAGCTCTTGAGACACTTTAATAGATATTATCAGTCATCCGCGGAAATCAGATCTGTGCAGATATTTGGAAATGATAATGAAGTGTCACAGCTTGAGGATATGCTGGCTGTGTGTGTGCGTGTCACCCACACACACACACACACACACACACACACACACACAGATACCAGGCTGTGTTTGTTTGCTTGTATATTTATTCAGACCCCATTAGCTTTTGCATGGCAGCAGCTATTCTTCATGGCACCAAGCGGTTTACATGGAGACAGTACAGAAATACACATTCACTCTTCTTATAACGAATCACTAACATAACACATCGTAACACGCGGCCCCTATAAATAAAACCACGTCAGTTCTGTGGCGTCCCAGTGTCTCACTCTATGTGAGGGTTTGTTCTCTCAGGGTACCACACAAAGAGAGGGGAGAATATACATATAATTCAATAATGTGTATGTTTGGGAGAAAAAAGCAGTATGTCTCTATGAGGGACAATAAACTTCCAGTACCCATCCCCCAAAGCCATAGAACACACACGTGTCCTTTCCTGAAGGACAGCGGGTCGGTAAATCACGCCAACCCACTCCTCTTTACTGCCTCTTTATTTAATGAATTCACAGTACGTATAAATGACCATCTGTGGATCCAAAAAGGGAGAAATTCAACACACCGGTTTGTGGCAGCAGACGTGCCGAGGTTGCCCCGAGGAAAGGCAATTAACACACTTCCTCCTGTTCATAAGCCGCCTCTTCAATGTGGCTTTTAGTGTGCGGATCATCTGCGGTCAGACTATGAGAAATCAGCGATGAAGTGCTCCATCGGCTAAAACTCGCCACCCTGTGTTACCGGAAAAGTAAAAAATAAGCCTTAGACTTGGTTGCCTGTCAGATTTATAGCTACTGTTTTATTGTCTCTGAGTAATTAGTTAACAGTGGGATTCACAGTGAGTGTGGCACTGGGATCAACATCAAGTCATTTGGTTTTCAGTGTCATAAGTGAAGTTTTTTGTTAACTTGAAGCGATGTCTTTGTTTGGCTACACGAATATTTGCACAATAGTTCATTTTTCATTATATTTTTTTAGGGCAACTGAGCCCTACGAAGTTGTCGCTAAATCAACGGAAGGAATTTTTCCAAGTTGAGTCTGTCTGGCCGGTCGGCTGCGGGACTTAAATCCTTTAATCAAATCAACCCCGTGGCCCCATGATTGTTGACATTTATGCCCAGAGGAAGCTCAGTGTGGGTTCAAGCCCGACGTCTTTCTGTGTTGGATAATGCAATTTATCGGCCTGTTTATGTGTATTTTTATCGTTTGCCAACCCAAAGCATTGGTATTTCAATACACAGTTTGTGTTCATCCATGCTCAGTGGATTAGCGCCCTCCGACCCCCACCCCTCTCCTCTCTCCTCGTAATCACCAATGAGGATCCTGTTTTCACCCTGAGCGTGACACACTCTCCAGACGAGACAGACCTGGCAACGCTGCAGACTTGCCCCGGGTCCTGATGTCAGTACAGGAGGAGATAGGTGTCGTGGTAGCTGGTTGTTTGGGGTCCGCGTGACTGTGTGTGTGTGTGTGTGTGTGCTGCTGACTGGTGGTGTTCAGCGCTCACACCTGGTGTTTTAGTCGTACGGCAGACGGAAAGGGAGAGGCCAGGAGGGGCTTCAAATCCGGGCGGACGATTGGAGATCTTTGTCTTTCTTGGTTCTTTTTTTTCTTTTCTTTTTTTCTTCTGTTCATCTTACACCGTTGAGGAAGGCGTCACATGCTGAACACACCTAAAGGTAACATTGGCATTTGATTAGTGGTTTGTGTTAGAGTTTTGCAAAATGGATATACACAGAAAAAGGCGATGGATAGGATTACAATTTCTTATTGACTAATTGGCAAAAACTATCCGGAGGAACCAAAATTCAAAAATATGTTTGAAAAGATGAGAATTCAACATTTTCGTGCTGTACTTACTCAATTGCTTTGTTAACCATGTGGGATTGAGCGTCTCACGGCTGGACGTTGTCCTAGCGGCACACTTCTTCACACGTTAATGTCTAATAGTGTGATGGAACAAAACACTCCAGAAAATCTGCTAAATGCTGCAGTAACACCCAAGGGAGACCAGTGCTACTGGTGTTAATTGCCTCTGCCCCTCCTGTGGTGCTTTGGTGCTGGAGTTGGCAGGCTTGGTGGGGGGGTTGCTGGAATGACGTGTGCTTGGTGGAGTGAAATGTTGCTGATGGGACAAATCAGGTATCCTTAGAGCTGAGCCATGCAGCACTGTCTTTGTCTGGGGACCGTGGAACGGCGGCAGGGAGGGGGCGTGATTCTTCAAGGTCGTTCCTGCTTCATTTCCCTCGTTTTGCATATTGTGTCCACATGTGTGTTTGTGAGTGCCGGCATGTGGCAGACAAAAGAATTGAACCATGTGGTGTTTTTGTGTATTCTTTGATAAAGGGCACATATGTTAAGTCCAGTGTGATGATCAATCATTGTCCTCACGTATTTCCTCTGGTTTAAAAGGCAAAAACGTTGGGTTTTGGCAAACGTTATACAGAGAGAAATTACTTTGGAAACATGCAATTTGACCTCCCGCTGCATCTTGACCTGATTCAGACATGGACACAACGAGACTCCGCAGTTTCAAAAATTCCTTCAACATTTCTTCCCCGATCTAATTCAGGTTGGCTGCTGGATTGCATGCTCGTGATTGAGAAGGGGAAAAAACAACCGACCTCCGTCTTACAAAATTAGGTTAATGCTGTAATCCCTTGCCTCCACTGCCACAGGTACTGTTGGCATGTGGAAGATTAGCTGATCTAGCATTTGAAAAGCCATGATGTTGGTTACATTGTCTTATTTTGCATTAACCTTTACAGTGGGAAACGTCTGACTCCTAATACGTCACAAAATACATTTCTTTAATTTACGTAAACGTCACAGTTTTTTAAAATCCCTTGCTAATGAAGTTGAGGAATATAAATCCCCTTTAAATGACAGGTTGAACTACATAACGATACAAGCTAAATAGGATACTTGGAAATGGAGCAAGATTGGTTCGTTGTTTTTATCCAGAGAAATGGTAATATGCATTCACTCAGGCTTCTGAAAGGGTTAACAGTGACACCTGCTGGAGAATAAGGTCAAATTAAATTGCTTTTGATGGTGGTTTGGTGAATTGAGGATAACGTGACACATACAAGGGGGACACATACAGAATGTGTTCACTGTAACAGGAGCTGTATTGAGTGATTATATATTACCAAACCTCATGATTTTAATCATAGTCTTGTTTGAATATTTTCCCAGAACAACTATTTAGTGTTCATGGCAGAGCTGTTTGGGTGGTTTGAGGTGGTCAAGCCGTCTTTTGTGAAACCAAGAATGCTGAACGACGAAGGCACAGGTAAGGTCTTAAATTCTGCCAACATGAAAACTTTCATACTAGCGATAGCAAACGCCATGCTGAGAAAGAGGTAGCCATAGAGGTAATGCACCAGCAAGGCAACCGAGCACAGATTGGTCAGTTTTCTCTCATGTCTCACCTCAGAGCCCTCATCCTTGTTGAAGACCATTGCAGCTGTCCCCATCTCCAAGGTAACCAAGAGGAGCTTCATAGAAAGACCCCCAAGCCCCGAGAGGCCGAGGTATGCCAGTGCAAAAAATGCCATGTGAATTTTATGTAATGAATGTAGTAAAATGAATGAGCTGTTGAGTGGAGCTGCTTTTCGGTTGGTTGTTTACACCAGCTAGTGGGCAGCTGGCAGATGTGGAAATTAATAAGCGACATAGGATGAACTAGTACTGCATCATATTTATTTGGACAATCCAATGCTAAAAGTATGCCTTTAATGTATTACATTTACGATTCATAATTTACTCTTTTCTCTAGTCTGCCCCTCCGTCCCCAGCCTCGAAACTCAGGTAATCTTTATTCATTTATTTGTAGATTTTTTTTTTTTTACAGTAAAACTGTATAAGTACAACATTACATTACAGTATTAATGCTTTTAGGATACAACTTGACAACGGATTCTTTCTTTGGCTATTGTTATCCAGGAGAGATCAAGAGGTCAACCTCAATGTCCTTTGTCGATGGCAACCTCGGCACCTGGCCCAAAGAAAAACGGTTAGTAATATTACTGTCCTGTTCATGTGCTGCTCATTTGAAAACACCCGATGCCAAGTGAAACGATTATCCCTTGGGTATTAAAAAAAGGTGTATTGTGATACTTACAAATATTATTTCATTCCTTTTTTAAAAATATCTTTCTGTTAAGGTCTGGGCCTTACGGAGTGTCTTTCGACATACCCTTCGACAAAGAGGGCTCTAGTTCCGCCGGTCCGTCCTCTACACGAGGCATGGTCCGCTCCGTCAGCTCAGATGATGGTTCCGGCTTTAAGGTCCACCATCTGCCCCACGGAATGAAGCGTAACCTGTCCTTCCAGCCGGTGAACGGTCAGAATGTCGGCATCGAGGAGGAGGGCTGCCCAGACAGCCTGGCTGGTACGGAGCCTTGCATGCAAGCACCCACCAACGGACACAGAAGTGCCGTGGCAAGCACTCCCTCCATCGAGGAAGCCCTGGAGATTATCCACAGCCCAAGTAGACCCCCAGCGGAGGGGATCAACAGCGGTTTCTTCCTGCACACTCAGGGCCACCGGGCCGCCGTTGCTGTGCTGGAGCCAGTGTCAGAGTCCGACCCCAAAGGCCCTCTAAGCGCCACAGACACCACCGAGTTGGACACGGGGGTCCACATCCGGACAGAAGACATGCTGGATGAGGATTCCTCCCTGAAAGACTGCTCGATGAACATGGAACTAGATATAGACACGCCAAGCCCCTGCCCGAGCAGTCAGAGCAAATCCCCCATAGGCTTCAAGATGACAAGCTTTGCTGATCAGAAGAAAAGGAAGCATTCTCCATCATTGCCAGACTCGGGCAGGTGCAGCAGCAGCTCCCTTAAAACCACTCCCGAGGGCTCGGATTTCGCCCCCCCGTTATCTGTGTCCTGGGCCCCGACCCCTGAGCACAGCCCCGTCCATCAACAAACCCAGCCTCCCCTCAAGGCTCGAGCGTCGCCCGCACCGATACAACTGCCAGCCAATGACCCGGCTCAGGTCATGGCTACGGAGATGGTGGAGTTGAGGATGAGGCTGGAGGAGAAACGCAAGGCCATTGAAGCGCAGAAAAAGAAAGTGGAGGCTGCTTTTACAAGACATCGGCAAAAGATGGGTCATTCAGCGTTCCTCAATGTGGTGAAGAGGAAAGGGGACGGGGCTGCCAGCGCAGAGGAAGGAGGCAAAACGAGTCCCACCTTCACGTTCGGGAGGAGCAAGGCCGACACGCCTGATGGGGCAGAGCAAAGCGGCACAGCCTCCTGTTGGACAAAGTCACCTGGGTCCGGAGAAGACGGGGGTCAAGGCCATGCTCAGCTGACAGAGGTAGATCTCACAGAGTATACACGATCTATTGAGAAACTCAACCATTCTTTAGCCTTCCTTCAGACTGAGATGCAGCGACTGGCTCAGCAGCAGGAAGTGATCATGGCCATGAGGGAGAAACAACATCAGCAGGCGTGGGTGATCCCTCCCCCGCATACGAGCCCCTCGCCGCAGAAACAGAATCGAGCTGTGACTAGATCCTCAGGACCTTCATCTCCGGCCGACTCCCCTCGCTCCACCCATCGCTCCCCGACCAGCATCAAGCGCAAATCGGCCTCCTTCCACTCTCGCAATCCCCGCGCCGCCCGACCCAACGAGCTGAAGCTGGCCCCGTACAACCGGGTCCTAACCGCCCCGCAGTCTGTCGACAGCATCCCCAGGCTGCGGCGCTTTTCTCCCTGCCAGCCGCTGGGGAGTTCTTTTGTTTACATGGGGGAGAAACCGGACACCGTCGGTCCAGAGGCAGTAGCCTCAGAGGGAGATAACAGCGAGGGGGCAGAGTCCCTCCTTTCCCCGGAGAAGGAGAATGCCAGTACACCTGTAGCCGACCCACCGCCCTGCTCCGCAAACCTGCAGGAGGAAATAGAAAAAGCAGAGCCAGATTCAGTTCAGATGCCAGTTGCAGACCCAAAACCAATAGAGTCATTTCCTGAGGTTCTGGCCCACCCTGTGGTAGAGACCTTCACCGTGACACCTACAGAGATTCCTCCCCGACCAGAAGCCTCGGGCCAAGTCAAGAGCAGCTTGATTGAGGTTCCTCTGTCAGTCCTGAAGCCCCTGGAGGATCTGACACTCTATGATGGTTTGGATTTGCAGGAGGAGGATGTGGAAGGCTCAGATCACGAACCTAAGATGTCTCGCGGTTTCTTCTTCAAGGTAGGCTGGTAATTCTAAGAACTGTCACCAATGGCAATTTTTTTAAAGCAAAAAAGCATAAAAAATAGTATTTGTACATTCATAGGAGTTTAATAATATTAATAGCAATACATTTTATTTATAATTAACTCTTCATCAGCAGATCTGCTGATGAAGAGTGCGAGTTTCATGTACCAGTCGATGCAAATATTATGGTCAATACGGGTGGAGTTCACAAATAACAACAAAGAACCAACTATATAGATTATTAAAACCACAACATCAATGGCAACCAGCTTCTAACATTGTAGTGACACTCTGTGCTAGATAGTCTAATGTTGCTTCTCTGACAGAAAGGCAGTTACATTTGGACCTGAGGAAGCAATCTAAGCTTTTACCAGTCTTGTTAAAAGATTTGCTCTTAACACCAGATGATGAATGGTTGAGGAAACCAAAGCTTTATTTTCCCGCTGATGCTTTGTAGGGTTGCTTGGGTTGCTAGCTGCAGTCTAGGCTTCGATGTAGGTCATACAACTAGGGCTGTCGTGAATAATTCACACACAGCTGTGGAAATGTGGGGTTGGTGAAGGGTTTAAAAGATGGTGGATGTGAAGGGTGGATGCTGTGAGGTGGGCGAAGGATGCGCAAGTGAAAAACATCTCTAGATTAAACCGATTTGTACTGAAATTAGCAGCCTGGCGTACCTGTTTGAATCAAAACTGTCAAATAATACTAATAATATGGATGAAATGTGCATACATATGCTGCTGTTCCTCTGCAAGCCTCGCCAGGATTTAGGGAATACCACACAATAATATGTGTCGTAGCAATACACGGCTCAGCTTGGCCCAAAGAGCAGCAGTTACAATGCAGTGACCTATACTAAACTACAACTAGAGGGTTGCTGGACCGTAGCTCAAGCTGTTTGCGGCTACTGACTTTGTTTCCTACACGACTCAGGAGGATGGGAATGCAGAGGAGAACATGGCTCAGAAGAGGGCTTCACTGTTAGAGAAGAGGATGAGGAGGGAGAAGGAGAGCCAGCAGAGGAAGATGCAGCAGGAGGCGGAGTTGGAGCAGAAGAAGGAGGAAGCTCGGTATGTCAATACTGTTAGTCCATTTATGTTTTCAACACACAGGTGTATTAAGTACTGGCGTGGTCATTAGCCTTTTCCTCCCCTTTCTATTTTCTTTCTTTTATTTATTTTTGTGTGCTAAATTTTGAAACATATAAATGAAATTCATTCTAAAACTGTATTTTTACTCCTGACTGGCTGTTCAGAATGAAAGCAGAGGAGGAGCGCACCAGGAAGGAGGAAGACAAGGCCAGGAGGGAGTTCATCAAGCAGGAATACCTCAGGAGGAAGCAGCTAAAGCTGATGGCGGACATGGATACTGTCATTAAACCACGACCAGTCGGGACCAAGCAGAGGCGGGGGCGTCCGAAGTCCATCCATCGCGACAGCATGGACTCCCCCAAAACCCCTGTCAGAGCCGCTACAGGTAACCATGGAGACAACCCTCACTCAGTGGGGTCATGGTCATCCCATCTGCCAAAAGGGCGCACTGCTGCCACTTTGCTTTGTGCCACGGGAGAATGTCATAATCACATGTATTACATACTTCAAATATATTATTTTTGTTCTACATAGTACAATGAAACAATTGGTCAATTTATTTTTAACTGGGGTAATTTTAATATTATTATTAGCAAATGCATTTTTTTATAACATCTTATGTTACAAAACAACACAGCACAACTTCACATTTGGGCTTGAATATGATAATATACACTAGAAGCATTGCAATGCTAGTGTGTTTCTATGTGCCAATAATACAAGACACTGTATAGTGTGCATGTATTACAGGATGTGTCCATGTGCATTTTCTGTGTACACCTGGATGTTAGAGTTCATTTTGTTCAAGACAGTGAGGCTGCATTGCTGTGTGACAGGGTTGGCACCGAGCGCAGGGGGCAGCCTGGTGGTGTTGTTGGTGTTGTTGTTGTTCATGGTGTCATGCTGTGTCACATCTCGCCTCGCATCCAGGTTCACGACAAAGTGTCTTTTCAGTCTCCAGCTTGTCCCTGGCTTCCCTGAACCTGGGAGACAGCGACAGTGTTCACTCTGAGAAGAGATCCCCAAGGTGAGATGTTCTCTCTATCTGCTGCTGTAACATGGGAAGTTGTTTTTACTGTTTTGTTGTAGCTGTTTGATTTGAACTTAAAGTTTGGTGTTTTAGGGCACAGGTTGTCATACTGGATACCAGATGCATAACTGGGATTCACTCAGGAATGTAGGATGTGTTAAGTCAAACTAATGCCAGTTTTGTTGAAAGTCTCAAGGCAAATGTTACGTTTGAACTTTTCGAATTTTAAACATAATTCTCTCATTAATTTCCATGTGCATGCTGATATTTTCTGACCTCTTGTTGTTCTTAAGCCAATGTCTCCAGACTAACTCTAGTTCTTACGTTAAACATTTCTCCTGTATTCTTCTTTCTTCCTTCTTTGAATACTTTCTTTCCTGCGGTTTCACAAACATCAGAAGCGCTAGTTTAGCCTCTGGTGGTCTCTTCTTCTTTCTGAGCTCTCCTAAACTGAGAAGGAGAAGGTTAGTTTCTGCTTGGCAGTTAAGGCACTTCAGCCCCGTACTGCACCGAAAGCCTGTCTTCATTAGGGAGTGATCCGAAGCTTAAAGGAAAAGCCGCAAACTTCCTTATGATCGACTTCAAAGCACTTGTCTACTGCCACGCTTCGAGCAGCATCTCCTTCACTGAACAAGCGCTTGTCGTGTTCCACTTACCTTTCTGCTGAGATTAGTTTTAGTTAGTTCTGCACAACACGCTTGGCATGTGAGACCCGTTTTATCAAGTCATTCAAGCCCACATTGTGTCCTACAATCTGCTTGTAGGATCACTTTTGCTTTTGAAACATGTGTTTCATGACTTCATGCATTATGTGTGATAAGCTGTATTCACATGGAAATCACTTCTTCACGTGTATAGGGGACACATGATGCACTTGCAGTGTGCTGCACGATAATGGATTGACCTTTTTTATTCACCTTGAATGCACCGGACTGCTTTATATCACCGCACTTATTGCCTGGGCTTACAAGCTTTGCTTCTTCACTGGTTACTGTAAATATGTACAACAGACAGATAACCAAGCTTCCTCTACTTTAAAGGATGAATCTATATTAACGTAAAGTAGACAGGGTGCACACAAAGGATACTAACCACCAGCCTAATATTCTAGCTTGCTTGTGTAATATTGCAGTAGTTTCCTGCCCTGTCGACAGCATGCTTTGCTGTGTGTTCAGAATCAGCACCTATGCAGAAAGGTAACCTAACACTCTGCGTGTGTGTTTATGCATGTGTGTGTGTGTGTGTGTGTGTGTGTGTATCGGGGGGTTCCAGACCAGATTCTGCGGATGGATTTCTGTCCCCCAGTCGATCTAGCAGCAGGAATGGAGAGAAGGATTGGGAAAATGGATCCACAACCTCGTCGATCACATCTAACACAGAGTACACTGGTAGGACAACTTGAGACAAATCTTCTTTGTTATTATTTGTCAATGCAAATGTTAAAAGAAGCTGACACGCCGGGTCAACCAGGAACGATTGGAGAAAGGATTCAATTTCAAGGCATAAATGGTAACATGCACTAATGTTATGGAATTACACCATGGACATAGCTAGGAATTTAGGAACGTTGTGTAAGAGTTGCATCTGATATTATTAGCATTTTATTTTTTGTATCTAAACGCTAAAGTTATAGCTCAAATCATTTTCTCAGTGCATCCAATACCATGAGCAAACTGCATCCATCATTTATCAAATGAAAGTGTAAATTTAGGGAGGGAAGTTGACGCAACTGGAATAGTTGCCGTGGCAACAGTCCCATGCTCATGTTCTGTCCTCTGTTCCCATTCAGGACCAAAGCTGTACAAGGAGCCCAGTGCCAAATCTAACAAGCACATCATCCAAAACGCCCTGGCCCACTGCTGCCTCGCAGGCAAGGTCAATGAGGGGCCAAAGAACAAGATCCTGGAGGTAAGGCATGGGGCAATATCCATATATATGTGTATATATATATATATATATATATATATATATATTTATATATATATATATATATATACCGAGTCAGATGTCACCTGAACCATTGCATTCCTCTAGTATTCATGAACATACGATTTCAATTGAGCCCTTCTCCCCTCGACACTTACAGCAAATGGAGAAATCCGAGGCCACCAACTTCTTGGTTCTGTTCCGAGACTCCGGCTGCCAGTTCCGCTCTCTCTACACCTGCTGCCCCGAAATGGAGGAGATCAACAAGCTGACGGGCATCGGCCCCAAGAGCATCACGCGCAAGATGATCGACGGCCTCTACAAGTACAACTCGGACAAGAAGCAGTTCAGTCAGATACCAGCCAAGACCATGTCGGCCAGCGTGGACGCAGTGACCATCCACGGCCATCTCTGGCAAACCAAGAAGCCGGCCACCCCAAAAAAAGTAGTGCCTGCCCAGTCCTAGTGGAACTCGATACCCCAAACGTCACCGAATCCCCCCCCCCCCCCTCCCCCTCAAATGGAACGCACCCGATTCAATTTGCACTTCACTGTAAATATCCATGAAGATTCAAGCACCTGCAATGCCAGTTAGATGAATGCATATTTGACTATTCATGTTTGTTTTGTGTTATTCCTCTGATTGCATTCCTGTCCTTGTCTTTCCTCCTCGCTGTGGACGGGACATCGTGGGACTCAATGATTATGAACTGGAATGTGGGCCACTGTTGAAGAATGATGTAGACGCTTCCCACTTCTGATTGCGTGTAGTTTTTTGTCTCATATGTGCCAAACGTCAAAAAAGAGACTGAACGCGAGGACATTTTACTGAAGCACTGAATGTTTTTAAGTCGTGTACAGTTTGATCTTTCTTAGTATTATGCTATTGATGTGTGGCCTTAAGCATGTCTTGTTTTAGCGTGTGAGGGCAATGGGTTGATTGTTAAACAGCATATACTGAGAGGCTTTTTTTGTAATGGGAGAACGCTCTCTTCTTTGTCTATGTCGGTTTGAAACGGTTTGTAGATTAATGTATGTAAAATTACCAAGGGCCAAAAAACGTATTGCATACAGCTAGCAATAGCCACACAGTACAAGTGTGCTCCGATTAACAAAGCCAAGCGGTTACAGCTTTTTCAGAAGCCTTTTTTGAGAAAGTAATTGCGGGACGTTTCTGTAGGTGGCTGCTTCTCAACCAGCAGAGCGTTTGGGTTCAAACGTATGATGTGTACAATATACAAATATGCTGTCATGTTTGTGGTTGTTTTGTCAGAAAACCCTCTCCTCATTAAACACAGAAGTAGTTGCAACCTCAAGGCGTACTCCGAGAAGTCACATTGACGGCCAGTGAAAATAAAAATCATCGTTAAGTTAACGTCACCTGGTTTCTTTTCACTTCACAAGGAAGCGTTGCTTCAGCCAAAAAAGATTGAGAACCTTCTTGATCACACTGATCGGTTCCCAGCAAATCTGTGACCAAATACATGCATTACTTAGATTGTTTATAGTTAATATAATGTGTGAAGTAATTGAATTCCCCTTTCTCTTCTTATACAAATCAGGATTTAACGTTTTTTGACTCTTTCTTCACAGTATTATATTTTAAGCTTCATACTGGGTTTATTTGCCTTAAGTTCTTCAACTATGAAACTTTAAGGCAGTTTTCGGAAAATCAATACATCTAAAATATGAAACCAGTCCTACACTTCTGGGTACCTGCTGCATTTTACATAACGCATCAGTGTGGACCCAAACTAAGCAATGTTTGCGGAACGTTACCGTTAAACATGACATGTCCTAAACAAACCAGTTGATTCTATTAGTAGGATAATTAAATGCATAAGATATTGCGAGGCAGAATGAGTTGTTGCTGCATACGGGTAGAGACTGATTGGCGTCAGTGTCACGATGCTTTGCCACCGAATGTCAAAGAAACACCATTCGCAGGTACATTTTCACCAAAAGCAATCTGCTTGCATGGGGCTTGGTTTCTTGGTTACTGAAGGATATTCAGGACCAAAGGAAAGCATGTCCATGTTTTTGACAATGTAATCTAATATGATGTAGGTTTTTTCTTATAGGCTTATTAGGATTTGTTCAAATAAGCTTTTTTTTCCCTGCTTCCGGCTGTTTCAGGCAAAATGGTTATTTTATCAGTTATAATATTGTACAGAGTTTTCCTGTTAACTCATATCTATTAACTAAGATTGCTTTGTTTTGTTTGTCAGACATTGTGCTGCCATTCAACGTACTGCTGAACGTGTCATTTATTATTTTTATTTTATTTGCCGTTTAATAAAACTAAGCATGGCCTCAGCATTAACGTGATGATAATTTGAACCAAAAATGAAAGTTTATTGTGAAGGGAGAAAAGATCACCACAGGCATATTGAGAAAAACATAATCACATTTGTATGGTTTCAGTTTGTATCAATTGATCGCAATTAAGGAAGAGTAAAGACAGCTTGGGTTGTCAGATCCGTATTTCTGTAAATAATCATCTTATTTTTACAATTTTGTAGAAACAATACGTCGTAGCAGCAGTATCGGTAGCTCTGTCCTGTCCTCTTTCAGATGGAGAAAATGTGGGTACTAGTAGGATCTACAAGCGTATAATAAATAATGATGTAACAACACATGCAAAATGAAAAAATGACTTTACTTTGAGAAAAGAATGGGGGACCGCTTGGTTGAGTTTGATATGGAAGATGAGGTTACTTGATGTGGACATGCTGCATGCGATACTAACCGTGGGACTGGACTAAAATGTCCTTAGAAAAGCTTTACTATAATGCTGATCACTGTTTTCAACAACTGATGGTTGAGTCCACTCAGACCCACATTTAGTCGACCCAAGAGCCCCAGGTCACCCAATGTCAAGTGTTTGTGCTAATTGCTGTTATTGCAGATCTGTTTAGAAACTGCATACCACGCTCCTGCATTATTAACTAACTGTGTGCTTTGGATTTGCATGTTGATCCTGACACAAAGAAAATCTACAAGCCCGTTTTCTAGTGAGTGAACAGAACAAGATTTTAAATAAGTAAAAAATAAACATGTTAAGGCTAGTTTTTAATATATTGAGGAGGAATTGCAGTCAGCAGAAATTTGCCCAAAGCATGCATTTACTAAAATGAGTGTGAGCATAATTCCTAATTTACTCAGGACAACAACCACATGTGCACTTATGACTTATTCTAGAGCTTGATAAGTTATAGTGTTAGGTGAACACATTGTAATAGTTATTATTTGTTTTTTGCTGATATCTATTTTATTTTTTACAAGTCACGTGTTTTAGCCACAATAAGAACGTAATCAATATTTCATATCTTACAAGCCCAACCACCTTGTCAACACCCCGCTCAGTCAGTCAGTGGGTCCGACGGCTTTGTGTTGTTGTAGGTGTGACCCGCCTCTGACGTCATACCCACAGTGGACTGCTGGTTCGTGGCTGCATGGCAACGGCGAGCTGTGTACAAGGAGGAGGGCAGAAGGGACCTCACAGCAATTTCACCGCACACGAACATCCCCCCGTTTCTCCAGACATACTGCCGCATTTTTGGGGGGGGAGGGGGGCGGCCAACAAAAAAAAAGACGCAGCGACTTGGATGCGGCGTGTCGTTGGCGCACACTGACAGGTGAGGAGTTGGCACTGATCCGCGTCGGCGCGCGATATCCTCTGCGCGTAAGTAGGGGGGATGAATGACAATGGTTGGCTTATATTGTTTTGCGTAACTGGTACGCGCGCGCGTGTGTGTGTCTGTGTCTGTGTGCTTGTAGACAAGGTGGGTGCGTGTGAGCTCAGATAAAGTGTCGGGCTGTCGGCTTCGGGCCGCAGACCTGCAGATCGGATCCTGGAGCAGAGCTGGATTCTGTCCCTGCGCGCTGGGAGGAACAGGGCGGTGTCACCGGCTGCTCTGCCTCCCCTCCCTCCTTCCCCCCAGGCACTCACTGCACTTAACGTACAGGGAGGAGAGAGGGGAGGAGAGAGGGGGGGGCGTTTGGATCATGCATGACGCATATATGTCCCTTTACCTGCTCGTAGGCTGCAGCTGCTCATGTGACTTTGTTGTGATTAACCATTTACAACCCGAACATTCAAAAGTGCCTCCGGACACGTTTCAGTATCATGAGATTCAACCTTTGGTGCAATAAGGTCATTTTAAGAGGTCTAAAGGGTACGTGGTCATTGGGATTGTTATTACTGATGCAGGCAACAGTCTGGACATTCTGTGCCACGTGGAGTTGACTCACTCACTCTGCTGCTTTACAGGAGAAGAACGAACACAGCAGAAGATGTTGATTTTATAGACATTTATGTGTTTTTACTGAGACACACAAGAAGTCCTTGTAGAAACCAGTGGGCATCGGTGTGGAATAGAAGCTTGCCTGTACGTTTATCATTGTTGAAATCAATACGAATGACGTCAAAACGCTTTCATCTTGTTTCCCACACATTTGTGTGCATATTAGGGAATTAGCTGTTTTTTAGTCACAAACAACCAACCACGTATCTTGAATCTTGTGAAAAGCTTATTTTTTTGTTTTTCTTTTACAGACCTTCTCAGCAGATAAGTTATTATAATATTTAATTTCACTCACACAGAAACTAAATGCAGGCAAAATCTTTGTCTGTATTTAGTTAGTTCATCTTAGTTTAGTACATTTTTGGTTCAACAATCTTTGCTTCAACAGTCGGACCTTTGTTTTTGGGTGTCGTCATGCAATATTGAGGAATGTAACATCTCACATGGATCTAGATACGTACAGTCACTTTGGATTGGATTTTTCTTTTTCAACACAACCTTGTCAACGTGTCCGTCTTTACACTTCATCTGTGTTCCACACAGCTGTGAGATCTTTAATCATGACCACTGAGGAGACAATCTCCGTGAAGGAGGCCGAGGTGATCAAGGTGATACTGGACTTCCTGAACTCCAGGAAGCTGCACATCAGCATGCTGGCCTTGGAGAAGGAGAGCGGCGTCATCAACGGACTCTACTCCGATGACATGCTCTTCCTCAGGTAGGACTCATGGCAGATAGAAGGAGACCACGTGGCCCCGCTGGGGAACGGTTGTCCAGCATGTTGTGCTTATTTCACATTTGGAATAAAAGCATGACTCGAACCACTGCGATGGGAACGATGTTCTCAGAGGCCTGTTGGATCGTCCACAGACAACTGATTCTGGACGGCCAATGGGAGGAGGTGATGCAGTTCATTCAACCGCTGGAAGGAATGGACACGTTTGACAGGAAAAGGTGAGGAGAATAATGGGGGCAATTGACCTTAAAACATGTTTAAGGAAAGGCTTAAGACTTTTTTGAGGCTTTTGTAAGGAACGTTTTGATTCATTGTTGAGGCATTATGAGGTCTAACTGAAGAACACATCTTTATTTATTTGAGGTTACTTATTTTTAGTACACTTGTATTGCATGCATGTGTATCAGGTATGATATTAAGTACAACATCAATATGTTTCTCTTCACTAATGACTTGCTTCCCAGTGCCCTGTGTCCTAAAAAGAATAAAGTAATAGTCATATTACTGACAACCTCTGCTTCTCACTTAACAGTCAACACAAACAAAGAACATTTTTAAACTCAATAACACAACATCCCATCCAGAAACTGTCGCATGAGGGTTACTCATTTGAAGTTGAAGTTTATCTGACTATATTTGTGTCTCTAGGTTTCGCTACATCATTCTGAAGCAGAAGTTTCTGGAAGCTCTGTGGGTAAATAATGCTATGTCCGCTGCTGAAGACCCTCATAATGTACGTAAATATGTCATTTGGAAATAAATCTGAGTGGGGACAATATGAAAATAGATTAAATGGATAAGATGAAGGCACAGTGGCCTGGAGGTCGTACGCGTTTACACACTCCTAAGAGCTCACTCACTAACTGTGCAATAAGATGCCCCTCAGCATAGTAACCGTACACCTCCATCCTCTAATTGAATATTTTGATTGATAAGATCTATGTGTGAATGAGGAACTTATCTGAAATGCGTATGTACACACCTTTAAAGTGTGGCTCTACAAAAATCAGATCTCCAGTACAAGAGGGAGCATCTTGACAACAGCCACATGCCCACTTGTCCTGTGTGAATCTTCTGTCACCTGCAGCTGGAGCTCACCATGCAAGCGGCGGTCAAGTGCCTCCACGCCGTGGAGGAGTTCTGTCCGACCAAGGACGACTACGGCAAGCTGTGTCTCCTCCTCACCCTGCCGCGCCTCACCTCTCACGCAGAGTTCAAAGACTGGAACCCCAGCACGGCACGTGTCCATTGTTTCGAAGAATCCTGCGCCATGGTGGCGGAGTTCATCCCGGCCGACAGGAAGCTGAGCGAAGCGGGTTTCAGGGCGAGTGGAAACCGCCTCTTCCAGCTGCTCATCAAAGGGATTCTGTATGAGTGCTGCGTTGAATTTTGTCAGGTAACGTGATACCCAAAATAAAAAGGGTTACAATAAAACTCCCATTGGTGTTAAAATGCTCAGACCTGCTGGTAACCCCAAACCTGCACTGAAAACCTCCCATTGGATATATTGAAAGAACACCTCTCTTCCTGGGTTTTGTAGAGCAAAGCAACTGGCGAGGCGATCACAGAGGAGGAGGTGCTGCTCGGTGTGGATCTTCTCTGCGGGAACGGCTGTGACGAACTGGACTTGTCGCTGCTCTCCTGGCTGCAGAACGTCGCCCCGGGTGCCTTCTCCTGCGCCTTCCAGCAGAAGACCCTCAGCATCCACGTGGACCGCCTGGTGAAGCCCAGCAAGGCCGGCCACGCCGACCTCCTCACGCCACTGATCAGCCGCCTGTCCCCCTGCCCGACCTCACCCTTCCACCACAGGCCGCATTCAGCAGACGCCTACATGTCGAGATCCCTCAACCCGGCTTTGGACGGCCTGTCCCACGGCCTGGCAGCCCAGGACAAGAGGGGCACGGAGGCCAGCGCAAAGTCCGCCCTGAGCCGGAGCCTGGTGGAGAACAACGTGCATCAACAGGACGATTCGCCAGAAAAGTAAGAGCCGAAGCTGAGATTGATGATTTTGTTGTGGTAGTTAAAAGTGTCTGCAGCTCTGTTGCAGTGCTGGTCAGAGCGTATCAATCTTTTTTTGCTTCATGAAACGGTGCCGCTGTTTTGGGGGCAGAACATATTTCATCAGTAGAATCAACAAATGTATTGTCTACTAAAAGCATCTTTAGCATTGAAGGTATCGTTGCTATCGACACAAGTCGTAAGTGTCTTTAATCAGAAAAATAGCATAAATTGCTGTATGAGCACTTATTTCTCAAATCATAAAATACAGAAGAGACTTCAGGAGACAGATTGCTTACTGACCTTTTTGGTGACTTCTCCGGAGCTCATGTGGTCAACACTAGGAAGGCAAATGTGCTTAGTTATAAGAGGAGAATTTACAGGCTTGCTACGAGCTTAGGACAAATTAAAGGTTACATCGCTGAGGAATAGTGTGGACAGAGGCATCGATCTAAAGCAGGGGTCTCAAACTCAAATCAGCTGTGGGCCAGATGCAGCCCACTTCAACCGAACGCGGGCCAGACTAGCGTCCGAACGGCATGGTCGACAATAACACAACTTAACACTCACTTTCAAAAGCAGTCATTGAACCCCACCCTGGGGGATCGGTCCGAATGAGACTACAACACTAGTCCTCCTTTAACTCAGCGGGGGAGACCTAAGGTCATGTGACCGTGGAATTCCTTTATAGCCAAACGTGAAGTTACGTGAATCGAAGCTGCGTAGTAATGGACGGAGACGCTCGTCGGTGACGTCAGATGCTTCATGTGTTGTTAGTGTGAGTCGTAAAGGAAAACTTTATTAAACGAGCGATGCTAACGGTTAGTCACATGATCACCTGCGCGAAAGAGGGCAGGAAACTGAATTTCACCCTCCTGCTCTCTGCACCTCGGCCGACACACACGACCCGCCCCCCATGTCAGTCACATGCATGCCACGTTCACTGGACAAGCACACAGTAGGAAACCAGAACATCATAACATGTCCCACACAGCAGCTGACAGTGGGGTTACAGTATAAAACTTGCGGGCCGCACTAACATTACACTTTCATATTAAGGATGGGGCCACAAAATATCGTCCCGAGGGCCGCAATTGGCCCGCGGGCCGCGAGTTTGAGACCCCTGATCTAAAGGAAACTGACCGTGGGACTTTGCAAGGTTCTCTGGCTCCACCTGCTGGACACACTTAGTGTGAACCACTGGTGCAAAGTGAGGTAATCCTGAAGCTCAGCGGTAGTCATCCTCAACACAACCTGGCTTGCAGGTTTTAATGCAGAAATTAATGCAATAAATCAGATTTCCAACAAACAAATTGCTCCTATTTAAAACATATATAAACTCATATGTCTATTCTGTGAGGTGCTCTCTTGTTCGACCTCGTTATTGTTGTTTGCTAATAAGACTTTGTGGCAAAATGATTTGCCCAAATTAATAATATTCCATACTTTTTGCTAAATATATTACAAAACTCGGCTTTGGCTTTTTTGTATTATTTTTTACCACAAATTAAATTAAAAAACTGTAGCCGATTGACATATATTTCCCTAAATTTAGGAAAAACTCACAAAGGCCGGATGGACCCAACACCACACGCACACCTCTAACCCCTGGAAAAGATGGTGGACCACCCAGCAGCACAGAAGAGAATGAGGTATTAAGAACTGCAGACTCCAAGCAGTGTCTGGCTGAATGAAGATGTGCAATAGAAGGTTACCAGGACCCCTATGAGCTACAGCATTGTACTTCTTCCTGTGATACATTATACAAAAAAACAGGACAACCAAAATGCACGCTCAGAGTACCATAAAAATCCTGAATGAACAGGACAAGACTAACACAAGCGAGTGTCTCTCACCTTGGATCTTTGGCTAAATTAGTTTCATGACACGTGTTATCACTTTGCATGGCCATGCTTGTCTGGCCGCTTGAGTCAAAGTCAGATTTTGAGTCTGTCTTCCTGTCGTTGCTCCAGATTTAAGAGATTTAGAATAGATTCCCCCCTGAACTCGCTGAACCACCTCATCTCCACTGCCTCATAAATCCATCACCAATCCCCTACCACACCTGCCCGGGGGGGCACTTTCGCGCTGCAGCCCCCCCGTTCCAGTGAAGAGGTCATGGACACTGAAGGCACATAATCTGCGTGATATGCGGCCACATCCAACATGGCCTGCTGCTTCCATCATCGTTCATCTTTATGCACCCAAGACCTCATCCAGAGGAGCAAAATAGCTCGAGATTGGATTGTCTTTTGTGTGTGTGTGTGTGTGTGTGTGTGTGTGTGTGTGTGTGTGTGTGTGTGTGTGTGTGTGTGTGTGTGTGTGAAGGGGAATATACTGTAGACCTGCTGGATATGATGAGGTCCTTGAAAACTTTTTATGGCATTTGTGATGGAGGATGAGACCTTGTGAGTTGAGGAGTGATCAGAAGTGGCTCTTGGGAGAGTTTGCCTGTTATAGTCTAGTGTGCGTGTGTGCGTGTGCGTGTGTGTGTTCAAGAACAAAATACTGAAATGAAATAATAAACATCCTGCCCATCCGGTAAGGTTTGTTCAGGTAAAATAAATCCTGTCAACTAAATTGCTAAAGTTTTCTACATCTTTTGCAAAAAAAAAGGGCTGACGGTGTGTCTTTTTTTTTTTTAACTCGCTGTGTGCATGTGTGTGTGTGTGTGTGTGTGTGTGTCCAGCGTCCGGACTCCACAGAGCACATCCAGGAGTATCACAGGCAGCGTCTCCGCGTGCAGCAGCATCTGGAGCAGAAGCAGCAGCAGAGACACCTTTACCAGCAGATGCTACTGGAGGGGGGGGTGAAGCCGCAGGACGCAGCCCGAAACAACCTCACAGAGACCTTCCTCAGCAGGTGAGGTGGTCCTCTTAGCGTCCTGAACACCAGTGATTAAAAGAACACCGCATTCACTCAGTGTTACCTTATTGAGACAAAGAGAGCTGCTCTCTGTCCAGATCCATTCAGAAGTTGGAGGAGATGAACGTGGGCATGGACCACAGAGGAGATGAGGTAATGGCACAGTGGAGCGGACCCCCGGGGAGCGCCAGCTCATCCAGTCTCAGAACCCCCAACGCCTCCCACACGCCGGACTGTGAGCTAAAGCCCGGCGGAGGAGTCAGCAGCACCCCGTTAGGGACCGGGGGACCCGACTTGGCTTCCCACGCCGAGTCCCCAGGTCCCGCCAGCCAGAGGTAAGAGCCCGGCGGGTACGTGGTCGCGTCATTAGCAACTCCCAAGAACTGAGGTTGTTATGGGAAATCATTTTACACTGTTCTGTCTAAATCCTGCACTTTTAAGTTGCTACCGACTCTTCAAACTGAATATAGGTCATAGGACTAGGTCACTTTCCTTTGTCGCAAGTTTTACTGGTGTGGAATTAACTGACTGTGTGCGCGTGTGTGTGTGTGTGTGTGTTATCATCAGTGTTGAGAGGCTTAGAGGATCTTGCCCCACAGTCCAAGATGATTCTGGCTGCTCTGCGGCACGTAACCCACAAGAGGTACTGATGATTTTTGTGGTATTTTCCTAGTTGTTAAATCAATGCTAATGTAGCAATAGTTCAAACGGACATTCGATCCAAACAGCAGGGGAAATCCAGAGCGCAGTTTGTGAAAGTGAACCAGCTGGAGGACACACAGGCTGTCCGTGCAGTGGCCTTCCATCCCTCTGGAGCGCTCTATGCTGTTGGCTCCAACTCAAAAACCCTGAGAGTCTGTGGCTACCCGGAGAAACTGAACATCAGGTAATCCCAACTGAGATACTCTGGTCATATGACAGATGATTCATGCTCTGGACCATAGATGGTGGTAGCTTCTTTAAAACGTTGCTTAGGTTTGTTCATGCATAGAAAACATTGATGGAAAACGGAAAATGCTAACATTCGTTTCAACCTGATTACTGTAAATGTATAACTATATATATATATATATATATATATATATATATATATATATAAGTAAACTAAGGATTTGTACATTGGGTGACATGACCAGGGAAAGAAGAACCTCATTTTAATTTGAGACCAACTCAACAAAACGTAGATGTCCAAACATACAAAAGTCAATGTTTTAATCCATGTGGCAATTCTCTCCATAATAATATCACATTGGGAACTGACTTTCTCGTATTTTCCTGACTTGCTGTCCAGTGGTTCTGGTGCAGTCAAACCGCCGGCGGTACGTTTTCGGAGGAACAAACACCACAAGGGCTCAATCTACTGCGTAGCCTGGAGCCACTGTGGACAACTGTTGGCTACTGGCTCCAATGACAAATTTGTCAAAGTCCTGCCATTCAATGCAGAGAGCTGCAATGCCACAGGTATTATTCCACGTGTCCATGAGTCCCAACCACACCACACCTTTTAATGAATGATCACTCAGTTACCTGCAACTTTCAGCTTGTGAACAAAAGGCAAGTTGTCAAAGGGATTCAATGCTATAATATTTCCCTGACATATTGCGATAATGTCATTGTTCAGGCCCAGACCTGGAGTTCAGCATGCATGACGGGACCATCAGGGACCTGGCCTTCATGGAGGGCCTTGGGAGTGGAGGATCCATCTTGATCAGCGCAGGGGCCGGAGACTGCAACATCTACACAACAGACTGTCAGAGAGGACAGGGGCTGCACGCGCTGAGTGGACACACTGGTAAGTTAAGCCACAGCTCACGCCCTCAGTCGTCATATGAGGAAAATAAAAACATCACAAAATTCATTAAAATGTTTAAACACAGTTTAGTAGTACAATATGTCATAAAAGTATGCTGTAAAAAAAAGAATAACAGTAGCAGAATATGATGCACAAAGTCCCAATTATAATACGAGGGCGAGATAACTGTATTTGTAGAGCAAAAACCAACTGGTTGCTCTTCGGAAAATGGGAAAAGAAAGAAAACAGAAGCAACTCTGCACAGCGAGGCAAAGACACGGTGTGCACAGTGTTTATTGTGTCACCGCTTGGTTTGAACAGGTCACATTCTTACTCTGTACACGTGGGGAGGATGGATGATTGCCTCTGGCTCCCAGGACAAGACGGTGCGGTTCTGGGACCTGCGGGTGCCAAGCTGCGTCCGGGTTGTCGGAGCAACTCTGCACGGCTCAGGTGAGTTCCCACATGACTCCCAGGAGGGGGGCGGAGCCTTGACGTGAAGGATGTGCACTCCTAGGGGTCATTACGCCGACACAGTTGACCCACAATTTTTTTGCCCCCCAAAAAACACAATAAGATAAAACAAATCCGCTGTTCTGTCGTGTTTGAAGCCGCAGCAAACAGATGAAACCTTCCCCGTCTGTCTCACACAGGAAGTGCGGTCGCTTCGGTGGCGGTGGATCCCAGCGGCCGCCTGCTCGCCACGGGTCAGGAGGACAGCACCTGCATGTTGTACGACATCAAAGGGGGCCGCATAGTTCAGACGTACCGCCCTCACAGCAGTGACGTCCGCTCGGTGCGCTTCTCCCCCGGAGCCCACCACCTTCTCACCGGCTCCTACGACAACAAAGTTATCATCAGTGACCTTCAAGGTAGCGAGGCCGATATTTGGTATTTTATTGTAAACACACTGGAAAAAGTCAAACTTCCTGGAAGCTTAATCGACACCGGTTGAAAAATCATCAGGAGGTCTGGACAGGATCTGGTCTTCAAACAGGAAAGAGTGTTGTTAATCTTACTGTGAGTAGAGGTCACTTTGTCTTTTTTTTCTCCCTCCGCCCCCAGGTGACCTCACAAAGCCCCTCCCCCAGACTGTGGCGGGGGAGCACTGGGACAAGGTGATCCAGTGCAGGTGGCACCCGCACGAGCGGACCTTCCTCTCCTCCTCCGCCGATCGGACTGTCGCCCTGTGGGCCCCGGGGCCCGGGCCCCTGAGCCGGCCCCTGGAGAAACACTGGTCGACAACAGCAGGAAGCACATGGGAGCGCTGAGCGCTGCGGTGTGCGTTTGTGTACCCGTACCGCGCGCATCAAGCTGTTTATGTGCTGCTCGGTTTAGAGTCAACAGTGTGTGTGTGTGTGTGTGTGTGTGTGTGTGTGTGTGTGTGTGTGTGTGTGTGTGTGTGTGTATTATGTGACAGATGTGTGAGGCTGAAAATATTAGAAAACGTAGAATTCTGAAAAAGTTTTTTATTGAAATTTTGAAAAAAAAGATTAAAGGAAACTAAGAATAATTTGCAAATGCTGTCATGAGGAAATTTTAGTGTCAAGCAGAATGGGCGTGAGGTTCAGTAATAATAATGTGTGTGTGTCTGTGCGAGCGCGCACGCGTGTGTTTGCATGTGCGTTTGCTTAAAACCTAACAATGTAGGCGCTTGTAAGTCATGAGCGAGTTCACTGCGAGCACACCTTCGAGTTTTTTATTATTTTTACTGTTTTACTTTTTAGTCAAGTAGTCGGAGCCGGGCACAAAAAAACGCCAACTTGGTGCAACATGAAGCAGCCGCAGTCTCTATAGTTCCTACAGGAAGCAGTGAGCTGGACTCTTGGTCATGCAGATCATTATGTGCCTTTTTGTAACACTTTATGAAATGTTTGGTGGTTAGAGAGATTTATTTATTTATTTACAGATTTATTTTGATATTTTTCGTCATATGCCTTTTCATCTGTGAATTATTGTAGTGTCACTGTAATGTAGAAAATGATCCCGCATTGGCGTATGTGCCCGTCTGTATAAATTCCCAAAGTATTTTTCCTCACGTCCGTCACCGAAAAGTGAGAGTAATTTTTCTATTTTCATTTTCAACGTGAAAAATATCCATTCATCAAGTAGATAGATTGCAACATCTGAATAAGTTTGGGTGAGGAGCTTTTTGGATGCGTTGAATTCAGGCCTGGATTGGGGGTGATTTCAAAGGATGAGCACAGTGAAAGCAAAGCCGGGTGCAGAGCTGAAAGGAGACCCGGTGAGGAGAAATAACCGTATCTGTGGTAAGGGCTCAATCACTGGCTGCAGGAGAGGAGGTACGCAATTGTTGTCCCACAGGATTTTTTTTTAAACAGAGATGCAAGTTGATTGAACAAATGATGATGAAAATATAAGTTAGAATAGTAATAAGTCACTTTAAAGGTAACAACACTGCAGAACTGCACAATGTGAAGGGACAACTTCACTTATTTAATTTACACAAATCAAAGTCTCTGACTTTATCTTCACTCTTTTTGGAACACCTATGCAGAGACATAACGGATGTTGGATGGAAGAGGGTATCACATCATCTGTGGATGACAATGGCTTATCAAGTGTTTTTCTTATTTTAAACCGTGTGCCGTTTCAAACAATGTTCGTGCAGACTCACGTGTCCTGATGTAAGTTTCATTGAGGTCATTGAGTTTCAATCTGTTAAAATAATGAAATAACGTCTGTCTAGTACGAAATATTCTCGCTTTTGAATAAATAAAGGTATTTTTAAGTTACACTGAGCTGTTGGTTAACTGATGGAATAAAGTAACCAAGTATCATCACACTGCTGGCTTTCGTGTTTGTCATTTTGCTAAATGCAAGCAAAAGAATAATAAAATAAGATTTTTGGTGTTTTGGCACAAAAGAAAAAAAATCCCATTTGCAGTCGGTGCCAAGTATGATCTGAAAAGATATCATGCTGGACACAGAGATGGACAAAGTGCAAGAGGTTGGAAAGTTGGCTGATAGAGTGGATGGAGGCGATTGCAGAGAAGAGCGCTAGCAGGGATTTAACCTCACTCACATGCTGCGCTGGATCATTCCCTCTTTTGTGAGGCGGACAATGAGAGCCGGGGGGTACCGGGCTTAAAAAGGATACGGACGCAACACACCCAGCAACCCTGGAGAGACAGCAGCCAACACGGAGGTAACGGTAAAACAAAAACTGTTTTTAATTCTACTTCCAGGAAAATTTGTCTTTCTTTGAAGGTTTCGACGGCAAATCAACAAATAAGAACTTGAAGTAGAAGAGATGCAGTTTAACTAACTGGGCACTGGTGTTTGATTATATTGTTTTTTGACACTTTTGGGAGTCGCATGTATAGGTCACATAAAGATGTGATTTTGGAATTTATTTTATTTTGCTCAGAGCTGCGTGGACGAATCGGTGCAGAACCAGTGTATGAAATCGTTGGTTTTCTGGCTGCGTCGACGGGGAGCGACACTGCTGACATTTTAGATTATCGGAAGATTAGTTGGTGGCGCAAAGAGGGGAATTAGTGGTAAACAATAGCACTGAACTGCCTGTTAGGCAAGCTCATTGTAGTGCGGCGGTTTGGGCCCTTCGCTGGCTCTGACTGGTTCGACAGTGTCATCAAAGAATGACTCACTCTCTTGTCTACAGTGCGAGCGTGTATGATTGGAAAAAAAATGATGTTTAAAAATGTTTAAATCTCGGAAGTCATTCCATCAAGCACGGAAAATGCTTGATAAGGAAACACTAAACCGTTTTGTAAAAAGGGCAGCAGCTCAGTGGGCAACAAAAGTTTTTGCTGATTTACACGTGCAGCCCATCCGGGACACTAAAGTTCTGCTTTTTAACTGAACTCTTCTCATAATTCATCCATCGACATTAATGTGTAATGGCTTTTTTCTCTCTAGGTTCAAACAACGCTAACTACTTCTCCCCGTCCTCTCGCCCCTGAACAGTTGCTGTATGTTTAGGAGGACAGTACTTCACGCGGCTTCTTCGAGATGCTGTACACTTTAGCGGGAGGGGGCACGCTGTGCGGTGTGGCCGCCCTGGTGCTTCTCATTGTTTCCACGGCAACGGACTTCTGGATGCAGTACCGGTACTCGGGAAGCTACGCCAATCAGGGGCTTTGGAGGTTCTGCATCAACCACAAATGTCATGCCCACACAATGACTGTAGGTGAGTACATTGAAGGTGGCATTTTAGACCGAGACTGGAAAGTACTCCTTCATAACAACAAATACGACAATACGATCCGATTTAATGTGTTGAAATCAAATGTACGGAAAGCACAGAACAAATGCCAGTATCTATTCCTGCAAAGAAAAAAAAACATTGTATTTGTTTAAAAGCATCTTGAGGGAGTTACTTGTGACATTAACTGGGTCGTCTGAATGGCAACCAGCTTACTTTGGGCCAAAAATAATTAAATGTAGAAAAAAGAAAAGAGCAGATTGAAGACAAGAATTCACTATAAATTTGAAGAAAACTGACAAAATAAAAGAGAGAATAAGATCTGTACAGTAGCGTCGGTGCCCCTAAAGAGGAGCTCTGCATTGTAAGTGGGAAACAAACAAAGCGAAACAATAAATATACTTGCATATGAAACTAAGTGTCCGTCGATGTGTACGCGGTTCTTTTGTCTGCAGCCTTCTGGGATGCCACCCGGGCCTTTATGTTACTGGCGGTGCTGAGCTGCTTCGCCGGCGTGGTGCTCGGCCTGAGCGCCTTCACCAACGGCACCAAGAACAGGAGGGTCCGCACGGGCGGCGTGGCCCTGGTGCTGTCAGGTAACACACACACACGCACAATCAGCAGCTTCGTCCCATTGAAAACCCATTGTACTTCTTCAAAGCAAAGAGATTTCAGTGAAATCAGCAGTCAACAAAAGGTCGCCATCTGACTTTTTGTCGAAGCCTTTTCCACTTTGAATAAATGTTGAGATGTGACAAAGAACAGAGTTCCTTTTCCTCTATCGGGTTTGCTTGTGTTGATGTTTTACTTTTTATCTCCCCGCCCCCCTCCACCCTTTCCCAGGTTTCCTCGCTCTGCTGGCTTTGGCAATTTACACCGGAGTGACCGTCACATTCTTTGGCAAGCGCTTTGTGGACTGGCGCTTTTCGTGGTCCTACATCATCGGCTGGGTGGCCATCATTTTGGCTTTTTCTGCAGGTATTTCGGATACTAGTGAACTTAAGTGTCACAACCCTCACGGTAATAGATGGGTCAATTAAGGATGAAACTTTCGCTTTCCTTTCTGTTGCCCGGTTTCTTTCAGGCGTGTTCCAGTTGTGTGCTTACCAGCGGACCACCACGGAACCCGCTCCTTCAAATAACCCAGACAGCTGAACGAGATGAGCAGGCCGACTGCAGTGGACGTCAGCGTTACATTGGAGTACCTGGAATGGAATAAATCCAAATCATAAACTCTGTGTTGTTTCACTGAAACTCCCATCCGTCTACACTATTTTTAAACCTTTTCAAGAAGATTTTTTAAAATGTCATATCCTATTTCTATTGCATTTGAAACATGTCTTTATATCAATACATTGACAAAACAATGAAAAGTGAGAAACATCATCTTCCACTAAATGCTGCTTAGAACGCCCATTACAGAAGCAGCTCAGTTTCTGAACTGAAATGTCTACTTACACATGAAAGGATTCTCCACTAGACGCTGGCAAAAAGCTTTAAACAGGCAGCCAAATCATGTCAGGGAAAAATATACAATATATTGGGTCTAATAATGTCATGGGCAAACATGTAAATTAATATTGGATTGGAAACATGTCAAAGAATATATCAAAATGAGCCAAAAAAAATGTCAGGAAAAAAGTAAATATTTTGTAAAGTAAAAATGTAGTGGGAAAAAGAAAAGTAAAAAAAAAATAGTCAAAAATGTGATTTGAAGACAACGCATGAAGTATAATAATATTTGAATAACTTAAATTAAGTTCTCCACTTCGACTGTCGGTGCACGGGTCCAAATGAAAGGATTAAATCACTACAGATGCGTCAAGATGTCAATTTCTTCAACTCAAATTATTTTAAGTTTGTATAAAGTATTACCTCACAAAAAAAACTACAATGTGAAATAGAAAGGTGTGGATGTTTTCACCTTTTTACAATGATCTTAGTTTCCCCATAAACACCACATCACTGCTCATTTACTTTGCAAAGACTTGATTTATTTTGAATAGCAAAGTCGTCTCACAGAGACCACCTTCATTAAAACCTATTTACAACACGTTGAATAGTGCAAAACCACACAAACTGCCCTCGTGGAGATTCTTGTATGGAGGACAGTAGATCCCTAGTGGGGGGATTATAACAACTGAAAGAACAGAATATGGCAGGTTGGCACAAATGAGGAGGACTCTTCCAACAGAAGGGAGCAAACTGCTACAACAAGGGTGATGTTAAACCATTAAGCTGTAGCGTGGATATGTCAGGTTAGGACTTAAAAAGAAGTCAAGTAAATCTCAACGAATAGTGTTCTTTATCAACAAAAAAAAGGTACATTTAAGAAATCCCCAAAGCCCAGATGTATTAAAACGTGAAACGAGCACTTTGTGGTTGAGGGAAGGAAAAGATGACGACCTAAACCCACGTGGAAGGTCGTGCCCACCACCCCTGAGTGAAAACCGATTAAAAAGAAGGTCGTAGCACCGTCAAGACACCACAGAACGCCAGCTTTGCCATTTCCCCTCAATCCAAACGTGTCTCGAATTGTGACAGACACAACACATTTCTTAAAGTGCACTCGCTCCATTGAGCGGTTACTTCCACTCACATTTCTCTTCTTACACAAAACCATCAAGCCCCATTTTTAAAAAAAAGAGCACAAAAGAGATGAAATACAGTTTGCCATACATCACAATTTGTTGCATATTGAAATTTCTTATCGGGACCACTTGTTGTGCTGTTGAAAACTTGGACCTTACAGCAAGTGTGGATGCAAAATCTCCTCTTCTGGCAAGAAAACACGTACATACAGTTTGGTCGACAGACCAAATACATAAACATTACATATAAATTATTTGTGCTACTTTAAATAACCTGAAAATTTTAGAAATAGCCAATAGGTCTTCAAGAGATAAAAAGGAAGGTTTGTCATTTGAAAACAACTTGGTCAGACTGATTGACACAATGTCAGACAGATAGTAAATATGCTCTTGAGGACCAAAGTTGTTCACAAAACCCCCACATTGATGCCTCTGAGACAACCTTATGTCCCATTATTATGATTATTCAGTATTTGTGCATCATAAGTCCATCCGCAGTTTGGGGTGCAGTGGAAATGACGACCCTGTGATCATCGATCATTACATTAGTTTAAATCACGCCAAAGACGGGGGAAGTAACACTGCGATCACCGCCGATTACAGAAGGAGCGAAAGGATGAAACAGTCGGAAAACCATCGGGCCTTGACAGAGAAGTACTCAACTGTGGGAGAGCGATTTGGCTGATGGCTGGACGTATAAATAAGTGATAGAAAAATCCGTCATCTCCATGCGCTCCATGCAAAAGACGTGCACCGGGCGCCTCTTTGGTAAATGCGTAGCACTGCGCCTCCGCTGTGAGACCTACAGCAGGCCAACGAGGATCGGTGTAGCCCTGGTCAGACGGCATGCACGGGCAGAAGCGCCTGAAAGGTCACGTGACTTCAGACGTGGAACGGTGTCCACCAGGAACGTGTCCGTCAAACTTGGTTAAAGTGTTGCGTCGCCGAGTCAGAGCCGTGGGGCTTTGGATCCTGACGACGGACGCGCTGCAGCCAGGCAGCGTGTGCGTGCATTATTAAGCACGGCTCCGTGCGACAAAGTCGAGGCGTGTCCACTGGTTTACTGCACGAGGAGGAAGTGTATAGCCCTTCAAGTTAACAAGTGGTCTCTGAAATTGCACAGGTTGTCCATTTGTCCTCCGGCCAACAGCACGCGGCGTACTGGGAGCACATTGAATTTTGTTGCACTGCGTTCGGCTAGAAGAGGTCCAGATAATCCTCCAATCACAGGTGTTATGTGTCTTGGTACCTACGGAAAGACGAGGGGACCAGTTGAGATTTAAATGCAAACCAAAAAAAACACAAAACACACCCGATGATGATTTTGTTATTAATAGAAACTGCAAATAAATCCAACAAAAGATTCTTTTCTTGATTGCAAAATCAGTCAGAACAGCCTAACTGGGTAGAAACAAACCACTCAATTAAACATTTCCATCCCTAAACAAATAGTCCCCCACAGAGAGAGCGAGCCTCCTCACCCGCTCTGTACAGTGAAATCAGACAGCGCCCCTAACGAGGTCAGCTGCTGCTCCAGGGCCACGATGCGCAGACCGATGTAGCCGGATGACAGCAGCAGCAGCACCACCCTGCGCGCAACAGAAAAACATTTAGTCACATACATGTTCTTTCCCCCCCCGATCATTGCAGCCACTGCAATGACATTGAATGATACCAGCTTACAGCAGGTACGTAGAGAACCAACAGCTAAAGCCCCCCTCCCCCCCCCGTATATATATGGTCCTTCTGGAGGGTATTTCACTTTACAGCTCTGCCATAGTGTACAACCACCAAACTGGGGTCAGGTGCATTTAACCACATTAATGGGTTATTAACAAAATCAAGATTGTCAGGCTTGGGTTTGTCTATAATGGAAGGAGATCCAACGAGATGACCCAGTTTGTTACCAACACAAAAATCTTGGAAGGAATTACTTTCTAGTGCGGGGAGGAGCGGATTAAAACGATCACGCCGGACGATAAGGCACTGGATTAAAAGGGAGAGCGAGGGAGGGGTGGCTGTAGAGGGGAGGAGCTACTCACAAAATCAAGTACATAAAGAGTAGAGTGTTGAGGGTGCTGGCCTCTCTCTGAACCAGCAGGGACTTGGCCTTTCCTGTCACACTCCAAACCCACGATCCGCGAGAACCTGGAGAAGGAGACGCAAAGGGAGCATGAACATCAACGTTCTCATGCTGGTAGGTTGGACCTTACTCACGCTCACTGTGCATATTGTATAGATGACCAAAAAAAAATCAAACCACAGGGTTCTCTGCAACTACGCAAACTAACACGTTCTAAATTCATATCTACTCAAATCGAAACACAAGCAACGTCTTATTGCAGAGTTGATAAATGGAGGAGTTCTCCAGGAGTAACAGATGTTAAACCTGTGTGGGTGGGTGTGTTTCTTACCCGATACAGACAGCTCCTCCGAGGATGAGCTATCACTCTGCTCCTGCATGTGCAGGCTCCTGAAAGTTGCTGCAATCCCTTTAGATTCTGAGAGAGAAAAAGAATACAGAGAATCAACATTAGTTTAAATTTCACTATGACCAGATGGTTCTAGGTCCAGGTGACGTTTAGACTTTAGGTCTGTCAGGGACGGTCACCTCGGTGTGGTCTGTGCACAAGCTGGTCCTGAGGAGATTGGGACTCCAGAGAGCCATCGAACTGGTGGAAGCCGTCGTCCAGGCTGGACAGGCTGGAGCTCTGTTGGGATGAGAGAGAGAGAGGAACGCCGTCACTAAACGGCTCCATCGGGGAGTTCAGCCACGTCTATATTCAGTGCTGAGAAAAAATACCTTTGAGCCTTATGACAATAATGTCAGTATGTTCTTTTTCCTAATGTGAAAGGGTCTCTTACCACAAGTTTGATCTTATCGAAGCTGTTTTCGGCAGAGGAGAAAACGGGGCTACTAGTTGTGCTGCCATCCTGTTACACAGAGAAATGTTCCAATTTTACCCATCAGAAATTGCCCTTTGGACAGTTAATTATCATTAAAAATGAACAATATTGACAGATATATTGATCTTGAAAATATACTATATTTTCAAAAGTGCATATTGAACAGCTATTTGCTTATGAAATGAACAAACGAAGGCTTTTCCTTAATGAAATAATAATATTATTTTAAATTAACCATTGCAGAACATCTGAATACATGAGAACTAACATCGGACCAGAGCAACTCACCTCTAGCTGAGGAGATACTGAGCGCAGCAGCTTATAACAGGATTCTCTGTTACGCAGCGACACAAACAGGTACTAAATCACAAAGAAAAAATAGCAATGTTAGTCTGCAGACCTCAACCATCACATACACTCATGGAATCGATTACAGCCAATTGAACCTTGGAAGATGGAGTAAATAATAGTGTTTGATACTGTGGGGCTGAAGGGGAGGAGCTGACCTTGTCTCCTGCTGAGGTGCGAATAGACATGGCGTTGGGTACCAGTAAAGCCGTGTTCTGCTTCTTTACGAAGTGGATGCAGGAAACTGGAATAACCACCTAGAAGAGCACCCAGCAACACAACACTGAATGTTAGCAAAAGGTCGACAATGTGGTCAAATATTGTAGTGAGTTTGGTTCATTAAATTAATTGCTTGGATTAAAAAACAAGATAGAGGGCAAAGGGAGGGCGGAGCCACAGCCTACCTTCGTGTCTTTGAGCAAAACGGAAGAGTAAAAACAGGCATGGGTGTCGGTGATGTACAGTCTTCCATGGTAGGGCACTTCCTTCTGCAGGGCACAGATGTACGCTGGGGGTGGAGAAGGAACAAACACACCTTTAGTTTAATGTGGCTCATCCATTGCGTCACGCATCGTCCTTTTCCTTTGTGTCGACATACCGTGTATCAGGTCTTCACTCTGCGGAATGTCTGGGAATAACTTGTGGAATGTCTTGTTGTGCTTTGTGAAACTCTAAAAGAGGGAAAAAAAGAAAAAAGTCAACAACCGAACTGGTCTGGTTTGAGGCCACACCCCCTTTAGCCCGTTCACACCAACATTGTGGTGAACTAGAAGAACCACAGCGGAGTGGGTTTTCAGCAGAGCAGCATGACAACACATTTCAAAGGCCGGCGCACTTACAGTTTGTGTTCCGGTGCCTTCCGTCCTCTCAAAGCCTGCGATGGTGTTCTCGTCAAACATCTGCGACCTGCAGAGACAAAAAGACCACAGCTGTAAACTTTCTGAGAAAACAAATATTTGATATTACAATAACAGAAATAAAACGGTCCATTAAAAGAGCCAATCCCCAGACAGAACTATGGTTAGTGCTAAAATGATACGTGTTCAAAGGCTGGGTAAGTACATGGTCAGAGGCAGTGGGGATGAATATTGCTCTTCACGCCAACAAATCTACCTCACACATTTGAATCATGTGAGGAGAGTCATGAGTCTGTCACAAGTGAACACCAGTTGAGTCGGGTCTGGTGATGTGTGTTCACAATAGCTGTATCTCCCCTACATCTAATGTGGGATTTTCGGCGTTTACAAAGATTGACTCAGTTCTTTTCCACCGTGTTCTGACATGACTGCACGAGTGGGAGGTTTCACTGCTTTCATTTCGGTTTCAAAATTGGAATTGGGCCTATGAAAACATCTATCCGTTTCCATGAAGGCGGTTCCTCGTTATCAGTCCTCCATCTGTAGTTCCGCCTCGCTGTGCGGGCTTGTTGAGAATTACATTTCAACAGTATTTTAAGATATGGACTCTTTTGTGTGTGTAAGCTATTATCCGCCCTACCTGACGGCCTCTTGTCTGGTGATGGTTTTGTGCTGCAGCTCGAGCTGCGCAGCCTCCAGGCTCAAGGCCTTCCTGCTCTCCACCTTCCTGATGCTTCCATTGCCGAAGCCGCTCCTGCTTTTCTTCACTTTGGCTGGCAGCGCGTCGCCACTGGCGTCCACCGGGTAGCTGCTGCAAAGGACGAGGGGCACATATTTAGACCACCGACCACAGCGAGCGTGCTCAACAAACACAAACAACGACTACCTGCACTTTCACTAGTACGTGAGGCTCAGAGCCGCAGCCAAGAATCCCACTGCCAAAAGGACGTCATGCACCAGTCAGCCATCATCCATCACCAACCGGCGCGGATAAACACACGCATGGCTTTAACACTCAAATCGCCAGGCTAATTTAATTAAAAGGCCACATATTGGCCGGACTGACAACTAGCAAACGATGGATTGTTTTTATGGTGTGCTGGGAAAGTTTTATTGACACGCTTTGCGTCAGCGCGCCACTTGTGGGAACACAATTGCCCGTCCTCGCTGCTTTACAAGCCAATGAAACTAGACTCTAAAACTGACAAGCTGCTGCAGAAATTCCAATACCAATAAACTATAAAAATAAAAAAAACGCCTTGTACCGTGACCTGTCCTTGACCAGCAACAAAAGGAGCCGCGCGCCCGCATTCGTTCTAAGACTATTACGACACAAATACAATGGCGGCGCAGGTCGACACTGCGCGAGACAAGTGTCTGATTCGGTGAAAAGAAAGAAAAAAAAAACTCTTCACAAAGCCACTAAAGACAAAAACAACAAAGATAAACTTACCTGGGTGTTTTAAGCCGCCTTGACGTACGGAAACTGATATACCTGCCGACAGTGGGCATTTCCTCTACTACTCAAAACAGCCTTATAACCAAGCTTCACTCACTGGCTTCACAGCACCAAAGCTAAGCTACGCTAACAAAACATCCCCAAACGACTTTGAACAGTTATCCTCGTGTTTCAAATGTGTGGCCCGAGATGAGCCGTTCCAAGTTGAGTCGAGCTCCTCAGCCACATCCTGCCAGAAAAACAGTGCTGATGTGTTTCAGTGGTAAGAGGAAGAAGCCACTTTGCATTGAGAATGGTGCGACACTTGGCCACTCCCCCCTGAGCGAGCATGGGCGGAGTATAGAATCTCTCACACACACACACACACACACACACACAGAAAGTAAACCCATCCAATAAATCATTCCACTGACAAATTACTAGAATAATTTCTCCTGGGGCGAAGGTGGAGTTGATGTTTTTTGAGAGTAGAAAACGCTCGCGAGGTGCTCAGACCGGCCCGATTGAGGAGTGGTTAATTACCGGCTTCTAAGTGGATGAATCACCCCAAGCAGACAGAACAATCCAAACTTGTTTCCTTAATCAACTCAGGATTAGACCTTGGATAAAGTAAAACATAAACAAACTTGTTGCACATTTTTAAAAATGCAATTGCAGATTGCAAAGACGTGTTGCGGTTTTAAGGAAAGAAAAGAAAAAAGGACGGTATGGATTGTCCATGAGGGACTTTGTCCCCTTTCCAACAATTAGTGCCCCGTGACGCCTGAGTAATTGGCGTAAAGGTCAAGAGAGAGGACGAGGTAAATGTGAAACTGGCAGTCTGGTGCAACACTTCCTCACGTCACGTACAAACAGATGTTCTCCTCCTTATGGAGGCGCAATCCCATTTCTTGAGTGAAAGCTGAAGCCTGATTGTTATCAACGGTTCAACCCCTTTGTGGCAGGCTAATCGCTGCAGTAGCTTTCTCTATCGCACAGACTGAACAAAAAGAATGCACAGGTCTCCTTCCGTCTTAACTGCTTTGTTATGCAAACGCTGGTGTTTCCAGCAGAGGCAAGGCAATGTGGGAACAGCAGCTTCCTTGTCGGGTGCCTACCAGCTGAAACACCTCCACATGGGCAGGTGTGTGTGTGTGTGGAGGGGGGGGTAAAGTGGCAGCGGTTGGAATTCCTCAACAACTTCCTCTTTACTCAAGACAAAACGTATGCTCCGACGAGGTCACAATGAAGCGGCTCCGCGGGCGGCCATCGCCACTCCTCCGTTCCCTTTATCCTGGTCAGACAAAAGGCCTCGACATCTGACCTACTTCCTTGTTGGAGCACCATGTCACACTCCCTGGTACAAATCAATCCTGGGAGAAGTCGTACTGCCACCCTCGTCGGTTCAAAGCAGGAGCAAGTGGAAAGGGCATACCAAATCCTCAGCGGCAGTAAAAGTGACGCGCTGGAGGTGACGGGAGCGTTTGTATCAGGAATCGCTTTCAGAGAACAATTCGTCTCATTTGACGACATGTTCTGAGAGATTGAGATTCCCAAAAACCCCATAACACTTTTATCCATTTCTTTATCAGCATTTGCACTTGCATTGTTTAAAAGACAGGCATACAGCTTTATCAGTCTCAAAGGTCGTGGGCTCTGGCCCGTGAACACTTCATTGCCTTCAGGTTTTATCTATTGAGGATCACACGACAAAGCATATACAACAAAAAGCAGGGGAAAAACAAAATAATGTAGCCAGCTGTAGTTTAGAATTAGGCAAAGAGTCCAACAGCGGGACTCAAAAGTAGCTGGTGATCAGAAAGGGGCCTCGCTCACAGGCCTTACCTTCCCGCAGTCTCAGAGCAATGACAATCATCCGCAGCACCCTGTTGGTTCGACAGGCCTTTTCCCCGCTCCATGTCCAACGGAGCTCCCTACAAGCTGGGAACCACCACTACACAAGGCAGCCGCACCAGTATGGCAGTTATATATTCGGCATTTGGACCCTGAGCACAGACGGCTAAATCAAAGAGGGTGCAAAGGTCCATTTTACTGCATCGTTTTAAAGAGCCACCACATGACCATTGCTCCAGAAACAAACAGTGGAAAAAAAGAGGGTGCAAATAGAACGACCTCAAACCCCCCCCCCCAAAGAAAATAGCCCGGGGTTCAAGCCTGAAATGCCACCCCGAGCGGTCTTTCTGGTGTCTTTTCTCACTATGCGTTGTCATGGAAACCGGTACAACAGTAGGGGGCAGATGACGGACCTGTGGGGGCGAGAGGACCATTGCCAGGTTGTTCTCAGTTTAGGAGGCCACACAATGACATTCAAAGAGCCGCTCTCAATAACAAGGAGATGGCTTTAAAAGCAGCCATTGCAATGCGCACGACAAAAGGTGGTTCATAGCCTTTGTGTTTGTTGCTAATGGGGCCAGAACACACAGGAATATTTGTGTTGGACTCAAGGGGGAAATGGAACATATGTTGTAAATAGAATGATTCAGTACGGTAGGTCTAATGTAGGATACTTTTGTTTGTCAGAGTTCAGTTTAATGGGCTCGTTTTCTACCTGATACTATATAAATATACAGGGACCATATTAAGCCACTGTATCACGGTCTAAGAATCAACAGGTATCAGTTCTATCATTCAACGACCCGATTGCAGAGAGCCACTTATTCTTTCTAAACAAAATATACACCTTACACAATGACAGGCTCTTAAAAAAAGGGACAATTAACCTAAAAAATATAAAATAGATAACTTTCCCATACCAAACTTTTGTTTTTGTGTTTGTTAGCCTAGTCTTGGGAGATACCTGCGTTTCCCCACACGGAAATGGTCAATCATCTTCAATTAGCGTCATGATTTCTGGGAAAGAGACATGACGAGTTTCACAAATGTTATTTTTTGAGTGCACGCTTGATTAATTCCTTAAAAGACCAGTTAATCACGGGGACAATACAGCAGGGAAAAAGTCCCGGGGGCCCCTCCGCGGCTCGGCCAGCGAGATAATAACTGAATACACGATGATCGAATTACATACTGTAATATTGCATAAGTCACTATATGGTGCTTCCTGTGTACAAACCTGTTAGCGACTCTATTTTGTGCTTGTCATGCAACATTTTATCTACAGATAAAGGGTGGAGGTGCAAGTCACTTCTCACGAAACGCACGCAGTGGAAACTATTTTCCTGTCACTAAACTGGAGAACCGTCTCCATCACAAGTTGATTTTTGAAACTCTTTTAAGAAGGTTTGTTGGAACATTTCTAAAAATGTAATGTAAAATGTATTGCAGGCTGACACTGGCCTTTAACAAACACACAATCAGGCCAGGAAATGCTGCTTTCCAGGTAACATGGGGTATTTCTTTAATGGTAACTAATAACCAGAGAAGTTGTGTAATAAATCCAAAAGAAAGCATGTTGTTTAAATTCACTGGGAAACTGGGTTAACGTTCTGGTTACAAAACAACTCCCCCGGAGCAGAGTCATGATGCTTCGGTCTGCTAACCCGAAGCAGACACATGATCCCAGGAGTCCTGCTGCAGACGTCAGTGAACGCAGCCTGAAGACCAACTGCTTTGGTGCAGAATTCTCGTGTGACGGCTTCCCAACAGGCAACACTACCGGCCCAACGACGCGAGCAACCTGGTTCACATGCGATGTCGACAAAAAGGACACGCTTACAAGTAATCTCCGTCTTCTGCAGAGTTGTGCATGGATCTTGTGGTCTGAATAGCTGAGGACCGATCAGCCAATCAAAACCCATACAGCCCCAAAGGAAACAGCAGGCTATTACAGCTGGGCTTTAGTGCTTATTATTTAATGTCGGAATCTGTGAAAATGTGTTGGTTTTGGTTTGACATTTGTAAACAAAAGACAACCCAAAAAGTTAATCTAAGTTGAGCAATATGCATGTGGATGAGATTCAACAGAGCAGGCATCCCGTAGGGAAGCAAGTGGCCATGGTTAAATAAATGTCGTCCGCAGCGCCCGGCAAAGGCTCAATTTTGCATGAAAAGTGTGTGCGTGCATGTGTTCCAAATGGAACAGAGCGTGTCTGTGTACATGTGTTGCAGAACAACTGTGTGCGAGTGGGAAGTCATGAGGCCCCGAGCATGCGGTATCTCACGCCGCTTCCTCAGTGCTAACCGAACGCGGAGACACAGAGGGGCTTTCTTTAAAAAGGCGACACAGAATACTTTCAGCGACCAGGCATGTGAACACGCCGGATGGTGTGGCGACGGGGTGACGCTGGAAAATCGCTAGGGCTTCAAAATAAGGCCACAGTGGGGCCTTGAAGACGGATTTACAGCAGAATTGGGTTCCTCTCAGTTGCACAGAACAGCAGGTTGGTTGTGTTAACTGTCACAGACACAACTACTGATTAGAAACTAGCCTGGTGCAAGACAGCCTAAGGCTGAAATACTTATCTTGGAAGTTCAAAATATCTTTTATGACATGGGCTCAGCCTTGCACCTTGAGATGAAACAATTTACTGCAGTTTTTCTTTTTGCAATTAGTAACATACTTACTGAATACCTTCTGACGCAATTTGTTTAAGTAAATTAATTAAGAAATAAAATAATTCACTGCCCTTAATAAACTAGGTGTTGCCTTTTGTACCTCCGTCCCCTACACACTTTTAATGTAATAGGAAACTAAATCAAATATACTGCCTCCTTAAAAAAAAAAAAAAAAAAAAAAGTGCTTTATGCATGGCAGAAATAAAGTGCACTGCGGTGGCGACAATGGACTCTCTTGAGGGTGAGTCAGCATACCGTGAACAAGCTTCCGTGAGTACCAAGAAGAGAAAGGACCAACAATGGCGCCCCGTTTCTTGGCTTCACGACAAGCGCAGCGGAGCGGTCATTAGCACCAGCCTGACAGCGGCAACACCCAACCACCCGTGACCGGCTGGTCACCACGCAACACTTCATTTGGCCAGGAACTCTTCAGCGGACGTGGCTTCAACCTGTAACCCGCCGGCAGCACATCTCATAACCAGGACCCACCCGGTCTCCACTGACAAACAGCAGCAAGGCAGCGCTGTACTGCCGGCATCTGCAGCGGCGCCAACTGAGCGCCTGCGTGGCTGCCCCGCCCAGCTGCCCCGCCCGGCCTATTCCAGGCACCTCCATCCGAACAAGCCTTGCAGCAGGACTTGGAGGATGAGCTCGCCGGCAGGCGTTTTTTGGGCATTAAAGCAGGCGCTGTACTTACTTGCCACGTTCAAACCCCCATCGCCAGTCCGACATTTGGATTTAGAGGGTAGAACAAACCGACTGGAATACAGAGCGTGACGAAATAAGTCGATCAGACACGGTGCACGGCTCAAATAAGGCCCGGCTGCCACGACAGTTGTAAATGTGTGCGCGTGTCGTGGAAAGCGATAACACCCCACATGCCGTACTGCAGACACATCAGAGCTATGCTGATAAGCAGCAGGCCAGCAGTACGATTAGCAGGGCTTTGGTTTCAAGCACATGGCTATCTATGGGGAGGAAAGTGAAAGGCAACGCTCAGAGGACGAGGACTGCCATCGGTGAGCTGCAAGGAGCCTTTATATGACACTAAGTACCACCTGTGGTCGACTTGATGGAGCTAAAAATAGAGTTTTCGGGAAAGCATGGACTCGCTTCCTGATATTGATATATATACGTGTGTGTGTGTGTGTTGCCCTGGGGGTAACGCTATGTGTGCAAGTTTGAAAGAGTGCTTGATTGAAAGGGGATTGTGAATAAACAGTCGTGTCTGCGCTTAATGTAAATAAAATAAAATAAAATAAAAAAGGGCTGGACAATCGGTGATCAAAATGTGATCCACATAGGCCGAGAAATGAAGTGACAGTGAGCAGGAGGCACAAACGAGATTAAGGAAAGAGCAGATCTGGGCCAGCTTCCTTTATGCCACTGCACTGTATGTAAATGCGGTGTATTTACTCTGCGATGGGTGTAGTAATTCGCTGGCTACTAACCTTGACACAAAAAGCCTTCGGTTAGCGTTACAATAAACCAACACAAATGGCTCCCAGATTAATTGACCATCTTAAGTATGCATTGTACTCAAAGAGTTATCCAAAGTCTGACCTTTATGCATGATGATATCATGACTGGCCTAACAAAATGCATTTTAAGTTAGAATCCAAGATGTAAAGTTACTGCATAACGTCAGTGGTTGTAACGGATTACGTCACCGTACCGTTAGCTAGAGATGGTGAAACGTTAGATGCGGACCCATCTGAGGCGAGGCGGATGCTAACAGTCTAGCATGATCAGTGTCCCCTCGCGTAGTTTCAATTCTTCAAAAACACACTTCCCTTTCTACGTGTTACATAAACACGAGGTGAAACCAGAGACTGCGAATAGGAAGGGAAACGCTATCAACTCTCATCGGGTCAGTTTGGCGACATCAGACGAATGCTAACCGTTAGCATCCAGCCCGTTAACGTTGATGCTGCCCACCGGCAGATAGCGGTCCAGCTAGCCACGTCCGTTCCACTCACCTCTCCTTCATGAAGTGCTTGAGTTTGACGATGGCCTTCTCGTCAATCTTTCTGAGGAAGGTTTTTAACCTGTCTCTCTTGTTCTCAAGCATTCTTCCCTCAGCCACTGGTCACCGGTTGGTGTAGAAACGACGCTCCGCGCCAGCCTACACCGTGTGTCTTGTTTGGCTGCGGGGTCTATATTTTTTTTCGTTCCTCCTTCTCACTCCATTCACGGCTGATGAAGATAATGAGCGCAAATCGGACCAAGTTAGTCGTCCAATCAACGTCGGCGACGACGGTCATGTCAGGCCGCTTCTCCAATCAAAACAGGGTAGTTGGCCCTCGCCGACCGCCCATTACCTAATATGGAAGTCGATCCGCCCCCGACGTGAGACCCCGGAGGATAGGGAACACATTCCTTTTGATTTCACTGGTGCTGTTATATTATGATAGATGCAAATTTGAACATTTCACGTGTGAACAAAATATACCGAAAAAACGTTGTAGATTTGCAGCAGCGTCATATGTTTGCCACACGACACTTATCCGTCAGAGGAAATAACTATACTGATCCAACAGGGTGGGGCTGCTTTACATGCTGCTTTACATCCACAAACAAAGAGCTGAATTATATTGTAAGAGGTTGAATCTATACTATGTGCTATAAAGAAAATAGTAATTACTATTGCAGATATAGCTCACATGTTTCATCTGAATATGGTGACATTGCTATTTTCAATTATCTTTGTTACATTTGGGCTTTTAAACTGGGACACTCCTCAAAAAACGAGCAGTTGCACAAGTGAGGAGCACAACAAGAGCTGGCAGCACCCATCGAGTAAAACAGGGAATTTAAACTGACCGACTTTTGTAACAAATAGCAAAGTGACAAGCCTGCTGTGCAAAAGGCTAAATACGGCTCAATCATCAGCTAAGTCACATTTTAGTCACAATGATTGTCTGTGTGTTACTTGTGACTGACGGATGTTTTTATAATAATGCTATAGCATAAAAATGAAATGTGCTCCATGAAGGTGTTTTAGTAGATTTTATATTGTAAGATGGTTTGCACCTCCTATTAAGGCAATTACCTAAAGTGTCCCTTAACAAGGTGTATGAGGGTTTTCTGTAGCTGTCCCTGAGCTTTGACCTCTATGTGAGGAGGGGTCACTATGAAAAATAAAAACACATAATATCTTTGCTGAAATAGAATAATATCATGTTTGATAATTCCTATAGAGGCAAATATTTAAAATTTTGAACAGCAATATTTCAGTAATTTGTGATTTTATTGTCCCAAAATGTGTCTGTAGGTCACCGTAACATCACGTCATGACAAATCAGTGAGTTAATGAAACACAGTTCAATCAGACACCCCACTGGAGGATGCTTGATGCACACCTAGATGACATACAAAAAAGATAATCAGTCATTATCGGGCAACTACAAAAAGAAATACACATACATCTTTACACTGAAAGCCCCTTTTTTTCTGACTTTGGCAGCTCAGGCGCTGCCACGGCACCAGGAACAGAAAAAGCACTGTGTTATTCGTCACTTGACACGACGCACACACCACCCACCCACTCACGCAATCTGCCCCACACCAGTCGGCCCACAGGTCTTCCCTTCCGCCGCACCCCCCCCCCCTCCCCCGGCACGGAACAAAGCGGATAGAGAGGAGGACATCTCGCTTCAAAACAGGGAAGTGTGTGATGCAACGAGGGGGTTTCGATGCAGCGTAGGCGATGACATGCTTGTCTGTATGGATTCGTCACAGAGAAAGCTGGCTGCACAATTGGACAGTGCGGGGTACCACGCAAGGGTCCAGGACTCACAAAAGCCTTCATGACACGTTTCGAGTTGGTTCGCGGTTGTCGAACCATATCGCCATTAGCTTGAGGCCCCTTGATCTGTAGTGAAGACACTGAGTAATTGAGGTGAAATTCGGCGCAGTAGACTGTCACTGCTGAATGAAAAGTGTATTCCAGTGTGTCAACTACTTCAAATCGAAACAAATAAGAAAATAGAATAAATGTTTATTCGTCACTGCAAAGTCTTTTTTGTCCTATGGGACCACGCGTTTCGCTAATATTAACACACTGAGTCACCACGCCTGAATAATTCACCATTGATGTCGTCAATATTTGTAAGCGACACACCATCTAGTCACGAGCAATGAGCCGAGTGTCACACAAGACGGGCGTATTTAAAATGCACTTTGGCAAACATCATTGCAGCTTTTGGGCGGCTGTTACGGTTCTGAAACGTGCACGTTTCATTACTTTTGCGTCCTTCTATACTTTTGTACACATCTGGGAAACCCTAGTTGGTTTGTTATCTCCGACGTTGCTTAAGTCAGTTTGTTTGCTTCATAAAATATGGATCGAGGTTACCGTGTATGTCTCTGCGAGATTAGAGAAGCGAGAAGTCCTTAACCAACAGGATAATTTGTTGCAAAAGAGATGTGATCCTTATTATCAGCTGCTGGTGTTAACACTAACCTTGAGAGGCTGGCAACACTTTGGCCTGAAAAACAAGGCCATGACGCACAGACAGCTGCAGCCGTACACATGACAGCGCAGGTGTGTCAGAATGCTTGTGAAGCAGTAAAAAACAATCATGACTTCTACATTTGTCTTAATATGTTTTCCAAGCAGTTACCAATATGTAACGCGGGATAAAGCAACGTAAATATATGAAAGATGTGAAGTGAAAACAGCTTGTAATTAGCTTGTAATGGAATTGTGATAACCATTCAAATTGCAAACCTTTTCTAAATTAGCCAATGACTGGAGCACCTCAAACCTCTTTTATTAGATACTATTCGTCCTGACAGAATGTTAGTGCGAAATCTCAAGAATCTTAATTTCAATGGAAATACAGTTCACATTCCCAGCTGGGATTTTAAATTGTGATCTTTTTCAGATCAGATTTGGATTTTTGATTGTCCCGGCCTGCCTGTGTGCTTGTGTTGCACACGAGCAACTAGTCACATGGGAGAAAGTCTGACCAGTCCGTTAGCAAAGCAGCCTCCTGTCGCTGCACGCTCCACCTTTAGGTCATCAGACCTAAGTGGAAGTCCCTTATCGGACTATTTGAGTCATTTATCTCTTTCAATCCGGATCTGTCAAGGACTCCAGTTTAACAGGAATGTTTTTAGTCATACATATTACAGTACATACGGTTCTGGTAGTTTATTTATAGGACATCTCGTGTTATCACTTTGCGGGCTTTCCGGTCATGCGTACGCACATTTTTGTGCAGTAGGGTTGAAAAATTGACACATAAAAACTTGTGCTTGTCAGTCTGTCGGGTTAAAAAGGTCAGTGCGCCACCAAGGATTCACCTCAGCAACTGCTGATTTCCCTCAATGAGGCCAGCGAAGGGGGGAAGCACCTTACTCCCTATCCAATGATATCATCTTACCCTCTAACACTGGGACATTGTCTGTGGCCATCTCCAAGCGAGCCCACCGTGGAAATTCGTTTTGTTTTTTAAGATACGCTGAGGAATGTCACACTTGGGAACAGAACTGACACGGCTGGATTAGAGTCTGAAGCTTGTCGTGTGCATGAAAAAAAGAACGTTACCTGATGGGTTTTGTTTGTTTTCTCTGCACGTGAGAAGCTCAGGTGTAACACACACAACCCTCGTCTTAAAGGGTATCGGGTTTCTACCCGGCAGGGTCTAGCCGGCCTCTTCCAGCTTCTGTTACCAAGCCACTCTCATCACTAATTCATCCGCGCCCTTCACCCCAAAAAGCTATTTGGTCGGGCGGTTGGTTCTGCTGAGCGGGAGGAAAGGACAAGAGTTTCTCGCTCTTCGCCAGAGCAGTTCACCACGAGGGCTCCCAGAGGAGGGCCGTACCTAAGCTGGGGCCCGATGCAGAAGGGGGAGGCTATGAGCCCGCAGGACTCAAGGGCGGCGGGGGCCGAGGCCCCGGAAGAGCAGAAGGCCCAGAACCAGGGGCGGAATCAGGGCGGCGGGGAGCCCACAGCGCCTCCGCTTCCCCCTTCGCCACCACCACCGGGGCCGCCAGAATATCCCAGGCCCAGACTCATTTTCCACACCCAGCTGGCTCACGGGAGTCCCACGGGCCGCATTCACGGATTCACTAATGTCAAGGAGCTGTATGGAAAGATCGCCGAAGTGTTCAACATTTCCCCATCAGAGGTAATGAAAGAACACGGCTTTGCATGTAAATATCATTTGGCTAATTTGTGGTAGTCTTTCTTAGTTGGCCAGTTGTAAATATATTTTAGGTTTTCATTCTAGGCTATTTGCCATGATGCAGTGTTGAAGATCATTTGACCTCAACACTCTCTGTCCAAATTTGTGTTTGTCTGAGCCTTGACCAGGATCAATACTGAAAACAGAACCTGATAATAATACGCGGTCAGTAAACACCACTCACGCAACACACAGAGCAAAACTAAAAACTTTTTGCTTTGAAAGTTATGTGAAAAAATAAAAAGAACATGGTAGAAGATAGTAACATTGATCTAAAAAGGTCCTCAAAATGTCAAGCTATTTAAACAATTACATGCTGGTACTGTCCCTAACACAGGTTGTCTTTCATAAGTCCAAGATAAACATTGAAGACATCAAAAGGATTATTTTCTCTGACTTTGACACGTTCTTTCTGAGCCACATAATAAAATAAAATAAAACAGTTTTCAAATCCTAAACGGTACTTCCCATGACACGGACCTCTGTGGGTAAAAATTCCCTTCTGAAATACTCAAAGACGAAACCTTACACAAAACCATATATATATACACATATATATATACCGTATATATACGGTTTATCTACGGTATCTACGGTAAAACAGTAGATAAACCGTATTTCCAAAGTAGTATGAAAATGATGCAAATAAAAAAGGTCATTTGGATCCTTTTCAGTAAGGTTACAGCAGGACGCTGCTGCCTTGTCACAAGGCCCGATTCCTTGAGAAAAGGTCTGGCCACTAAACCTTTAGCCAAGCTTCAATGCAGTCTGATACTGATACCAAAGGCCAGCGTACACAAATAGATGTCACAGACCTTTCATGGCTGGGCTCAGTTTTGGGGTTTTCATTCAGACGTTTTAATGCATAGATCCAGACCAGGTGGAAGTCGATGCAACAATAGACTGATCTGAGGGTGCAAAGAAGACTTTAGCAGGGCGTGAAATGTTGCCAATGGATTCTCTTTTTCTGTGCATGTACATGTTTTGTCTGGTTTACTGAATTAAACACGGTTTGTTTGTGCAATTCAATATTATACTAAAAGAATATAATTGTAAAATACTTTGACTTGTGTCAGGAATAACAGTAGTCATGTACTGCTCTGCGTGAAGCTCCATTACTGGAACAGAGCCATGACTATTCAACACAAACCGTATCCAACACTTATCAGCGTTGCGAAGGCCACTGTGAAGGCTGGAGATCAAAGGGTATAAAGCGACGCACACTTTATAGGAGCTGACCTTGATGATCTTAACTACCAGATATCGACCTGTTACAGGAATAAGCTGTCAGCTCAACACACCACGTTACACCAGTAAAGTACAAATACACACCTCAACGATTATTCTACTATTGATAACATTTTAACTGTCAACATCTAGTTTGCGACCTTACCCACAGTGGCTCAAGATGGACAGAAGAATATTTGTATCCGTCCTTTGTGTGCAGTCTGCCTGGAACTGGTGTGTTTTAACGCTCAGATAGTTTGGTCCAATTGGATTTAAGACTCTTCATTGTTTATATGTGTTTGCCTGTGGTAGCTTGTCCTGGGTAAAGTGTTTCCTAGGTAAACCTAGGGAAGAATTAGCATTTTAGTTATTGGTCGGTTAGATTACTAATAGTGAACAATACGAGGGTTTGAGCCTTACTTTGTTCCAAATGCATAATCATGAATTGTAAAAATGCTCTTTAAAACAATAATAGATTTAAGTCATGTACTCCCACTCACTTAAAAAACAGACAGTTAATAGCTGAAAACATTGGAGTGATGAATAAAAACATAGGCAGAATTGTAAAGGTGGATTTATCTGCACGTATTTCTACAAGACCTTGAACTGGAGTCTGAATTCAAGATACTAAACTTTCTATGGGGAATATCAGTCAATAAGTTGGTGATAGGGAGAAGGACAGCAGTTCCCTTGACCTCCCGTGGACTGAACAGTATAAAATTACAGTACAGCTGGATGCCCAAAAAAGTCCTTGAACTGCAGTCAGAGTCTTCTTCCTGCCAAGAGAACTACCGTGAGCAATACCTAACAAGAAGTGCTCCAACAGAGATAACAGGTCGCTCAGGTTATCTTGAATTTCCGTTATGGATTAGAAAGACAAACTTAAACTTTAACCTTAGTTTTCAGAATAACAAACAAATAAAAATTGTGCAAACACATTCATTTCTACATTCATCATTTTTTATGGCGTACCCTGGTGTATTCAGTAAGATTTCATGACTTCTATGAGAAAGAAATAAAAGGGTAATAATTTAATACTGTTATTTGCAATCAATAATTTAAAACTATAAAGCTTTGAAAGCTACCCCGATTTAAAAGCGTCACCTTAAACCAACAAACAAATAGTCGGCATGTTGTGACCGACTTAAACATTAACCTTGAGATCTATAAAGGCCTTTAATGAGTAATGACAGTCATGACTCAACAAAATGGCCACCAAACCAAACGTTTAGCTGTTCTGCCCCCTGCTGGTTAGTCTCTGTACAGCACAGCTACAGAAAGTACGAAGGACTATTTATGCCTCTGAAATATTACAGTGCATTTTCTTGTCTTTTATTCTAAATGATTAATGTGTGACTAAGGATTTAGGAACTCATTTGAAAAGGTAAATGTATACAAAATAACAATCGATCTCTAATCATTATCATTGCACAGTGAACTTTGGTACCCATTGGATACCTCACTGATTAACAGAAAGGACTAACTGGTGCATGTGTTCCCCTTAGATCCTGTTCTGCACCCTCAACTCTCATAAAGTGGACATGCAGAAGCTGCTGGGGGGGCAGATCGGACTGGAAGACTTCATTTTCGCTCACGTCCGAGGGGAGACCAAGGAGGTGGAGGTGACAAAGACAGAAGACGCGTTAGGCCTCACTATCACCGACAATGGGGCCGGATATGCCTTCATCAAGGTGAGCGAGTGGGGGGAAAACTGGGAATCGTTGTGAAATGTTACAATTTCTTTTTTCTCTCTTAGAGGATAAAAGAAGGCAGCACCATAGATCAGCTGAAGACCGTGTGTGTCGGGGATCACATCGAGGCCATCAACGACCAGAGTATCGTAGGCTGCCGACACTACGAGGTGGCCAAGATGCTGAAAGAGCAGCCTCGAGGCATACCTTTCACTCTCCGCCTGGTGGGACCCAAGAAGGCCTTTGGTGAGTGAAAAAAAAAAAAACGTTTTGTCGAACAAATGCAGTTTGGGTAATCGAAACACACAACTTCAAATCAGTCAGGAATGCTCAAAAGGGAACATTATAGTTTTATTTACAGTTGTGGTTACCCACAAACAATGACAAACGTGGATACAGTACGATGAATGATGTCATCATACGTGTGATTTATTGATCCTTCCTTCCTTCAGTCCGGAGACCCAGGAACGAAACACAGCAGGAAACATGAAACATAATCGTTCTTCTTGTCTGACCGTCCTGCTCTCATCACATGCTGGAAATTTGTGCAGTTTTCTGCGGGTGTATTTGTTTTATGATACGACTGTCCATTCACTGACATTTGCATGATGGATTTCCTTCTCTGGAATATGATAGAGATCACTGGCTATCTGCCAATGAGCCTGGAAAAGTTGTTAAACTATTCAGCTATGATTAGTTGAACAGTGTTACGGCAGTGGCTGTTAAGACTTTGCCGACTGGCTGTGGCAGAAAATGCTCTCGTGTGGCTCTGCAGGGAAAAATGCCAGTCGGTAAATTTAGTTCTCGAGTCTGAAATACTGCAGAATGAAATTGATGGACTTTGTAAAAAAGAAAAAAGAACCATTGTAAATGCAGTTTGTGAAATACCCTTTGGTTGTCAATCATGTATTGCCAGAGAAGACTTAAAAACGTTTCAGGAAAATTCAAGGTTCATACTGCTCTGCAATTCATATTGCATTTTAATATTTTAGGTTTTCTTAGTCTACAATTCAACTCCAGACATAATCTGCTGTACAGGAAGGAAGTTCCTGAAAGCAGTCTCCATAGACAGTAACACACGCTTCCTTACCTCCTAAGCCTAATTAAACATCAGAGACACAAACTTCATACATCAACTTAAATATTACCTTTAATGTGTTCTACACAATGTTCACAGCATTAATAAATCATCAACAGTCTCCTAAATGTAACAGTGTAAACAATATTGATCCAATGTAAGGAAATTGGTTACACAAAATGCCACACTTTTCATACGTGTGTCTTATGTCTTATGTTTGAAACTACAAAGAAACTACACATATTTAATAATAATACTTATTTTTATTTATTATGGGTACCCAAAGATGCTTTACAATGTAAGAGAAACGGACAGAAACACTAAAAAATAAAAAAATAAAAATAGAACTGTAGAAAACTGTAGAATGAGTCATGTAGGAGTCAGCGTTTGAAAGCGAGTTTGAAGATGTAGGTTTTGAGGGCTTGTTTGAAGGATGGTACGGTGGGAGCTTCGAGGATTTAGATTCAGAGGGGAGCTGCAGCCGCCGAGAAGCCATTGGAACCTGAAAGAACTTTCAAATAGATATCACCAATCTAACTGCCAGCAATAAATATACATGTAAATTCATTGGGTAAAAGTGACCTGGTTGGAGTTAATCCTTTTAATCACCAAACAACAGCCTCTTAAGAATGCCCAAAATCTGCTCCTACGCTGAGCAACTTTCTGTTCTCTTTGAAACTTCAGGACAGGAAAGTCTCTTTCACCATTATTAAGCCGCTTCCCTTCCAATTTCATGTGCAAAAACAACGACAACAACAGTCTTGTTTGTTGCATCTGGTGTGGAACACATAGAAGAAAAAAGGAAAGACCCTCTTCAGAGTGGATGTGGCAGACTGGGCTGGAGTCCCAACAGTCCACAATCTCACGCTTCCCACAGGAAGCTGCAACTTTGGTCAAGAGGCTTATTTCCTGTTACCAATGAGCACACAATATTGACAACATGCCGACCGGTGCTATCGAGAGGGAGCGAATTAATTAAACAAAACAACTTGTGCTTTACTCGCGCCCTCATCCAGGTCGACCCAAACGTTTTGTCTTGTGAGCTGCTGTGTTCAGAACAAAGAGGCTTAAACAGAACAGAACACACTTGGTATCAGATTTGAGGAAACTGTTTATGCAAAGGATCTTGAAATAGGTGTAAATATTATCAAACCACATCCCTTCATTTCTCTGTATAAACCCCAAAAGTCCCAATGTTCATACCCGTGAATTGGTCGATAATTCAAACAAACCAACACATGACTACCTGCCCAATCTGCATCAGATGGATAAGATTTAAGGTGTAAAATGAGGCATTACGCCAATTAGAATCATTAATGTAACAGAGCTGTGACTTTATTATGGCCCTAAATGTTAGAAATATTAAATTAATATTACTATGTGGTGTACAGAGGAACAGGCAAGTGTGAGCTCCAGTAAGCTTTAGGTCTGATGTCACATTTAAAAGGTTAAATCACACATAGAACCTAGCAAAGGGACCAAAAAGAAGGTGCCATAATAACCTTTACTCTTGGCATGACATATACTACTGACTTGAAATGAATTCCCATTTGTAATAAATGATATGTAAAACTGAGAGCAAATATGTCTTTTAAACAGACCCTGTGGCTCTAACAACACTAGTGTGCTTTGACATCAGCAGGCTCACAACTACGTTCACCATCTTTCCTGCATTAGCAGGTCAACAGACTCAGTACAACGTGTAGCCGAGGCTTATGGGAAGGTCATTTGTTTTGCAGTCACTTGGCGCGTGGCGATCAGCTGATTCTCAGTCAGCAAAGTTAGAAATAGGAAATAGATGGAAATGAATCACAGTCACTTTATTACAGAACTCTTCCGTAACTGGAGACAGGATTTTGATCAATGTTGTTCTTTATTTAAATGAGACGCAACATCACAAGAGACTGAAAACTGGAATCTGAATAACAGATTGTCATGACTTTACAAAGTATTATTTATTCAAATAACGTTTCAGGTTATAAAACCAGCCGCATTAGACGGGTGCCTTCAGGTAAACTGAGGATGAATAACGGTCCATCCAGAGAGGAATGTTAAATTTTCTGTTGTGAGGGATGAGAAATGCTTTGGTCAGTGTTCATATGTCGTTCTCATGAAACCTACACTGTGTATATTGAGTTTGGATTTCTGACAGCACAGTTTGCTTAACAATAGAAGAAGAACGTGCTAGTAAGCTCTGAGAGCCGACCGCAGAACTTCCAAAAATAGTCTCATTAGTTGGATTAATGGTTAGCCTCATGTCGGCGTGTGTGTGTGTGTGTGTGTGTGCGCGCTCAGACATGATTGGAATGAGGACCAGAGCGCCAAAATCAACTGAGGGCAAGATGGCGAACGGCAGGGAGACGCTACGGCTTCGCTCCAAGGGGACTGCTACAGTTCAGGAAGTGGTGAGTTTCACACGCTTTGCCGGACAATGACTGCTTGAGTCCCAGATTTCCTGGGTCAGGGATATGTCTACACACACACACACACACACACACACACACACACACACCCAAACCACAAAAATGATTAGGGCTTTCATTGTTTAAGGCGGATTACATCATTTTTAAAATGTGTTCAAACTAATTATATTAGGCTTTTATAGAAGTGCTTACAGCATAGATTGTTTTTTGGGAGAATTAGGAACTGAACTGACCCCAAACTGACCTGAACCCCCCCACTGGGCCGAATTAATGATCAGCACTGACTCTGCAGGAGGTAAATACAAACATTTCATCCCCTTGAAGGAAATTTGGAGGGTGAAAAGGTTCACACGATTCAGAGGAGCGACATTAAACAAACCCCAAACAACTCCCTTCTGTATATAACACAAAGATGATGATGGCAGTGATAAACAAATCGACCAAGATATTATCGGCCGCACGTGTTTTGGAAGCAGACGTTATACCGTCAGAGTTAGAATCAACATATTTGCAGAGTGAACACCACATGGTTTTCCACACACTACCGCTGTATTTCCCCCCTTCGCTCTGCCAGCAGAATGAGTTTGATGAACAGGCCACCAGGAGAGTGGACGATCTCCTAGAGAGCTACATGGGCATCAGAGATGTGGAGCTAGGTAAGATCACGCACATGAATGTAGGCTCCTTGAAATAGACACATCCCCTTTTTGTACCATGTTCACAAAGAGATGCAGCAGTCATCAGGGTTTACTGTGGGCTGTAATAGAGTGACAAGCTGCCTCACTCACTATCTCACGTGCTCAGATGGGCCAGCTAACCTCAGACCGGGGAGGTGGGGTTAAAGGAAAATGGTTTCTCACAATTTACACCCACCACAGATAATTCATAGTGATGATGGGACTGAAAGCTATGCTTTTTTGGATGCTTACTTTCAACTAGCAGCATCTTTGCAGGCCATTTTCTCCACAGCAACCAAAAGTGTTTCAATCATTGGAGTTTATTGTGTTAGCACACACGAGAGGGTGTTATCCACTCCGGAGGTCCTCGGATGATTGAGGAATTTCAATGGGACACGTAATTAAAATTGCTCTTGTTAGCGGTTTGCCTTTTCCCAAAAACCCCTGAGGTCAATGGCCTGATTTCCAAGAAGACAGTCGATGGCTTGGACAGCATTTACAAAGGTCAATTATTTATTTCTCTGCTATTCTCTTTGCTTAATACTTAAATGTAATACAACAATGTTTAGATTTTTAAAAACACACATGTAAAACGTGTAAATTCTGAGATGGTATTTAGACTTAAATGAGAAGTGATTTAAACTACAGTGCATTAATATTGGAGATTGCATTTACTTTTTCTGCCTCGGGCGGCACACATCTTTGCTTATGTCACGCTTGGTGGTTCATGAATACAGTTTGACATCTTTGAGATTACTCCTGAATCTCTTGTAAGTCATACGATTAATTGGCCATTTTAGGTGGTAGAAGACTATAATAGCACATCTAAATAAGGGTTAGATGCATTGTTTTGTATTTGGCTGCTGAGAAAAATGTAGCTGGAAATAGCTACGGTCTAAACTGGATTCATCTAAATCAGTCACTTCTTCTACTTTCTGCAGCAACCACCATCGTGGAAGCCGGTAAAGACAAGAAGAACCCTGATGACTTTGCAGAGGCCCTGGACTCCGTTTTGGGAGATTTTGCTTTCCCTGATGTGTTTTTGTTTGACGTATGGGGGGCTATTGGAGAAACCAAGACCGGGAGAATGTAGACCTCTACAGCACCATATAAGCAAGAGAGAGAGAGAGAGAGAGAGAGAGAGGGGTCTGTTCTCCAGTTCATCCAACTGTAAAACAACAAATTTTATCTTTAAAACCATGAATGGGCCCGCAACCCTTTGCAGCCTTTAAGTTATAATACTTTACAGAAAATGTAAAGTTAATGTCATCCTGAACGTTGAAAATCTTTGACAATAAACTCAACCGATTGCTGTGTAGTTTTTAAACAAACTGAAATCAAAGACATGGTGTAGGCAATTCCCTTTTGATCTTGTGACAGTGACAATTCACTGGTTCAAAAAGAAATACAGGCTTATTCCCATTTTGATAAATAAGTTTGCAAATATTCTTTTAGTGCCTGATCCCTTCTCATACATACAAACCACGATGCAAAGGATTTATCAAAAATACAACAGTCAGCCAGTCATCCAAGCAGTTAGATGAAACTATTAACATGTTTTCTAGACACACAGGAAAGGTACAAGGAGACATCCTGGGGAAAAATCCCCTAATCAGGATGTATCAGTCTACTTCTCCATTATCAGTAATCTACAGATCCACATCTATAACTTATATTTGTATGCAAACAGGTCATCGTATTTATATATAATTAGTTTACTCTTTTTTTCAAACAATCAATTGGCCACAGTGCAACTCAGTCAATAGGGGGGACGATACCCGACGGTCCTTCTCTGCAATTCAGATTTTCCCACATGATCAAACAGGAATCAGGCCCACAGTTGCCACAATATTAACAACCCCCCCCCCAAAAAAAAATGTTAGGGTTCGGAAAATATGAGGGTCTGGTTGCCCACTAATGTTGAAATAACACTGCCTCACATATTCACATTTACATTCTCACATTCTCTGGGAGGGAATGTTTCTGGTTGGTCTCAAGTAAAGAATGTAAATATACTTGCTCAGTTTGTTTTAGTCACCATCCTTCAGGATTACTAAGTCTGAATGTTTCTCACAGTCTGTCTTTGGACTGAGGAGTATTTACTGAGGAGGCAAAGAAGCACATACGTATGCAGGTTGACGTTAAACAGTCACCTGCTTTCTGCCTCATTTTCTGAATACAGGTGAACAAGTAAACACCGAAAAACTGTTTGTCACAACTTCAGTCTGGCTTCACTGTTTTAGCTTCATCAGTCTAAGTCCGCTGATGTTTGACCACTTTGTGTATCATTACACCTCTCAATGAAAAACTGAAAACTGTGAGGCATGTTTCATATGTTTAAATCGTAAGTAAAAAGGTTGTAATCATACAGTAGTTGTCAAGCCCGTGTGTTTAACATAAAAAGTCCACATAACTCACTGGGATTTCAAGCCTTTATTTATATTTACAACCACATTCTGTGAAGCACGTTCAATGTTTATACCCTTTACCGGATTAAACGGCTACGTGGTTAAAGCAAGACACAATTTATTGATCAATTTAAGATATTCAGCTAACTGAGTGATAATGTAATGTTCAAAAAGGATCAACATAAACAACTGGATTATCAATTAGAGCAAAACATGACCGTATAAGCTTGATTATTTTTACTGTATTATTGCTATAATATTGTCATTACACATCAGAATATTCTGCTTGAATGGATTATGCAACAAATAAATAATCCCCCTCCCCTGTTTAGTGTTGTCATAAAAACTCTTACAGTTGACGCTACTTGACATTTTAGTTAAACATCTGAAGAGGTTTCAAGAGCACTTCAGTGAGGCCCGGAAGAGAGGTAAAAAGTAAGAAAAGCTGTTATAAACATACTGTTAAGAAAAGTAGATAGTAATCTAATTCAAAACTAAGATAGGAACACATATCAGATATATATAATATATATAAATTTGACTTTCTCCAGATGGAAATCCTTTTGATTTGATTCAAAGTAAAATAATTGACTTGTTTTTAAAGGTTCGGTACACATAACTCAAAAAAGAAACAGAATCAATATAGCAATCGTATTACTCAAGTGATCGTATTGTTTTATCAAACACTGGACGATAATACGAACAAAATCATCTTTCATTTAAAAATTTTAACATTTAAAAAAAAGAAAACCTTTAATCTCTAATTTATATCAGAAATACTGAATAATACGCGCCAAAAGGTTTCTATTTAGCAGATATTTTGTATACATGACCTTTCATGCAACAAAACATCTGATTTTAAGGGTATTAGATTTTTGATCGCATTGTTTAAGTTGAGGAAATTAATGACACAGGAACTTTTTTAGTGTCTGAGAAAAAATATAATCTGTTACATAGGGATGGACAGTTTGGTTGGATTTACATTCATTATACATATAATTTTACACAGAATATGAATTGTTGCGTATTGCGTAAACAGTTTAAATGTAAAGTGTTTGGATGGCTTTAACTTTTAACATATATTTTATTTAAAAAAATGATCTTTCCCCTCAGCCGCTGTAAACGATTATATTATGTATCATGCATTCCAAAATAAATAAATAATACATGAATAGTACTTTCATGAGCCTGGACACCCATTTAAATGACTCTTACCGTGACTCATGGGACACGCAGGAGCATCTGAGCACATGAGTGTAAGATAGTCTAACAGAATTACTTTAAAACAATGACCCCACCCTCTTTATTAAGTTGTTTAAAACATGAGTAAACTGTTGACGTAGCAGTTCCTGTATAAACGTCTGTGCATGTAGATCCCTTTTCAATTACTTTTAGAAAATGTATGTGCACTTGTACAACACATACATGTGTTGGTTTACTGGGACTATATACTATCAGTTAACAACAAGTTTGACCCATAAGAAATAACTGTGGATTTGCCCTCTGTTCTGCTAAAATTGTTTTTTCAAATGCCATTTATTTGTTTTTCTAAATGATAAAAGACGTAAGGAAAAGAAGAAAGATTAAAAAAAGATAGAAATTGCACTCAAGTAGGACCAATCAAAGATGTTAGACCCCATACAATCTTAATGAAAAAGAAAGTCATCGAGTTGTCCGCTTAGTGCTGCCTGAGTTGCATTGACTTGCCTGGTAGTTCTGTGAGCAGTTAAATCCAAAACAGCGCATGGGAGCCTATTTTCTCCCCCCTCCGTGTCCCTGGCGCGGCGGAGAGTAACGCAGCAGTTCCATTAGCTGTAAGCTGAGCCCACTCTCCAACAACCACTAAAAGGGAGCAAACTGAATTCCCACACTTTGTTTCTTAACACAGGAAAGCAGATGGAGCCGTTGGTGACGAACTCAACGGCGTTATCACTACCGGCCAGGAGGTTTAGTGTGTGAGGAGTCAGAAAGCAGTGAAAGGGGGTGAAGAACAGGAAAGAAAAGCTCTTAAAAAATGACCGACTCTGATGATCCTCCTGGTGACAATAAAAAAAAAAACGGCAATAAGTGATTTCATTTAGTTAGGCTTGTTTATGTGAATAAATTGATTCAGGCAACAGACTCACAGTAAAAAAAAAGAGTATAAAGCAGTTTGCAAAGATGTATTTTAGCTGCTTCTCTTATACTTTGCTCAATATTAGAGTGTTGTTAGTAATATTTCAATGACCTTCAACAAAAATAACGATTCAAATAAAAGATTCAATTAATTCAGATCATTGGTTTAACCTCGTTTCTCACGCTGGCAACACGAACCAAAGCTTTTAGAGGCAACACCAATGATGGCGCTCCATCTGATGCCACGACCGAAATCCAAACAATCATAAAGGAGAAGGAGGTGGTTGCTTCAATGTAGATGGGGGTGTTACATTTTATTTTTGGGCCTCTGCTGCTTCATTTGGTTCCGGGGTGCTCCCAAGGGAAGAACGCGTGAGCCTCCGGAGAGTATCGCTGAAAGACGGGTACATGGTCATGATGGATCTGCGAGACCAGTTGAAGCGGGGGTAGATTCTCTTGAGGACTGCCCTTCGAAATAGGATGTACACCCATGGATCCAGGATCTGGTTGAAGCTGGCAAATCGTAGCCATAGCAGTAGGAGTTTGGTCTCGAGGGGTCCGCCAGACAGCACGGTTTGTGCAATAAAGACCTATTGGTTGTGGTGAAAAAAAGGATGGAGAAAAGAATAAGTAAACAGGAAATAAATTATGGAGGAAAGGAGCAGGGGAAGGATGGGATCAAATGGGAAGTTTGAAGAGGAGGGAAAAAAAGGAGCAGACAATAGGACACAAGACTCAAATTAGAAGAGACAGCAAAATTAGAGTTGAAAAGACTTGGGAAGATTTATTAGAAATAAGGTTATGACAATTTATTGGTATTGTAAATGCACACACACACACACACACACACACACACACACACACACACACACACACACACACACACACACATGTTTTAAATGATGGAATGGCTGGACTTATTTCTCAGTGGCCATACAAAGGCACTGGCTATTGTAAATGATAATCAAAAGCTCTTTCATAGTGCTTCCAACCGGGCTTCCAATTTGGATTTCGAATTATCCCTTCTGCTGCACTTTAATTTACGAAATTGGCTTATTGTTGTTTTATTGCAATTCTGCATGTGCCAAGCAAATGTGGTTCTACTGTTGTTTACGCGGAAGCAAACCATGGACACAGATGTACAGATCTACGGTGTAAAAAGTGTCTTGAGATTTGTCATACAAACCATTGTCAGAAGCAGAGGTGCTCTACGGACTCAAACAACCAAAGAGGCCATGTCCAAGTTCCACATCCACATAAGGCAACATTTGTCGCATTTTTCGAAAGCATTACATGTACTGAGCCAAAAGGACCCGATTTGTGTCCAACCCTTATCAAGATTCTGGCAGCTGTGCTTCAAAAAACTCTTTGAGTATCCAAAACCCAAACCAGAATATGCGGAGAGTTAATCTACGAAGTTCTGTGTTAGTTTCAAGATAAAAGCCGACTCAAGGGAAATAAACAAACAATGCGAAGTGGATGAGACTATTGAAGTGGATTGTTTACCAACTGGAAATAAAATTAAGTGTACGTAGAAGTGGCGAGACCAAGATGAGACACTGGCCGCACTATGAAGCGTGCTCCCACTGACACTTTGGATTCATGGGTAGTGGTCTGGAAGCTGCAAGACATCAAGTAAACTATGTTGTACAGTCCATTTTAGAGTTTTATTGGCGGATGTTTAGGCCAAAATGAGGATTAAGGTGAGCAGTTACTGTGGGGATGCTTTGTTATCAACAACAGTCTTTCCTTTGTTCAATCTTTCAATGCCTTTTTATTTTTATTTTACTCGCCTCAGGTCAGGACACTTGACACACGATGTGTCTCCATGAATTGAATATCTGATTGTAGGTAACCATGCGTATGTAGAACAAAACAATATCTCCTCTTACAGAATATAAATCTGAGGTTAGACAGGACTGCATAAACAGATATGCTCCCGTTAGGTAGCTCCAGCCTTCCTGTTCTTTAGTTTGATGAATTCTAAACACAAGGCCTTTAAATTAGCCTAGTTCAAGTTCTGAACTGGCAAGAAGTGTCATAAACAAAAGATTAACTGCTTTTGCTTTTAGCAGTATTGTCTCATTCCGTAGTAACAAAAACTACCATCAGAAAGTTGAAAGGTGTACCAAAATATAGAGGGTTTAAAGCTGACCAACAGCTAGAGCTACAAAATAATATGCACGTTGTAATAAACTGGAGTTTTACCTTAAAAGGCAAAGATTTCCCACATGCTCTAAAGTTTAAAGTCATTTGGGGGCCCTTTGATCCAGGGTACGATCAGAAGGCCTTAGATCAACTACTTAGGAAGCCACATTGCTAAGAAGAAATCAAGCATATAAAAGGAGGAGAAGGGAAAAGGAACTTAGCACTTTACCTTAATAGGTTTTGAATAATTGAAGGGCATGTCTGAACATCAAGAGCTCAATATACTGGGTTTGGTTGACGACATTAGTAAAAGTTCTTTGCAATACTATGATTGACTATTTTTTGACTATTTGCTGTTGTTTCATTTTTGCTTTTGGTTTATGTTCAGGGTGTCTTTTAAGTGGAGTCGGTGAATCTCAAGAAAAGTTGTTGATGAACTCAACATCTAAACAAATTGTACTGATATACAGTCCGTCTCGTCCCAACTGCATGTCTCTGCCTTTCCTCAATGAGCATGACTGCACTCTGATTTACTGCAGAAATGTTGTGTGACAAAGTCACTTTGTTCATTTTTCATTTATATAGAGTCAAGGCTGTGCATGAAAACTGTCTTTTTTTCGAGCAAACAGAAAAAAGACACTTGGCGGACAGCAAGGAGATTTTTGTTGAATTTGTCAAAGGGATTAAAAAGGCTGATGGCACACATCATGCAATCATGATCGTTAGGTGAAGTTGGCGAATGCAACTCCACGAACCAGGAATTCAGATTTCTACTTTTATGTATGTTTTCTATTCAAGCAATTACTTTTTATTTCCCGTTTATTGCTCATCATTAAACCAATCCTGAACATAAAAACATCAGACAAACTCATTCCAAAGGCGCAAACTCACCAAGAGGGGGCACCAGCAGATGGAAGCAATGACCATGATGAGGATGAGCTGAACCATCATCTCTACTTCGTGCTCTCGGCTGCGCTGGGTCCTGTCTTGTCCGCAGCACACCTTGATCAGGGTCACAACGCTGACCGTGTTCAGCAAAAAGGACACGGAAATGGACATCAACCCGACCAGCGAGAAGAGCAGGGAGAAGGCCAGGTCATTTCCCTTTGAGCTGATGTTGAAAAAACACCAGGAGCCAGGCATCTGCATGTGGTAGCTTCCAAAGCCTGTCAAGGGCAGCAAAGCTATAGAGCCGGCGATCAACCACACCATCGACACCATGCAGACTGTCCGGCTCTTGGGTATCTTGGTGGAGCGCGCGAAGGGACGGTTGATGCCCATGAAGCGCTCAGTGGCCATGGCGGCACCAAGCAGCAGTGGACACAGTCCATAGAAGACCATGGATATGCCCATGAAGTTGCAGAAGTGGCATTTCGGATCTAGCTGGCGCCAATTGAAGTGCGTAACATGGAAGGAGATCACTATGGAGCCGGTAACCAGAAGACCCATGGTGTCGGTGACCACCAGGCTGCCCAGGAAGATCAGGAAGGAGCGCGAGCGGCTGTTTGTCCGGCGGAAGGACTTGACGAGCACCACGAAAGCGATGAGATTGGAGGTGACACCCAAAGTGGTGAAGATGGCTGAGAAGTAGGCCGACGCGATGCTGGGTTGGTACGAGAACGGAGGGCTGTTTATGGAGTAGCAGAATGGGGTGTTGTTGGCAAATGGCGGGACGGAGGTATTCATGGTGTTCAGCTGGTGTGGGGTAATTAATTTCAGATGACTCAGAGATGGACAGACAGCACCAGCTTGAGGATTGTCCTTTCTTTCTTCAACCTCAAAAGAAAAAAAGAGAAAAGTTAAACGATTGAAAGATATAATACAATTGAATTAAATAAAACAATTAGACACTTCAGTTACTGTGAATGTTTTTATTGGATTTTATTGCACTTCAAATGGAGCAACTGTCAGTGATTTTCTTACTTATTATTCCACCAGGGCCAATTCAAATCTGCATGTGCTGAAATTGGTTCCTATTCAACCCTCCATTTTCAATAAATGAAAATCTAGGCTTGTTCAGGGTTGGTTTACAAAAATTATATTTATTTTTTTCATACTTTGTCCAAACATTCATTGTTTGTTAAAACCGGGAACTGAAAACGAGGGCATCCAAAGTGTTGCAGTAAATGGCTGATTATCCAGGAAAAGTAGAATAATAAATTGGAGTTGCAATGGATGGCTACAAAGAACAGTTTCTAAAAGGATCTTACAACTGTCCCCAGTTTTCGCTCTCTTTCCGACCAGTATTGACTGCTATATCTGTAAGCTCTGTCTTAAGTCTATTTTGGCAATTTATCTTCCCAGATCCTAGCAATTTACTTGGTAGGTTCAACAATTTATACATACATAATGATATTGTCCAAAACTACTAAATGAGCCTCTTTCCATTAAAATCAAGACTATGCTATGTCACTGTAATGCTTGCAGATTTTGAATGTACTTATAAGCACTGTAAAGTCCATATATAGTCTGTGTGACTGCACAGATAAATAAGAGATAATAAACAATTAGGTGTTTATTTTGAGGACACCCACACAAACACATGCAGACACAGAAGTGGGGAGCCGTCATAACTTGGCAGGAAATGCAGTTATAGTTTGAGAAGAAATAACAAGCAGCGATAACAACCGCAGAAAAAAAGCAGAAATTAGGTGTATGGTGGTCTGTCCACAACACATCAAGTCAAAGTCAAAAACAGTCAAAGTGCAGATGGAAGTTTGGCTGGAAAGTAACGGGGAATAAGGGATGAACTGAAAATATTAGATGTCATGAGCCCATCCCATACATACATACATAAGACATGTCTTTTGTGCCAGCTCTCCCTTCTTAATGAATTAAAGTGTATTCAGTTGATTAATTTAATTGATTTCCATTGAGTTGGTAAATCAACATGGCTGATGATCAATGATCATGGTACGAGATGATCATATCAGGATCGTATTGAAGTGTACGTTTAAACTTAGTTTGAGTGTCCCAACACTCGTTTTATCAGTGAGCGAAAGGTGTGAGGTCACAAAATTGTCACAGGAAGTCCAGGGACAGGAGAGAGGGAGAACTCAGGCACAGACTTCCAAAATCAAAGAACTTTATGGCCAGTAGGGCAGTGAACTGCAGCGATACAGGCAGCGCTGCGTCTCCCCCACATTGACTAACAATCGACAAGGAGGCACGAGTCACACCTGGTTTAAATACACTGGAAAGGTGCAGGTGATTGGACACGGGTGGAAACAATCGGGGACACGGCCGACAATCAAACCAACAGGGGAAAATAAACCAGGCGTGGAAGCGAAGTTAACCCACGAGCACCAGAGGCAGGAAACTAGAAAATAAAACAGGAAGAGAACCCACACAGAGACAAAAATCTACTGTTAGTTTGATGCGTTTCAAGATTGTTTTCATTAATACACAACGCTGTAAAGTAAAGTGAATATGTAACAGAATAGAACTTAAAAGTGTGCATCCCAGTGTGCATCCCCACAGGGCACAGAATACATTAAAACATAAAGGGTAACAATTTGAGCAACAATCTAAAGAGCATGGCTTGATTTTAATAGCTGACTTTCCAGCATTCCTGATTATTTTTAATTCGCTCCTCCTATCTGCATCAACATTGTACACTCATACTTTCTTTTGCCTGCCCCACCGTTAAACTAGGCCTCCAAGCGGCAGAACCAACATATCTACACACGGTGCGGGAAATGTTTTTATTCCATAATATTATTATTGAAGTTTAGGAGGACTAATATCTGCACGTTGCATTGTTAAAACGGTAGAATCTTGTTAACAGATGATTTATACTACCCAACAGCCATGGCAGCAGGTGTTTTGTCAGTCTAATTGCCATGTTTTCCCAAATGGAGAGAATAGTCGGATGAGGCAAACAAAGCTTGGCACCAGCTCTTGTGTGACCCTGAAAACCTTTTAAGTATGCCAAGTGCGGCCCAGTAGTTCCACAGTGCCGAGTGCAGAGCTTCTGTAAAATATGCGTGGAGAGATCCCTAAGCAGGATGTGGGACTATCAGGGATCTTTCTCCAAAGACAATTATCATCAGTCAACTCATCAACTTCAAACGTTAAAGGATTGGCATCCACAAGACACTCAAATACAGCTTGTTGTGCAAAACAAACTGCACTTATGGTTGCTCAGCTGATTAATCCAATCAATAATATCAATAATAGGTTTCCTGGTAAATACCGGTATACCATCTTCTTTTCTTTACCCCAAAATCGCCCATAGAAGCACTAGATATCTGACAAGAGGATGATGCGGCGCTAACTGCATTTTTTAGATGATGTTGGAGCTGCGCACAAGCAATCAGTGTTTATTTTTACAGTAGGAGTAGCGAGAAGTCGCCATCCATCAAGTTACATCTTATAGCACATGAACTGTGCAGGTCACAAGGCGGAGGGCAACACACCGACAATGTGCAGCTGTACCTCACTGGCTGTCAGCCCCGAGGAAGCATTTCCTGCTACTGGCCTGCAGCTGCACCTCAAATCTAGGGGTCAACACTTTCAGTTTCATTTCATGATATTTGGTTTATTTTATAACTATAAAGAGTTTAGTATCATTATATTTTAGTAGCTTAACTCAAAGTCTGTGTTTGTCCACATTTAATCAGCAATAACAAGAGCTACTGCAGCTTTCTTTCAATGTCTCTGAAATATGACATGCAAGTTAACTATTAAACTATGATATCTATTTACAAATGTAAAGCTACAAAACAAAAGTCCTCACACACAAACAAGACAACTCATACTAATGCAACACATACGCAGTGTCCTAAAGGGTTGATTTTGCTAACTGAAACAACATGCATCATCATGAATGTAACAGGGCTAACATATCACATAGTCCGTTAAACCTTGTATGTTAAATTATACATTCAAGGTTTAATTGTATCTTTCACATTTCATATTTATAAACATGCCAGTTTTCTTACAAAGTGACAGGTGATAAAAAATTGTCTTACCACCACAAAAGCTCTTTCAAGCAACCAGTTGACTCTCAGTTGGGAGGTTTGTCCATGCTGACCATCAAAATTCATTCGTAACAAACACAAACAATAGTCACAGAGAGAGGAGGTGAAACCTCTCACACACACACCAAGTCCCGTCTAATGAAAATAAAGTCCTACAAGTACTGCAGCAGGCTGCGAGCAGGCACCACGATCGGCTCCCTCCCTTCCCCTGCAGTTCAGATACTGATCTCTCCCCCCTGAAGCCAGGCTTCCTTCAGCTCAATTCACTCCTCCCCGGAAGATGACAGGGAAATGGCTCTGCGAAGACGCCACAAACCATTCGAGGCAGGCAAATGAACAACAAAACAAAAGTCGTAAAGCTTTAAACTGGAGTACGTTAGTTAAGTTAGTTAAAGGGCATTTGTCTCATCTTCGGATTCAATCCGTTTTGTTTTATGTGTGTCTGCTGGGAAGTGGAGGAGTTGTCCTTGGCAAAGGACCAAAGCCAGAGAGTTATTATCTTTTTCACATCCCGCCAGTGTTAAAAAACTTCCAACACACATTAATGTCGCAAGACTTTTGTTGACTAAAGAGTAAAGACAATCTAGTAATTAAGTCTTTTTAGTTGGTTTCACACTGCAAAAACTGTCCTTCTAAAAAGTAGCAAAAAATTCTTATATTCTATCAAATTATCCAATATCAAGCAAAGAAATCTGCCAATGGGGTAAGCTTTATTTGCTTGACAAGATTTCTTAAAACAAGCCAAAAATTCTTAGCTCTGAAAGACTAAAATGAGACATTAAACTAGACAGAAAATCTTAAATTAACCCAAATTCTTCTGAAACAAGCAATGAAAAAAACAATAATTTAAGGTTAAGTTACTTAAAATGAGAATTTAAGTCTGGTTACTGACTTAAATTTAAGAATTGTCACCTTAATCTGGGATTGATAATGAGCATAAAAGTATTTAAAAAGAGACATAATTTCTTAAAACAGCATAACAAATATGAGTGATATTGTCTTAAATCAAGACACCAAAACATTCTCATTAAAAGAATTTTATTAACGTTGCAATACAATTGCTCAACTCAACATCCAAAGAAGGACAACTTCCACATTCCAGAGCTATCATAACAGATTGAAAAGCCAGTTTTGATTTGAACCTCACTATCAAAAAAAAAAAATCTGTTATTGTAGCAGCATACTACAACAATGAACACCATGTTGCAGCTGCTTTGCAGCATATTATCCCACAGGAAAGGTTTTCAATCTGAACCAACAAATGTGCAGGTTTTATATCAAAGTTGACCTTTGTACAGTTTATCTGAGGGTTTTCTAACAGACATATGCAGTGCAGATGTGGATCATGGCTACCAAACACTGAGTGCAGGCCTGTAAATCAGTGTGGATCATGGCTACCAAACACTGAGTGCAGGCCTGTAAATCAGTGTGGATCATGGCTACCAAACACTGAGTGCAGGCCTGTAAATCAGTGTGGATCATGGCTACCAAACACTGAGTGCAGGCCTGTAAATCAGTGTCAAGGAGATCAAAAAGAGATACGAACACGCATGCTAACCATGCGAAAGAACAAAAAGTATTTTTACCAGCAACGCAGAATCTGAATAATCATATTCAACAACCAAAACATTACAATTTTAATTTGTTAGTTTTAGTGGTTGTTACATGATAAAACTATTTATTGAAGAACAGCTGGACAATGTAACTCCCTGGACCCTCATTCTCAGAGTAAGGTTTCCAGGGAATCAGTGCTAGAGTTGTTGAGCTGTTTTAGACATGTATGTCCCTACAACGTGAGTAATCACACACACACACACACACACACACACACACACACACACACACACAATGATAAGAAACATTTTTACTACGACATTTGCTAACAATCATTACATTTTTACATTACCACAAAATCACAAGAATTATTCTTCTGCTAGCGACAGAATCCTGTCTGATACAGAGGAATCCTCTGATGCTAATGTAGCAAAAGTGGTGCTATAACTTTCAGCTGAAATTAATTATTAAGATTTTTTATGGTTTTCTTTTTTTTTGGATAGTCTAATGGAGGTACAAGTTCCCTCGCAAAATCTAAAGCGCTGAAGTGCAACTGAGCGGATGCACTGACTTTACCTTTTTAAGTTACGGTCTTGCTTTTGGGAAGTTTGGATGTTTTCGTCTTACAGGAGGGCTGCTGATATTCCTCTCATTCCACCATGTGGTAGATCAAAGGGGTTGAGATTAGGAATGAGACAGTGGGTGCTCAGATTCCAACAATTTATTACACTTAAGTAATCCTTTGGGCCTTACACTGTGTGTGTGTGTGTGTGTGTGTGTGTGTGTGTGTGTGTGTGTGTGTGTGTGTGTGTGTGTGTGTGTGTAGACATGGCAGAATACAGATGCAGTGCAGAGTAAAGCAAAGATCAGAGACATCTGGGACACCGAAAACCGCTTTCCATTCAATGTCGCATAAATGGATCTTATGTGGTGGATAAGCAAGACGGGGTTCCGTAAAAGGTGCATTTCAAAGGTTTTGGATTAGTGACACTGGACCAGAGAAGCCGGCTTCTTTTACGGTTTTGGACAAGAAAGTGTTCAATTTACCATTCGCTCATTAAACTGATCTCGGGCAGCTGTGGATCATTTTGGGTCACACCCACAGAAGGGCCACGAGAAACAAACGCTGACCTCCATCGTAATACTGTTCAAAAACACATTAGGTAATCATCAGATCAGCTGTTGTGAAAGTGTATGATGTAGAGGTCAAATCTTAAAGATACATTGAGCTGTAAAGGGTTGACGTGCCAAGGAAAGCGGACACTGACAAAAAAGGAGGCTTTATGCTTAATTTCCATGTAACATTCTTGTATAAATTCTACTTTTAAATGTCTATTTAAAACCTATATTGAACTGACTTTAAACTACCAAAAGCTTGACCCGGTTTACTGACAAAAAGCTGTAATTCAATCACAGACAATCCAATAACAACCTTCCTCACAATAAAAACTTTCCATTCTTGATTTGAGAATTACATTTTATTGAGGATTTTACACAAAGAACTCAGGCCCTTGAACCACAGTTTCAGTTTAATGCTCCCACATGATACCTATTTAGAAGATGACCCTATTTCCCATACTTTTTCCTCCCTGCTTCATGCTTAAAATCCTTATTGAATTTTAATGCAGGTTTTAACACTTCATTTGACGGACTACGTTATGTCCAACAAGTCAATTCATTAATCTATGCTTGCAAAAAAAAAAGCGGAACAAACATGAACACACTTAGGAGAGGAGAGGCTGGTTCAGCTCTCCACCGGTCACCTCATCACCAAACGGGAGGGATAGCATTGTCATTCATGAGTCCTCAATTGATTGAGCTATTGAGCCGATCTGTTTATCATAAGAACACCATGTCTCAGTTCAAGAGGTCACCGACCTTCTATCCGTTAAACTGAATTGTATTTGAATTCTCCCAACAGCTAAAAGATTTGTTAATTCTATTTTTTTCAAAAATCAAGTTGTTTTAACTTTGTTAACTTTAATCCAGTGAAACTGCTCAGCAGTAAACCATGAGACTTTTTGGTTACTGTCAGCAGCTGGGACAAAGAGCCGAACATTTTTTATTCAATCTTCTATAATGTTTCCATAGCTGACATACATCTGTCTACAAAAAACATCCTCACACAAGTTGGGTTTTCTTGTATCTCTAATAAGCTGTAAAAGTGCAGCAGAAAAGATTTAGTGCAGCAAACATGCCCAAGAAAACCACAGACTGAACTGTGCGTGAACTCGCACAGAGGCTCATTCAGATGGCAAATGTCTCCATAGACGTTGTGCGGAAAAACATCTTTAGTTCTTCGAGCCAAGCAGAAATACATTTGAAATTAAATTCCCTGGGAGATGCTGAGAGAGTTGCAGGTTTTGTATCAGTCCCCTTGTAGACATTATCATGCGGCGACATATAGCTGTAAAGCATGTTGTCCTCTCCTTTTGATCCCCTCTATCTGTGTAGTGAGGTTAAAACCGAAGTTCAGGGACCAGTTACTCAAAGTGAGTCATGCTGCTGGTAAACTCTGATTGAAACGACACTGTCTTGGCAGCGTGAACATTTTTTTACTCATTAAAATGAGTATCTGTGGACGTGTGGAATATTCAAACATTTCATTGAATTTTCTATAAGAAGGGTGGTGGTTTAAACATCATCCAAACAGCACTCTGAACCGCACAGCAACTTTGAAAGGCTGCGATACAGGAAGCCAGCCATGGGTGGTCACGGGCCGATGAATGAGAGCAGATGAGACGTGATCCTGGGACCTCCACCTCTGGAACAAACCAGATGTCCATATTTGGTTTGATAAGTGAAACCAATGTGTGAGTGCTTAAGGTTGCGCACTTTCAAATGGCCACCAGCAGTTATTTGGTTGAAGAAAGAAGTCAGATTACATCAAAGTCTACGAGAAAATGACCCTACTTACTTGTCTAATACCTCAGTTAACATGCATTCTATAAGTCTTATTCAACACATGTTTGGTTTGTGGTACATTGAGGCCTGGGACCCCCCCATTTATGAGCAGATGCAACATGACTGACTTCGGTTGGGTTTGGTTCGGGGTCTTGGTGTCTGGGATGTTGAGTTATTGGCCAGCTGAGCCTCAGGATCTTTTGGCAGCCGAGTTGCTGGGCAGCTTGAAATAAATCAGTGTTTCATTGACCGGCACTTGCTTCTAAGAACTTTGACCCCTCAATACCTTGGGAAATAGTCAGACAAATCTGACAGGGAACTGCTCAGCCAGGATCAGACAGGGCACCTCAATGTAATGAACTCAAGCGTGTCGCCTATTTATTCTAAGAATACCAATAATTCACTTTAGACAGAATTCCTGTACTCACATTGAATAACAGTGTAGTCAGAAGTCACTTTCAATGAATTTGAAAGAATATATTGTAATAAGCTCAGGTGAGCAGATAAAAGGCAACAGTCCTATTAACGGTAAAACCATTAGAAGCAGGAAGGGATCTGATTGGCTCGGAAGAACTGTGGCCGCAGGGAAGGACTAATGATGCTGATTCAGAGGAGGCATGTTGTCGAAGAGGGAACGGCAATACAGGAACACGGGAGGCAAAAAACAGGAAACCAAAAATCCAAAACAAAGAAAACACATCAGTTCTGTCAACAACGTCTGAAGGCATCTGTACACAAATTGACAAAAACTCTTAGCGCCTAAAAAGACACAG